TCATACAGCGTGGTCTACCGGGGATGCGCCATTCCCGTGGCCTGGCGACATCATCGCGCGCCAACCAGCCGCGGGCCTCGGATGGTACGATAGTGGAACTGCTGCGGGAACTGGCCAAGCGGTCCCCAGGAAATGACGTGATCGTGCTGTGCGACCGGGGCCTGACCAGTCCCAAGTTGTGGCACAGATCCTGGCTCAGGGCTGGCATCCCTACATGAGGTATCCCAAAAGCATCACCTTCTGCGCAGATGGCGGCCGCCGCTGCCCGCGCGAGCACTTCGTTTCCCGTCAGATACCGCGTGGGTCGGCCACGGAACGCCTCGGCACCGCCGCCGCTAACGCCGTTGCACCCTGCTGGCGGTCTGGTACGCTGAGCAAGAGGAGCCATGGATCATCCTGACCGACCTTCCGCCGGAAGAGGTCGGGGTGAGTTGGTACGCGCTGCGTTTTCTGGATTGAATTGGGCTTCAAGGCACTCAAGAGCCTGGGCTGGAAATGGGACAAGACCCGCAGAACCGACCCGGCGCGTGTCTCCCGGCATTGGCTCGTGTTGTCGGTGGCGACCCTGCTGACCCTGGCCTATGGCACCAGAGTGGAAGACGCCAACGACCGGAGAATTGCTCCGGCCAACCTGCGAACACCGCCCAAGGCCCTGGACCCTACGCACCTTAACCCTCGGCGTCGGCTGGGACGGACCGTCAGCGTGATCCGCCACGGCATTGACTGGCTGAGGCGGTTGCTGCTCCGAGGCCGGCTCTGGCGCCGCGTCTGGCTGCATCCCGAGCCCTGGCCGGAACCCAAGCCCAACCTGGAGATCACCTACCATGCCCCTACGTGATAAATCCCATACATACCCTTGTCAGCCCTCGATGGGAGAGGGCTGGGGTGAGGGTGAACCCCCGCGCATCCTGGGTCTGTCGAAGGATCACCCATCACGTTGCCCGCCAGCACCGCCCGTTGTAGAATGCCGGCGTCTCTTGTAAACATAACAACCCATCCATCGCCCACCACAACGGAGGTGCCCCGTGTACCAGAAACCCACCCTCAGCCTTTCCCAAATCCGCAGCGCCATGAACGCCATGCTGGACAAGGCCCAACAGGAACCCGACCGCCCGTTGGCCATCGCCGTCGTCGACGACGGCGGCAAGATGCTTAGCTACGCCCGTATGGACAACTGCCGCGCCCTTCCGCAGCGCATGGCCATCAGCAAGGCCTACACCTCCGCCATGTCCGGCGCCGACTCCAACGACTACGCCCAGCGCCTCAAGAACGATGGCCGCAACATTGCCGACTTCGGCGACCCGGCGCTGGTGGCTGTTCAGGGCGCCGTGGTCGTCCGCGATCCTGAAACAGACCTGGTTCTCGGCGCCATCGGCGTCAGCGGACTCAGCGCCCAGGAAGACGAAGACCTCGCCCGCCTCGGACTGAACGCCCTGGGCCTGTAAATCTTCCGTCCCAACATCCATCACTTTCAGCCATCAAGCCGGAGGGCCGCCCGATGCCAAATCCACGCGCCGAATACTCCCCCATTTTCGGACGGCCCTCCCTCACCCTCCCCGACGGAGCCCGGGTCGCCGTCTGGTTCATCATCAACGTCGAAGAGTGGGACATCAATCAGCCCATGGCTCGCACCGTTTTGCCCTCGCCTCAGGGCGCCGCCGTATCCCCGGACATCCCAAACTACTCGTGGTTCGACTACGGTATGCGTGTGGGGTTCTGGAGGCTGCAACGGGCGCTCAGCGATTTCAACCTGCCCTGCACCATCAGCCTCAACGCCTCGGTATGCGAATATTACCCCGAGCTGGTGCAATCCTGCCTCGACCGGCAGTGGGAGCTGCTGGGCCACGGCTACATCCAGCAGGTTCTCCACAAGGAACCCGACGAACGGGCCACCATCCTCCGCAAGACCATCGAAGTCATCAGAGAATTCAGCGGCAGCCCGCCCCGCGGCTGGATGGGGCCGGGCCTCGCCGAGACTTTCGACACGCCCGATATCCTCGCTGAGGAGGGCATCGAATACATCGCAGACTGGGTCAACGACGATCAGCCGTACGAGCTGAAGGTAAAAAGCGGACGCATAGTCGCCCTGCCCTACACCGTGGAGCTCAACGACATCCCCATCTACCTGGTGCAGCACCACTCCGCTCCCGAACTGTTCCGCCGCGCCAAGGACTCGCTGGAAACCCTCCTCGACGAGGGATCAGAAAGCGCCCGCGTGATGGCCATCTCCATGCACCCCTACATCACCGGCGCCGCACACCGCATCGGGCACTTCCGGCGTCTGCTGGAGTACATAACTCAGCAGGACGGCGTTTCTTTCTGGACCGGCAGCGGCATCCTGGACTGGTACAACGGGCAGGTTGACACCAACCCCCGATGACCCCAGAGACCCGCATACCCGCGTTTCCAATGTCCCCGCTCGTCCTGAGCCTGCAGAAAGACCCCCTCTCCCTCGATGGGAGATGGTTGGAGCCTGCCCCGTACTTGATACGGGGGTGAGGGTGACCCCCGGTCATCCTGAGCGCACCCCCCGGTGGATTCCCGCTTTCGCGGGAAAGACGGGGGGCAGGGCGCGCACCCCCCCGGTGGATTCCCGCTTTCGCGGGAAAGACGGGGGGGTCAGGGCGCACCCCCCGTTTTGGGGTGGCGTCATCCTGAGCCTGTCGAAGGGCCCGCTCCTGTCATTGCGAGCGCAGCGTGGCAATCTGGTCAACGTCGCACTTCAGTTCACAACTCATTCATAACCCGTTTACAGCCGTTCACAAACCCCGCACAACCTTTGCAAATCCGCCGATACTGACCCACTAGTTGTTGACAGTGCACATCACCTGGTCCTCGCCTTCCGGTTATCAATAGGTTGTCCACGCTCTCCGTGCTACAATTCACGTGTTATCAACACGCAGGCCCAACCTGACCCACTCTTCAAACTGCATTATCAACGCTATTGGTATTACAGTTATTAACCTGAGATTTCTATCCTATGATTGATACAGTCAGAATTAACGTAAAAGCCGGAGACGGTGGTAACGGGTGCGTAAGTTTCTTGCGCCTCAAGTACCAGCCGCGCGGCGGCCCGGATGGTGGCGATGGCGGAGACGGCGGCAACGCATACATTGTGGGTGATAATTCCATCAATACTCTGTTGCACCTCAAATTCAACAGTACTTTCTACCTGCAGCGTGGCGTCCACGGGAAGGGCAAGGATCAACGCGGCTCCAACGGTTAAGACACCACCATACTAGTCACGTTGGGTACCGTGATTTGGCATTTGGACCGCGACGGCAGTAAGGATTTCATCGCAGATATCGTGGACGACACCCCGGTGCTGATCGCCAAAGGCGGCGATGGCGGTTGGGGCAACGCCAGGTTTGTGTCACCTACCAACCAGGAACCCATGCTGTCCCAATCCGGCGGCAAGGGCGAGTTCATCGTGCTGTGGCTGGAACTTAAGCTGCTGGCCGATGTGGGCCTGTTGGCCAAACCCAACGCCGGCAAATCGACCCTCATCTCCCGGTGCTCGGCGGCGCGGCCCAAGGTAGCCAGCTACCCCTTCACTACGATCGAACCGGTGCTGGGCGTTGTGACCCAAAACGGTCACGATTTCGTGATGATGGAAGTCCCTGGATTGCTGGAAGGCGCTCACCGGGGTATTGGTTTGGGACACCAGTTTCTTCGCCATGCCGAGCGTGCCCGCGTCTACGTACACCTTATCGACGGTTTGTCAGACGACCCGGTGGGTGACTATCTCATGCTCAACAAGGAACTTCGCGAATTCAGCCCCATGCTGGCTGCCAAACCCCAGGTGGTGGCGGTCAACAAGCTGGATACTACCGAAACCCGCGAACTCCAGGACGTGATCGAAGAGGAACTGCGCCGTGCCATGTCGGAGGAACCAGAGGCGTCGAATTTCGGAGGCGCCGACTCCCATATTCACTTCATATCCGCGGTGTCCGGTGAGGGTGTGGACGGCCTCATGAGCCAGCTGGTCACCCTTTTGACCGACCTCCCAAAGCCCGGGTTCGATGAGAACGATGATGAAGGGGAATCGGTGGAGGTCGAGGTCGAAACTCCCGCGGTGCAACCGGGCCGGCAGCGCCTCCCTCCCCTCGGTTTCTACATGGACGGCGATGTTTTCGTTGTCGAGTCTGAACGTCTGGAACGGCTCACCGCCCGCGCCGATATGCGGGACTACCGCGTACTGCTCCAGTTGTGGCGCGAAATGACCCGCCTGGGAATTGCCAGGCGACTGGAAAACGCCGGTATCGAAGCCGGCAATACCATCCGCATCGGCAAAGCTGAGTTGGAGTGGTTCTAGGATGCCGCCCGGAGACGGATCCGGAATTCGGGGCATCGGCATTCTCGGCGGAACCTTCGACCCGCCTCATTTGGGCCACCTGCTGATCGCCGAATCGGCCCGTTCCGCGCTCGATTTGGAAACCGTGCTGTTCCTGCCGGCCGGTGAGCCCTGGCTCAAGTCCGGCCAGCAGATCACGCCGGCCCGGCACCGGCGACGCATGGTCGAACTGGCCATCGCCGACAACGCCGATTTCCGCCTTTGCGATACTGAGTTGCGCCGCAGCGGGCCGTCTTACACCGTAGACACGCTGGAGCAGTTGCGTGCCGGTTACCCGGATGATGTCGTCTTCTACTTCATCGTTGGCTCCGACGTTCTGGCTCAATTTCACCGGTGGAAAGAACCCGAACGTGTCCTGCAGCTTTGCCGTCTCGCCGTCGTTGAGCGCCCCGGGGGGCCGTCCAACCCGGTGCAACTGATGGAACGACGGTATCCGGATGCAGTGGCGTCAGGTGCAGTATTGACGGTATCCGGGCCGCGGGTGAACTTCAGCGCGTCAGAAATTCGCCAGTTGTTTTCCCAGGGTATATCGGTGCGCTATCAGGTGCCCGACGCCATAACCGACTACATCCGAGAGCATGGGCTGTATCAAAGCGTCGATACGTCCCATGCCGCCAAAACCGATGCCACGGAGCCAAACATGACGATGGACCGCAACCACAACATCGACCGATTGCTGGAGCTGGCCCTGGAACGCGGAGCCCTCCGCTACGGCGATTTCACGTTGTCGTCAGGTCGCAAAAGGTCCTACTACTTCGACGGCCGTTTGCTCAGCCTCGACCCCGAAGGTTCATACCGGTTGGGCCATGCGTTGCTGCCCCTGCTTACCGATGCCGGTGTATCCGCCATAGGCGGCCCTACGTTGGGCGCAGACCCTATTGTGGCCGCCGTGGCCACCGTTTCCTGGGAGCAGGGACAACCCATTCCCGCATTCATCGTCCGCAAGGAAGCCAAAGAGCACGGCACGGCCCAGCTCATTGAGGGGTCGGTTACTGCCGGATCCACCGTTGCCATCGTCGACGACGCCTGCACCACCGGAGGGTCCCTGTTCCACGCCATCGCCGCCGCCGAAACGCCGGCTGCACCGTGGGCCTGGTGCTTGCCATTCTCGACCGCAACGAAGGCGGCAGTGATGCCATTCGGCAGCGCGGGTACCGTTTCGCTTCCCTGCTCGCCGCCGGGGACGACGGACAGATCAGGCCGGCATAATTTCCGTTTCCGCCTTGATCGGAGAGGGCAGGGGTGAGGGGCGTACCCACCCCCCAATCCTGTCCATCCATGTCGGAGTCGGCCCCCCTCTGCCTATGATGGGAGAGGGCAGGGAAGCGGGTGTTTATTAGGAGAGGGTTGGCGTGGGGATGTTTGACAGGAGCGGGTCGGCGTGAGGGTGAAATTCCCTACCTTCGCCCCCGCTCGTCCTGAGCTTGTCGAAGGATCATCCGGAGTCTGTCGAAATGCCTCACCCGCCTGTCATTTGTATGTTGTAAGTGTCCCGCGAATGGGCCAATTTGCGGGGTAGGTGGGAGGGGCGCGTCGTCTGTCATTAGGTGGGCCGGGCGTGACAGCTTGGTTGCACCGTCTCGCAGTAGGACACCCCTCCCATAAGGCACCGGGCTGCTCCGAACGGATACACGGGTGTTAGGTCCCACAATGCAAGTGTGGAGGGTCCCGGCGCCGCCATTATCACACCAGGACCAGGGAGGCGACAGATGAACCAATCGACAGCAGGGATCGACGTGGGCAAAAGGGTACTGGACGTGTCGGTGGACGAAGATCGCGCGCGACGCTTTGCCAACACCGCGGCTGGCGTTGCTGAGTTGGTGGGTTGGTTGGAGTCTCAGGGCCCCCTGCTGGCGGATATGAAGCATTGGTGGCGGAGGCGTTGCGCCAGGTTGGAGTGCCGGTGCATATTCCCCATCCCAACCAGGTCCGGGCCTTTGCTCGGGCCTGTGGTTATCAGGCCAAGACCGACGGTTTGGACGCCATGGTGCTCTCTCGGTATGGCCAGGTCTTCCAACCTGCTCCCACCCTGGCCCAGGAGGCCGACCGAGGCCAGTTACAGGACCTCCTGCGCCGTCGGGAGAAGGGGTTGGGGTGAGGGTGGAACCCCCGTTCATCCTGAGCCCATCCTCCCCCGTTCATCCTGAGCCTGTCGAAGGACCCCCTCTCCCTCGATGGGAGGGCAGCGTACGGTATAAGAGCGTACGGTATAAGATGGATACTGCAACAATCTCCCCAGCCCAACATCGTCGCGCCAGGAGACTTACATGACTACGCTGCACATCATCGTGGAGATTACCGAGCGGGTGCCCACCGGTCGCACCGAATGGCGGGTGGACTGCGGCGAATGTGACTGGTACGACATCTTTGACGACCGGGGCCGCGCCGAAATGGCCTCCACGCGACACGTTGCCGACTCTCACCCAGACGAGGTCACCTACAACCGCATCGTCCAGACCCTCCGAATCGACGCCAACCCGGAGGAGAGCGACCTGATTCCCTCCGTGGAGGGCGGCTGACGCCAGCCCGGTTGATCAGTCGGCAGCGGCGTACTTGTCGCCCAGCTGCTCCTCCCACCGCAGGTAGTTCTGCATGTCGGCGTACGTGCGGTCGGGGCCGCTGAACACCACGTCGGCCGGCGTTCGCATGACACCGGAGAGCCCGGTTTCCACCGGCAGTCCAGCTGCGCGCCACGACGCCACACCGCCGTCCAGAACACCAACATTGGTAAATCCCATCGACTGCAGCGTCGCTGCCGCCAGGAGTGATTGCCGGCCATCGCCGCAGGTCACCACCACCCGAGCGTCCTCAGACGCCACATGCTCGGCCACCTGCCACTCCAGCCAGCCTCGGGGAACCCAGTGCGCGCCGGGCACGTGGCCCCTGGAGAAGTCCTGGCTCGTATCTACAAACAGGATGGCATCGGGCCGGTCCGATTCCAGCTCCTGCGCCGTGATGGATGGAACTGAATTTCGGGCTGCGGTTACCAATTCCGGTTCGCCGGCCCCGCCGATGGACCCATCAAAGCGGGCTCCCACGTTGCGGCCCGACTCCAGCGACTTGCCGGCCACCGCCCATGCCTCAGTCCCACCGTTCAGCGCATAAACCTCTCCGTGACCCAGCTGTCGGTACCACGACCCGGTCAGCGCCGCCCGCGCCCGTCCGTCGCAGCAGAACACTAGGGGAGCATTTTTCACCACGGCCACATCGTCGCTCCTCTGCACGCATTGACCGCCAGGAAACCACCGGAAGCCCGGAATGTGTCCGGCAGCGTATTCCTCGGCGGTGCGCACGTCGATGAAGTAAACGGTCTCGCTGCGGCTGCGTTCAGCCAGCCGTTCCAGCCCGACAACGTCCAGAAAATCTACGCCATCCTCGGCGGCGCATCGGTCGGCGTATGCTTCGGCGGCGGCGCGGCCTTCGGCTGAAACCTGCGGCAGTTCGTCCCGGTCCGCGCCGGATTCCAGCTCGTAACCGGCCAGCACCCATCCGGACGTGCCGTTCTTCAGTCCAACGATATCGCGATCCAGGCCCATCCGCTGCAATATTCGCGTTCCAATGATGCTCCGTGTTCTGCCGGCGCAATTTATGACCACCGTGGTATCCGGGTCCAGGTCAGCAGTAACGTCGGTTATCCGCAGCGCCAGTTCTCCGCCCGGCAAACTTTGCCCACCGGGAATGCAGAATCGGCGGTATTCCTCCGGCGTCCGCGTGTCCAGAATCACCATCTTCTCGCCCAGATCCATGCGGGAACGCAACTCGATGGCATCGATCTCCGGCACGTGGTGAACCACCTCCACCTTCTCGCCGAAATCCTTGCTGGGCACATTCACACCCCACTCGGTGGGATAGTCCAGGCTCATCCAGCGGTTCACTCCGCCGTCCAGCCACCCCACGTTGGAGTACCCCATCGCTTCCACCGTCGCCACGGCTTTCGCCACGCGCTGACCGTCGTCGTCGCACAGCACGGTGAGGCTATCAATGTGGGGGATTGCAACCGGCAGGTCGAATTCCAGCATCCGTCGTGGCATCAGGCTGCTGCCGGGAATGTGGCTGGCGTTGTACTCGCCGGCCTCCCGGACATCCACCAGCGCGAACGGAGCGGAGCCGTTGAACAAATCATCCAGTTGAGCGGGGGTTATCGGTTGAGCCATTAGAACATCTCCATCAGGTTCCCCGCCTCCCTCTCCGTGTGGGGAGAGAGAAGGCGGCAGGACGCATCACCTAGCAGTTGTCATACTTGTCGGTGATCATCTGCTTGATGGCGCCGGTTTCCAGGTCGTAGCGCACCCGTTCCAGGCCGCGGAGATCGTGCCCGTACACATGCACCTCCACGGTGGGCCGGTCGGTGAAGTTGTCCATCTGATGGATTTCGTCCACTTCCGGAATCAGCAGGCTGACTTCACCGGGCTTGACCGTGGCCGAACGGTCCTGTTCCAGCTGCGCCCAGTCGTCCTTGCTGTGGTCGTCGACGCGGCGGAATCGGGTCTCCGTGAGCAGGTTGTCCATCACGCCGATCATGCCCCATGTGCGATGGTCGTGAGGAGCGGCGTGGTCGCCCGGCCCCCAGACTACCGACGTCACCAGCAACCCACTGTCCGGATTGTGGTGCAGCAACCATGATCCGTGGTTGGCCCGCCGACCCTCACCCACCGGTTGGCGGAACCGAACCGGAATGGCGTCGGGGTTGCCAACCAGCCGAGCCAGGTAGCTGGATCCGTTGTCGAAAATCTTTTCCTGATTGGGCTCACTCTTCAGCAGCTCTTCCATCTCCTGCACGAAGTCTTCCAGAGAGTATTTAACTGCGACCATAATGTTTCCTCCCGAGTTTGTATGGCTCTTGTCGGGCGGCTTTTTCCCCATCGCTCGACAGGTATCTGATGGCGCCAGTTTACCCGGCGACGCCATTTCCAGGCAAGTTACCATCAACCCCCTCTCCCTTTATGGGAAAGGATTGGAGCCTGCCCCGTACTTGATACGGGGGGTGAAGGCGAAAACCCCGTCTCTCCCGCGCAGTTGCTCCCGTCATTCCCGCAGTTATTACTTTCGTCATTCCCGCGAAAGCGGGAATCCAGTTGCTCCCGTCATTCCCGCGCTATTACTTTCGTCTTTCCCGCGAAAGCGGGAATCCAGTTGCTTCCGTCACTCCCGCGCAGGCGCTATTTACAACGCGATTGCCCTGCGTACCCGCCCCGCTCGAGGGTTGCCCACAACCCCCATGCTATAATCCGCTCGTTATGTCGTTGCAGCCCCAGTTCTCCGAGCGCCCTCCCCGAGACGTAAACGGCCCAGCCTCCGCTCCCTACTGGGAAGAGCCCGCTTCATCGCCATACTGGGACGCCCCCGAGTTGGCCGAGCACCTCGCCGGCCAATCGGTTCACGGCCCTGAACCCGACGCCTCGCCCGCCATTTTGCAGGGACTCAACGAAGCGCAGCAGCAGGCCGTCCTCTCCACCGAAGGGCCGTTGCTCATCATCGCCGGCCCCGGTTCCGGCAAAACGCGCGTCATCACCCACCGCATCGCCTACCTGGTTGAGGAATGCGGCGTCAACCCGTGGCAAATCCTGGCCGTAACCTTCACCAACAAGGCCGCCCGAGAAATGCGGAACCGCCTCGATCGACTTCTGCTCAGTCGCAGCGAAGCCGTGACGATGGGCACTTTCCACGCGGTCTGCTCCCGCATCCTGCGTCGCCACGGCGACCGGATCGGACTCAATCCCAATTTCACCATCTACGATCAGGACGACCAGATCGACGCCATCAAGTCGTCCATGCAGCTGGCCGACGTTGACACCAAGCGCTTCCCTCCCCGCGCCATGCTGTCCCGCATCTCGGCAGCCAAGAGCACACTCCAGGAATCCAGACAAATGCGGGAATCCGCCTACGCTGCCGAGGACGAATACGGCGCGAACTGGATCGAAACCTGCTCCCGCGTTTATCACTACTACGAAGAAGCCCTCTCCCGTCAGAACGCTCTCGATTTCGACGATCTCCTGATGCGCACCGCCAGCTTGCTCAAAAATGTTCCCGAAGTGCGGGCCCAGTACCACGAACGGTACCGCTACCTGCTGATCGACGAGTTCCAGGACACCAACATCGCCCAGTACCAGTTAGCCCGTCTGCTCACCGGCACTCACCAGAACCTCTGCGTTGTGGGCGATCCCGACCAGAGCATCTATTCCTGGCGCAACGCCGATATCCGCAACATCCTCAGCTTCCAGTCCGACTACCCCGATGCCACCGTCATCAGTCTGGGCGAGAATTACCGCTCCACCAAAAACATCCTGCAGGCCGCCTCCAGCGTCATCGCCGCCAATACCGAGCGGATCGAACGCCCCCTCTTCACCGGCAACCCAGCCGGCCGACCCATCACCCTCCACGAAGCCTACAGCGCCGATGATGAGGCAGCGTGGGCAGTGGACGAAGTAACCCGTCTCACCAAAACAGGGGAGGTCAGAGCCGGCGATTGTGCCATCATGTACCGCATCAACGCCCAGAGCCGCGCCTTCGAAGACCAGTGTATGCGCCAGGGAATGCCCTATCGGCTCGTCGGCGGCGTTCGTTTCTATCACCGCAAGGAAATCAAGGACGCGGTTTCCTATCTTCGGGTGATCTACAACCCCGACGATGAAGTCAGCCTGCGACGCGTGATCAACAACCCTCCCCGCGGCATTGGCGCCAAAACGGCGCAGCTGCTTACCCGTTTCTCCACCGACCGGGGAAACACCATGCTGGCGGCCATGCAGCAGATCGCCGATGCCCGAACCGAACAGCTGCCCTGCCCCATCAGCGTTACCGCCCGGGCGGCCAAATCCATCGCCGATCTTGCCATCACGTTCCAGCGACTCCGCGACGCATCCCGCGAGCTTGCGGTGGCCGACCTCCTGGATCGGGTGCTGGACATGTCCGGCCTCGCCCGTCACATCCAGGCCGATGAGAACAGCGAAGATCGCTGGGACAACGTCCAGGAGCTGCGGGCGCTTGCCGAGGAATATGGCCCCTCCCCACAGGCCGACGGCCTCGGCGCATTCCTGGAACGGGTTTCGCTGGTCTCCGACGTCGACAGCTATGAACAGACCGACGACGCCCTGACCCTCATCACGCTCCACCAGGCCAAGGGTCTGGAATTCCCGGTCGTGATGATTGCCGGCATGGAGGAGGGGTTGTTGCCCCACAGCCGCTCCCTGGATACGATTCGCGAGATCGAAGAAGAGCGACGCCTGTGCTATGTGGGAATGACCCGGGCCATGCAGCGTCTTTACCTGCTGCGAGCCTTCAGCCGTCCCTTCCCGTCGTCCGGTGGCATACCGTCGCGCTTCCTCCAGGACGTGCCCGAGGAGTTGCTGGCGTCGCCGGCCCTGGAACGACCCCCCGGCACGCGCGCCGACACTCACCCACTCAATCCCTCGCGCCCCAGCCGCAACGAAGATGCCGTGATCGGCGGTTCCTGGGCCACTTCCCGCCGCGAGTCCCGCACCCGCCGGGGCGAGGCCGGCGAAGGAACCACCGGCGGCGCCACCCGTGGCCATCTGCGCGGCGACATCGATGAAAAACTCACCGAATGGGTCTCCAGCCGCCCCCCGCGAGCCCCCCAGCCCGAGCGCATCCCCCTCACCGTCGGCGAAATCGTGCGCCATTCGGTATTCGGCGAAGGCGTGGTTCAGGACGTGCAGGGCGTCGGCGACGACGAGCAGGTCACCGTGAATTTCAGCAGCGCCGGACTGAAGCGCCTGCTGGTTTCGTTGGCCCGCCTGGAACGCGGTTGATACCAACATAAACACTGGCCCGTACAATCAAACCGCCGCATACGAATCTGGGCTTCAGCCCAATACGGGGTGGACATGTTGATGAAACCATTCGTATCGCTTTCAGCAACCGTGATATTTCTACTGTCTCTCGGCATCGCCTGCCTGCCAGGTTCCGGCGATGAGGACGATCGTCTCAGCAGCCGTGATCGTCGGGGAACCCGGGAAGCCAGGGCTGAACGCGACCAGTTGCGCACCGAACGCGCCGAAGCTCGCCAGGATCAGGGCGCAGGGAGCAGGGTTCTGCCCATTTTTGGTAGATCTGAGGAACCCGAACCTGCTCCCAACCCGACAGCCACTTTTGCTCCGGCGATAGCCGTCCCTACCACCGCCGCGCCCACCGTCACCCCGGTCATGGCCGCTACTGCCACCGCCGCGCCCACCGCCACCCCGGTCATGGTCGCTATTGCCACCGCCGCGCCCACCAGCACTCCACTTCAATCCCAGCCCGTCCAGGAATTGAGCAGATCTCTAGTAATTGCTATTGCCCCTTTTACTCAGCAATCCGTTCGCAGTTGGAGGATTGGCTCTAACGCGGCTAATACTCACGTGCGCCCGTTTGCCGAGCCTTTGTTGCATACCGTTCGTTTCGATGGATCGATCGTGCCCGGACTCGCCACCAGTTGGGAATTGTCAAGTGATGGCCGTTCTTGGGTGTTCAATCTGCGTCAAGGCGTCTCTTTCCATCGCGGCTGGGGCGAGTTCACCGCTGAGGATGTCATCCACTCTGCTTCCCTGCTGGTTGGGGACGATTCTCTAGCTTCCGACCGAGAGATTTTCAGAGACCTGTTCGGCCAAACGCAAGGTGAAATCCGGCGAAACATCAGCGCCATCGACGACTACACTGTGCAGTTCAACCCGTCCCGCCCGGCAGATCTGGCCCAGATCGCTTCAGCTCAAACCGGAAATTTCTTCATCTACAGCAAGGCACAATGGGACGTCGAGGGTGCAGCCGGATACGCCGAGTTGCCGGTTGGTACCGGTCCCTGGCAATTGGAGGAGCCCTACGTGGAGGGCTCCGGCTTCGATATCGAGTATTCGCGGGTCCCCAGCCACTGGCGGCAGTCACCATTGTGGTCGCACATGATAATGTACGGCATCCTGGAAACCGCCACCCGGCAAGCTATGGCCCTCGCCAGAGAAACATTCATCGCCGAATTGCCTCGCGGCCTGCATTCCGACGCTGCCGATGGCGGCCTGATGATTCTCGCGAGCGAAGTCCCGTCCATTCAGGTCGGTTTAATCATGGGCGGTATCTATTCCCCGTCGAGCCCCAACCACACTCCTTCAGAACCCCACCTCGACATTCGGGTCCGCCAGGCCATCAACCGCGCCATCAACCGGGAGAAGATCAACCAGGTCCTGTTCAACGGCATAGGGCGACCCAGCCCGGTTTGGGGATATCATCCCACTCAGTCCGGCTGGAACTCCCGTTGGTCAGAACAGTTCAATTCCAGGTACCAATACGATCCTGAGCGTGCCAGGCATTTGCTCTTGGAATCCGGCTGGAACGGCTACAGTTTAAAGGTTGTAGTTACAGAGCGGACCGGCGTCCCCGAAATGAGGGACATCGCGCTCGCCGCTGCTGACTATCTTCGGGAAATCGGCATTGATGTACATACGGATGAAATGCCATGGTCCCGCTATCGCGCTGGCTTCTACCTACCGGGGCAAACCCACGGCACCATAGCGCCAATTCGCTCCTTTATCGGACCAACCCAAAATAATTTAAGGGTGTACAACCACACCGACGGAGGGTTCATTCGAACCGTGCCCGACTCCAGGCTGGATCAACTGTACCTCCTAGCCATCAACTCGTGGAACTCCAGCGCACAGCACAACGCTTTGCGCGAGGCCGGAGACATCAAGTTCGACCAATACGCCGAGGTGCCACTACTCTGGCTGCCCAGCCAGGTTGTCGTCGACCCGCAGGCTATCGAGCAGTTTATCTGGCCCGGCAACATACGCGCCCCCTTCAGCCACACCGAGTACATCACATCCGCTTTATCCCGATAACCACCCACGCACCCCCGGCTTTCCCCCGCTAGCGGGAACCTGCATTCACAAACGAAGTGCAATTTATAATACGATTGCCCTGGCAGCCCTAAACATCGGGCTGCCAGTTTCGTTTGTGCTCGCCTGGGCCATTGCAGCACGCCTTTCCCAATCCAACAAATGCTGCACCGCACTTACTATTGGAATTCGTAATGATCATGCGACGATGCGATGCAGCCACTTTCGCACTTGTGCAAATGCCGACGTTATCGCTTATAATGCTGCTCTGAAAAGAATTTTGGCGTTTCTGTCCAAAAAACATGCGACATTAAGGCACTTTACAGACTGTTTACATTATAAGGCACTTTACAGACTGTTTACATTATAAGGCACTTTACAGACTGTTTACATTATAAGGCACTTTACAGACTGTTTACATTAATGGAGGAACGAAATTGTTGAAACCAACGATTTTGCTAGCGGTAATAGCGTCTATGCTCCTGTTGACTGGCATCGCCTGCGGCGGCACCACTCAGGAGACTGATACCGGCAGCGAACAGGCCACGATCGCGCCTGATACCGGCAGCAGCGCCGGTTCCGATCAGCCCCCTCAGCCTGGCTCAACTTCTATAATATCCACCGCTACTCCCAGCGCAACCAATACGCCTTCGGCAGCCCAGCAGTCCGAATCCGTCGGCGGTCGCCTCAGTATGGCAGTTACCCCTCCGGTCCAGGAGTTGGTGCGCGGCTGGCTGGGAACCACAACATCGGCTAACGCGCAGGTCCGCATGTTCTCCGATCCGCTGGTACACACCGATCGCTTTGACGGCTCCCTGCAGCCTGGCCTGGCCACCGATTGGGAAATCACCAAAGCCGATGGCACACAGTGGGTATTCCGCTTGCGTGAAAATATCCCCTTCCACGGGGATTGGGGTGAATTTACCGCCCACGACGTTCCTCATTCCGCGGCTCTGATAATTGGCGAAGAAGCCATCGCCACCGACACCGGATTGTTCCGCGGACTATTTGGTCAAACCGAAGACGAGCTGTTGCAAAACATCCGCGTCATCGATGATTACACCGTGGAATTCAACTTGTTGCGACCCGAAGCCTCCATGGAGTTTGTCGTCTCGGCACAACAGGGTAACTACTTCATCTATAGCAAGGCACAATGGGATGCTGAAGGCGAACGGGGTTACATCGACAAGCCAGTCGGCAACGGCCCCTGGCAGTACGAAAGCCGCCAGCTCGGCGTCGGCGGTAATATCCTGTACTCACAAGTGTCCGACCATTGGCGCCAAACGCCTTTCTGGTCCGAACTGGAGCAGATCAACACCCCAGAGCCGGCAACCCGTCTTGCCAACCTGCTCACGGGTCAGGTGCAAATCGCCGAAATCAACCGCGACCACCACACCGACGCGATCAACGGTGGCATGACCATTGTTAACAGCCAACTGCCCTCCATCCAGGTCGCGTTCATAATGGGCGGCATCTACTCCCCGTTGAGCCCGTTCCACGACCCATCCGATCCTCATCTCGACGTTCGCGTCCGAGAGGCTATCAACCGCGCCATCAACCGGGAAGAGATCAACCAGGAACTGTTCAGCGGATTCGGCTCCGACCATCCAGTTTGGGGTTTCCATCCCAGTCTGCCCGGTTGGAACCCGCGTTGGGCGGAAGAATTCGACGACAAATACGGTTTCGACCCCGACCGAGCCCGCGACCTGATCACCGCATCCGGACACGAAGGCTATCCGCTCAAACTCATCATCACCCAGCTTTCCGGAGTACCTGAAATGATACCGATGGCCGAAGCCGCCATCACCTACCTGGAAGACATCGGCATCGACGTTCAGGCCGAAGAGATGGAATGGGCCCGGTTCCGCGCTGATTTCTACCGGCCCGGAAAAACCCACGGTACCATCTCCCCCATTCGCGGCACCTTGCGTCCCGCCGAAGTTACATTGCGGTTCTACAACGTGAGTGGACCCGAAGGTTTCCAGCGCATCGTACCGGACCCCGAGCTCGACACGCTTTACCAGGAAGCCATCACCGCAGTGGACCCCCAGATCAAGTACGATGCCCTGCAGAGAGCCGGAGACCTCAAATTCGACCTGTACTCCGAAGTGCCCATCGTCTGGCTCCCCGGCCAAATCGGCGTCAATCCACAGGAGGTTGGTGAATTCGTGTGGCCTGGCAACATTAACACCGCCATCACCCACACCGAGTACATCACCACGGCTGACGGTCAGTAATCGTTGGCCCACATAGCCATCTGGCGTGGTTCATTGGCTCCTCTCGGACAACTCGGAAACGAATTCGCTGTCCGAGAGGGGCCCAACCGGTTACACATCATGCTAGCGCGCTGATCAAGCTGCTCCCCATTGCCAGCGACCATGGACAGGAGAATTAGCGGTTCATGCAAAGATACATAGCCATCCGGATTCTGCAATCGATCATCGCATTGCTGGTCCTCACCGTTATCGTGTTCAGCCTGGCCCGGATCGCCGGCGACCCGTTGGACGTACTACTCCCGCTGGAAGCCACCGTAGAAGACGCCGAACGGGTCAGGGCAGCCTGGGGGCTGGATCGCCCGCTCCACATCCAGTACTTCAAATTCCTGGGCAACGCCATAACCGGTGATTTCGGTGAATCCATCAAACACCGCGATCAACAGGCCATCGAACTCGTTTTCGACCGGCTCCCCAACACGGCGATGCTCGCCGGACTGGCGCTGATCGTTGCCACCGCCGTCGCCATACCCGTAGGTGTCCTTTCGGCGGTCAAAAAAGACACCGTATTCGATTACGTCGGCAAACTCATCGCGCTAACCGGACAATCCCTGCCGGCCTTCTGGCTGGGTTTGGTATTGATGTGGATTTTTGCCGTGAAACTGGGGTGGGTGCCCACCTCGGGCAAATCGGGGATCGATTCGTTCATCCTGCCGACCATCGCTATCGGATGGTTCCAGGTGGCGGCGCTGATGCGCCTGGTACGCTCATCAATGCTCGATGTCCTCGATAGCGAATATGTGAAACTTGCCCGTATCAAGGGGCTTCCGGAACACAAAGTGGTGTGGAAGCACTGCCTGCGTAATGCAGCGATTGCGCCTTTCACCTACTTCGCCCTGATCCTGGGTTCCCTCATGGTCGGCAGCGTCAGCATAGAGTTTGTGTTTGCCTGGCCCGGTGTGGGTTTGTTGGCAGTCGACAGCACAATCGCCCGTGATTTCCCAGTGATTCAGGCCGTGGTAATCGTCTTCTGCGTGGTCTACATTACTGCCAACCTGCTGGTCGACATCGGCTATGCCTACGTGGACCCGCGCATTCGCTACAGCTAAACCGCGCCGCTTTCATACATACCGTGTCCACCGGCATCAGCCCGGATCCACGATCTCACAGCCAGACCGCTTGAACAGGAGAGCCTAGAATATGGCAACCGAAGACCGTACCAGCCCGGTACCAGTTATCGTGGAGGGACAGACCGAGGCTGAAGGCGCCGAGGCGGAGCAATCCCGAGCCTCCCGCTATTGGGGAGAGACCCGGCGATTGCCGATCTTCCCCATCCTTATCCTTCTCACTGTTCTGGTCATCCCTGCCATCTTCGCCAATCAGATCGCCCCTCACCATCCCACCCGGGGAAGCTTGGGTGACCGGTTGCAACCGCCGATGTGGCAGGAGGGCGGTTCCAGCGAATACATCCTCGGTACGGATAAAGTCGGCCGCGACATCCTCACCCGCATTATTTACGGCAGCCGGATTTCCGTAATCATCGCTACCATCGCCATCGCATTCAGCGGTGTCATAGGCACCGCTCTGGGTATCATCGCCGGTTACTGGGGAGGCTGGGTCGACGCTATCATAATGCGACTGGTGGACATCTCACTGTCCATCCCCATCATCCTGCTGGGCCTGGTCCTGGTGGCCGCCCTGGGGCCACGCACGTCCACCGTAATCGGAGTCATCGTCGTCCTGCTTTGGTCCCGTTATGCCCGACTCGCCAGAGGCGAAACGTTGTCGGTACGCGTGCAGGATTTTGTTGCCAGGGCTCAGGTGGCCGGGTCCACCCACCGGCGCATCATGTTCCGTCACATACTGCCCAACGTATTCAACAGTCTGGTGGTCCTGGCCACCCTGCAAGTGGGTTTCGTAATCATCCTCGAAAGCACGCTCAGTTTCCTGGGCGCCGGCGTACCCCGTCCCAACCCGGCCTGGGGATTGATGGTTGCCGACGGCCGCGACCTGGTTGCCTCGGCCGGAGGATGGTGGGTATCCCTGCTGCCGGGAATGGCTATCATGCTCGTCGTGCTCAGCATGAACCTGCTGGGCGACTGGCTACGCGACCGCCTCGATCCCAAACAACGCCAGGTGTAATCCGCTCACCAGACATAGCGGTTCGCCTCTGAGCCTGTCGAAGGACTCAAGGTCAACACAGCCCCTCTCCTGGCGGGAGAGGGGCTTTTTTTGAATAACCGCAAGCCCCCTCGCCGTTGCTGGGAGAGGGTTCAGGTGGGGGCGAAACAGCGTCCCTCGGCGCGTGCCGGGTGTATCATCACGCAATGGGACGCTACACCATCACCCGCAGTTTGCAGTCCGCAGTGGCCATGGCGCCGGTGCTCTTACTGGTAGCTGCCATGGTGGCAGACATCATCGGCGTCGGACCTTCGTCTTCCCTGGCGCCGCGGTTTGATGTCACTCCCGGGACTGCGCCGTCTCGAGAGTGGGAATGTTGGCGATGGCCACATTACAGTACCTGCTACTCCAGTGGCTCAAAATCGTCATCACCTTGGTGGCGGCCGGCGCTGTTGCAGTCGCGCTGGAGGTGGTTTCGGAACGCGTTGCCGGCGGCTGGTTCCGCTATCTCCGCGACCCGTTCGTACTCTTCGGCAGATCATTGCCCGTTCTGCTGGTGGGAATATATTTCGCGTTGTTTATCGTCGTTGGTCTGGGCCCCGGTATGCGCGATGCACCGGCGGTGGTGACCGCGCTCCTGCGATCGAGTGATACCGTTGATCGTATTCCAAATCGGCGCTGTTGGTCTGGGTCATGCGTCCAACGCCAGGCGCCGCCCCATCTCCCACCGGAGTTCGCGACCCGGAGTCGGAGCGGCTTGCCAATCCATGGATGCATGCTTTGCAGCGAACCGTTCAGGCACACCGGGCCAATTACCCGTTGGTCGTAGGGATGCTGTTGTTCTGGGTGAGTCTGGGCCTTGGTTTGCCCTCCACCATCCCGGTACTAACCTACGAAGATGTCCAGTTGCTAGCAATGGCCTCCGTGGTGGGATTGATAACCGTGTATATAGTCGGCCAACTGGTCCTGGATTTAATCGGACATCGGCGAGCATGGCCGGGCGTGGGAGGGGAGGAAACATCCCTACCCGAAGCAACGACGGCGCCGTCGATCACTTCGCGAGACCCGGTCCCGTACCAACCCCGGGCCAGGGTTCCCAGTCATTCCGGATTCGGCCGCTACCGTCGCCCTGCCCATCGCATTGTTACTGCTTTTGCTGATCATACCGGCGGTTTCCGCAAGCGTGCTATCGCCGCATGGACCGGCGGACAGTGACCTGGAAAGCACGTTGTTGCCGCCGGTGTGGGTGGGGGATCAGGTACTGACGAAGGAGATAGTGCAGCGCGTAGAGAACGATGAGACGGAGGTGAGCATATACAACTTGAGGCACCTGCTGGCATCTGGCGCTGGGGAGTTGGAAGACCGGAACGGGAACGGGGGAGCCGGATCTGGGAGAGGCGTTCGTGCAGACGATGCCTGGAGGGAGTTGGGAATTTCCGCTGGGGACAGACCGACAGGGCCGCGACGTGCTGTCTCGCCTCATTTATGGCGTACGCTGGACGATGACCGTGTCGTTGGGTTCCCTGTTGTTGGCGGCAGCCATAGGCGTGCCGGTGGGATTCTGGGCGGCCACCCGAGGCGGTCGCCTCGACACCGTCATCCGGAACCTGGTGCACATTTACTTGCTCTTCCCCTCCGTGGTTCTCATGATGTTGGTCTTAGCCGGATTCGGTGGCGGAACCGTCGCGGTTTCATTCGCGATATTCATGTGGATGTGGCCCCGTTTTGCACAACTGACCCGGGAAAAGACTCTGGCGGCGCGCCGTCGAAACATCAGCTTGCTGCCGCACATCGCCAAAGGGTGCGTTGTGCTGGCGGCTTTGAACCTGGGTTTGGTGATCATGCTGGAAACCGCGCTGAGTTTCGCCGCTTGGCAACTAACACCCTTCACGCCCACCTGGAGTAGGTTGGTGATAGAAGCACGAGAATTTATTTTGCGCGGCTGGTGGCTCGCCCTGTTTCCTACTGTGGTCATTTTGGTCGTGATCCTCTCCGCCAACGCGTTTGGCGAGTGGGTGCTTAACCGCCTGGACCCGGAGCAACGGCAGGTGTAATCCGCTCACCAGGCATTGCCGTTCGTCCTGAGCCTGTCGGCGGACTCCAGGTCAACACAGTCCCTCTCCCCCGGCCCCCTCCCGGTGGGAGAGGGACTATTTTTCGGCTTGAGTGGGCCACCCTCCAGCCCACGCGATGATGGGAGGGTTACGTCGTAATCCCGAGTCTCCATCGAAGCACCCACCTACCGGCTATGGCGGTATTGCGCCTGGTAATCTACAATGGGCCGGCGACAATCACTCAGCGCGGCTTCGAAACGATCCACCGCGCTGCTACCCGTGAGGAGGGAACATTTTGAAGGTAAAAGCTGCTGTTTTGTGGGAAGTTGGCCAGCCATTGGATATCTGCGAAGTTGACCTCGACGAACCCAAGGTCGGCGAGGTTCTGGTCAAGGTCGGTTCCGCCGGTATCTGCCGCAGCGACCGGCATTTCATGCACGGCGACGCACCCATAGCCATTCCGGTCGTCCTGGGACACGAGGGCGCCGGTACCGTCGTCCAGACCGGCCCCGGCGTTACCCTCGCCCAGGAGGGAGATCAGGTCATCCTGTCCTTCGTGCCCGCCTGCGGACGCTGCCGCTCCTGTCTTGAGGGGCATAGCAACCTGTGCGATCTCCACGGAGCCACCGGCGCCAACATGTTCGACGGCACCACCCGCCTCCATGCCGATGGCAAGGATATCCACCACATGGGGAAGGTGGCCTGCTTCGCCGAATACGCCGTTATTCCCGAAACCGGCGTCGTCCCCATGACCAGCCCGGTGCCAATGGACAAGGCCGCCATGATCGGCTGCTCGGTCACCACCGGCGTTGGCGCCGCCCTCTACAGTGCCGAGATCAAGGCCGGCAGCACGGTGGCCGTCATTGGTTGCGGAGGTGTGGGCCTCAATGTCATCATGGGCGCCGCCCTCGCCAGCGCCGGCCAGATTATCGCCGTCGACATCCGCGAGGCCCAGTTGGAATTCGCCATGCGCTTCGGAGCCACCCACACGGTCAATGCCGCCGACCAGGATCCGGTGCGCCAGGTACGCGAACTCACCGGCGGACGCGGCGCCGACTATACCTTCGAGGTGTTCGGCAGCGCCGACACCACCAAGGCCGCCTACGACATGGCCGGCAAACGTGGCGTCGTAACGGTCGTCGGTATCGCTCCCTGGGGCCAGGAAGCCTCCATCAACGCCGTCGACCTGGTGCGTAACGAAAAGACTTTGCGTGGTTCCTACTACGGCTCGGCTCGCTCCCGCACCGACATGCCCGTCATGGTCGACCTGTACCAGTCTGGCAAGTTGAACCTGGATGACCTGGTCGTGCGCCACTACACCCTGGACCAGGTCAACGAAGCCTACGCCGACCTCGATCGGGGTGAAATTGGCCGCGGCGCCATCATGTTCGACTAGCAATCCAGGCTTCCCCTCTCCCGATGACGGAGAGGGGACAACGCACCGTCATTGCGAGCGCAGCGTGGCAATCTGGCCATGTTGCCCGGGAGCGGAATATGCCACGCCTGGAAATATTGTCCGAAGTGCAGCGCCGTATGCTGGAGTTCTTCCCCTGCATGGAATCAGACGACGTCCCCTGGACGCCGTTGGCACGGGACCTGTCGGAGAGCACGGTGGCCATCGTTACCACCGCCGGCCTGCACCTCCGCGATGACAAGCCCTTCGACCGCGACCATCCCGGCGGCGAATCCACCTACCGCGTCATACCCAGCGACTCCGACCCGGTCAACATTGTGCAGAGCCACTTCAGCATCGGGTTCGACCGCACCGCCATCTACCGCGATATCAACATCACCTTCCCCATCGACCGGATGCGCGAGTTGGTCGAACAGGGCACAATCGGCAGCCTGGCTCCCAACCACTACTCATTCATGGGCGCCCTCCGGGATTGCACCATCGTTGCCGAGCAAACCGGCCCCGAGGTAGCCCGGCGGCTCAAGGACGAAGACGTCAACCTGGTTTTTCTGACCCCCACTTGACCCCTGTGCACCCACGCCGTGAGCGTGCTGGCCAGGGTGTTCGAGGCGGCCGGGCTGACCACCGTTGCCGTGGCCCTCGTTCGCGAACACGCCGAACGAACCCGTCCGCCACGGGCCCTGTGGGTTCCCTTCTATTTCGGCTACACCATGGGCAAGCCCAACGACCCAGCCTTCCAGCATCGGGTTCTCGCCGCCGCGCTGGACACGCTGCAGGCCGACGCTGGCCCAGTCCTGATCGACTATCCCGACGACGCCGGCCCGGTCGGATTGCCCCAGGCATCCGAAGTTGCCGCTAACGGCAATGGCGCGCGCCAACACTTGGATGCCGCCGATGAGATCACTGCCCTCCGCAGCTACTACGAGCGGTGGGTTGAGCAGACCGGGCGCACCGCAGTCGGATTGACCGGAGTGCCCCAGCGCCGATTCCGCGGGATCATCCGCTTCCTGGAAGCCTACGCTGAAAGCGACGACGCCGACTTCGACGATCGACCCGACGACGTTACCGTTCCGCAGTTTGTGCGCTACTGCGCCGACGACCTAAAGGCTTTCTGCTACGAAGCCCGCATGAACCAGCGTCCGTCCGATGGCGAAACAGACATCCACCGATGGTTCTGGGGCGAAACCGCCGTGGGGGCCCTAATTGATAGCATCAGCCAGCGCCTCAACGCCACCGGCGACGCCAGGCTAACGGCCACCGCCTACGGCCTCTCCCGCTAGAAACCCCGAGACCCCCCCACCCCCGTTCATCCTGAGCCTGTCGAAGGACCATCCATGTAAGAAGCCGATCCCCTATGCCGGTCCCTTCCCACCAGGTCTGTCTGCTCCACTCCCGCCCTCCGGCGTATCGGCTGCCACGGGCGCACCGCCAACTGCCGGCATCGCCGCATCCCGCGCCGCCACCGCTCCCGACGGCATGGGTGATCCGTCCGCGCCGTTCCACCCGTCTGGGAAGTGCAGCGTCCGCACCGGATAATTTATGGTGATGCCCTCGGCGTTCAGGCGAGCGTGCAATTGCTTCACCAACTCGCTGCGAACCTCAAAACTGGCGAGCCGGTTCTGCGCCTGCATGAACAGCCAGAAGTCGATGTTGCTCTCTCCGAAAGCATCGTACCCGAAGTATGACCCGTACACCCGCACCGCTCCGGGATGTTCCCGCAGTACCAGGTTCATCACGTCCTGGCTCACCGCCTCCACCAGTTGCAAATCACTCTCGTACGCCACGCCGCAGGTCAAGTACACGTTGACGTGCTGGTCGGGTTTGCTGAAGTTGGTGATAATCGTCTCGGCGAAACGGGAGTTCGGTATGATGACCATGTTGTTGGTCCAGGTGCGCAATCGTGTGCTGCGCCAGTTCACGTCAACCACGTATCCGCTGACACCTCCCTCCATCTCGATGTAGTCGCCCTGACTTACCACGCCTTCGGTGATCACGTAGGTTCCCGCAAACAGGTTGCTCAGGGTCGGTTGCAGCGCCAACGCCACCGCCAGGCCGCCGATGCCCAGTCCTGCGATGAGCGGGCTGATGTTGATGCCAACAATGTCCAGCGACACCATGCCCGCCATGGCAAACACCACGATCACAATTCCACGACGTGCCATGGGTAACGCCCAGCTGCTGGTGTTGGCCGAATCGGTACTTTGCATGTAACCCTGCAACCAGCGCAGCGTCGCTGATCCAATGGCGTTGATCAGGATTGCACCGTTAATCACGGCCACGAACGCTGCCGTCCGGTTCACCACGTCCTGTACTGTCGGGGGCAGCGACAGGGGAACGGTTAACGCTAGGTATACGCCCAGCAGAATGATGTACGTCGTAACCGGGCCACGGGCCGCCGCCACCAAACGGTCATCCAGATCACCCGAAGATACCCGTGACAACCGCATCAATAACCTGAAGATCACCTTGCTGAACAGCACCGCGATCAAGACCGCCGCCACCAGGATAACGGCGCCGATTATCAGGTCGATCCACGAGATATTGATGGCGGCAAATCCTTGTGCCACCGACTGGAACCAGTTGTTAATGGCTTGTCCCATGCGTTCCTGCTGTACCGTCTGTATTTAGAGGGATATTTTAGCCCTCATCCTCCCCTTTGCGCCCCAGCCGTTGCTGCACCAATTCTACGATTCCTGGCAGCACCACCCCGGCCGGCCCGTTGATCGCTATGTCGGCAGCATCGGTCAGTTGCGTTGGCCCCGGGTTCACCTCAATGATTTTTGCCCCCAGGTCCCTGGCCAGCAACGGGAACTGCGCCGCCGGGTTAACCGTGCCGGAGGTGCCCACCAGCAACATGGCGTCACACCGTTGTACTTCAGCGAAGCAAGCTTCCAGCGTCGCACTGGGTATCGGCTCCCCGAACATCACCGTGTCCAGCTTGACCACGCCGCCACACGCATCGCATACCGGCGGCACGTCGGTGATCACGTAACCCGACCGGGGCCACCGCTGACCGCATCCCACGCACCGCATGAAATTTCGGTTCCCGTGGATTTCCAGCAGCGCCCGGCTCCCGGCGCGTCCGTGCAGGTCATCCACGTTCTGGGTGATGGTCGCCTTCAGCACGCCCGCCTGCTCCAGTTGCACCAGCGCCAGATGCCCGGGGTTTGGGTCGGCATTGTCCGCCGCATCCTTGAGGTCGTAGGTAGGGTTTCCCGCCGTTACCTCATCATGCAACCGCTGCTCCCACCATCCCTGCGGATCGGCCACAAACTCCCGGTACGACAGGTTGCTGGGCTGGCCGTACCGTGTCCACAACCCGTCCGGCCCCCGGAACGACGGTATCCCGCTCTCCACCGACAGACCGGCCCCGGTCAGGGCGATGGCATGGCTGGAGGCCGCCAGCGCACCAGCGGCGGCGGCAATGCCATCCCATGCGTCAGGTGCTCCCGATGTCATCGCTCTCCTTCCCTCACGCGTCCAGGGACACCGCACCGTCAGCGACGCGGAAATAGGTGGCGGCTGCACCAAAATGCGCGCGCACCGGTTCCACGTCGGTGGTGGTGAACAGCGCTTGCCGGTATCCTGACACCTTGTATAGCACTCGCTGCCGCCTTTCGTTATCCATCTCGGAGAACACGTCGTCCAGCAGAATGATGGGATCGTCGGCGCGTATGCGAGACAGGTATTCGGCCTCTGCCAGCCGCAGCGCCAGCGCGATGGTTCGCGACTCGCCCCTGGAGGCGAAGTCGCTGGCCAGCAATCCGTTGGACACTATGATGAAATCGTCGCGATGCGGGCCCACTGCTGTAACGCCGGTCGCCCTCTCCCGCGATGCTTGCTGCTGCAACTGCCGGCGAAATTCCAGCTCCGTATTCTCAATTGAGTCCTGCGGCGGGACCCGCGGTTGGTAAACCAGTCGCAGCGTCCGCCCGGACCCTGCCAATTCCCGATGCAACTCGTCAGCCGAAACCGCCAGGTGTTTCAACGCTTTGGCCCGACCCAATACCAGCAATGACCCGCATCCCACCAGTTGATCGTTCCAGTATTCCATCTCGTCCGGCTCCACCCGCCCATCCCGGTGCAGACGCAGCAAGCGGTTCCGGCTCCGCAATGCCGCCTGATAACGTTGCAACGCCGCCAGGTAATCAGGCACCGCCTGGCTGATCAGTATGTCGAGATAGCGGCGCCGGTTGGTCGGAGACCCCAGCACCAGATCCAGGTCATCCGCGACAAACAGGGTGGCGCCGATCAACCCGACCAGATTGGCCGCCGTGGATGGCTGCCGATTGACCCTGATCCGCTTCCGCACCATCGGGAACGGGGCGGCAACAACAGAGTCAGCAGCGCCGGGCTCCTGGGTATTGGTTTGCGATAAACCGTCGCCAGCGCCGACAGGCTCATAGCCCACCACGGCATTGATGGTCTGGCCGTCGCGACAGGCGATTCCCGCTACGTAGGCCGCCTGTCCACTGCTTCCCGCGTCGAAATTCACCACCTGCCGTTCGCTTCCGGCCCGGAATGACCGTCCCACTGCCAGAGTGTAAACCGACTCCAGCAGGGCGGTTTTGCCTTCAGCGTTGGCGCCATAAAAAACCGAAACGCCTGAAGGCAAATCGAGTTCCAGTTGGCGAAAATTCCGGTAGTTAGTGAGGATCAGCCGCGACAGATAGGCCACCAGATCACCTCTCCACTGGGAATGCCAATACCCCATCTCGAGCCCAGACGCCATGCGGCTTTGCCGGCATCGACCGGGGCGCAGGCGACCCGCTGCTTATCGGCTGGCGTAGATATAACGCCCGTTTTCGGTGGCCTCAGACAACACCATCAGGGATCCGTGATCCGCTTCCTCCCACAACCCAATGGTGTGAACCGCCAGTTCGTTCACTTGGCTGTTCTTGAGTTTCTCCACCAACGTCGCCCGGTCAACCTCGCTAACCACCAAAGAGCCATCCAATTCTGAAATTCCGCCGTCGGCGCCGTCAGTCAGCAGCACAATGACGTTTCTCCGTGTCGAATCATTCAGGGTGATCAGCATTTCGTGAGCGTCGTCCACGGCATCAAGAATAAAAGCCCCTTCGTTTTTCGTTTCCAGGTCCCGAACCGATTGTAGCCATTGAGTCTGTGCCGCCAGATCACCATCCAGCGCCGTCAACGGTATCAACTCTACCGTATCGGTGGTGAAGGTCACCAGCGCAGCCCGACTGTTCTCCGCCTGAGTTCCAACACTGGGGTCTATATAGGGAAATACCACCTGCAACAACGATTCCCGCACCACATCCAGGCTGTCCGTATCAGAAATGCTCTGGCTGGCGTCCACGACGACAGGATGGTGTTGTTGTGTTCGGATCGTACTAGCACGGCACGCTTCCGCAACGGAACCGCATCTTCCGGCGCCGGCGGTACCGGCTCGGGGCCCCGATTTCCTATCGAATCCTGGGCCGTTGGCGGTGTGATAGTCCTCGGGCCGGAATCCTGGTTGACAGCCCACAGGACGCCAATCACCAGCGCGGCCAATATCGCCAGAGCGAGCAGCAGGAACAAAACCCCCAGGAACAACCGCCACCAGGACCGCTGTGGCTCGTCATACAGTATGTAGATGGCCATGGGTCTTCAACCCGCCTGTTCTGCTCATGCCGCGCCGGCGGCACTCCTTCGCATAACGTAGAGTCGACGCGCTGAGAAGAAACCTGAAAGTCTCCCCGTAGACTGATGGCCCGTTCCAGTTCGGCCACACCACTTTTCTTTCGGCCGACGCGGCCTTCTACCACGGCTCCACATCCCAGGCACACCAGGTTGGCGTGTGGCGACAGATTGGCGTCATAGCGCGATTGCTTCTGAAAGTGCAGTTCGCGCACGATCCCCACCTGTTCCAGCAACCCCAGCGTCGAGTACACGGTAGCCAACGTTACGTACGGGAAGAAATCCCGCACCCGTTCGAACACCTGCCGCACAGGTGGGTGATCAGCGGAGTTAACCACCACCTCGGCAATGGCCAGTCTCTGGGGCGTCAGGCGGATCCCCAGCGGTTTCAACCGGGCCACCAAGTCTTCCTGAGTAGTCAAAACTTCAATTCCATCCCAAATGAATCCTGCCGGGTAGTATATCATCCCGGCAGGGTTGGGGCGTTGCACGCCCGTTACGTTCGCGTTACGGCTGGTCTCCTGTGCCTTCGCGCGTTGGCCGCGCTCCGAAACAGGTCAACCGCGGCGTGATTGACGACGCCGTTTACAGGCGGCCGCCACCACCGACCACGCGCTCGTTTACACCGAAGAACACGGCATTCTGCTTGCGGAACACCTGAATCCTCGAACGGGCTGTCTCAACAACGAAAATGTTGCCGTCATCGTCGCATTCGACCGCCATGGGACCCCAGAACAGCTCTCCGTTCCAGCCCTGAATACAATCTTCGCCTCTTCCCACATTGTCCGGCATTGCGTCCTCTTGCCCTACTCCCCACTGCGACATGGAACCTTCGCCGTAGGTCATACCTGCGTAGGCGCCGGTGGGGTGGAAAATCTGCAACCGGTCGTTGTTCCAGTCCGCCACGTAAATGGTTCCCTCTTTGTCTACATACTGCGACATCCGTTGGGCGAGCCAGTTGGCCGGGGCCGTCACCGGTTTCGCCGAATTCCATCAGGAATTTACCGTCAGCGGTGAACTTCTGAATGCGGTCATTGCGCCAGTCGGCAACGAGCCACGTTGCCGGCCGGATCAACACTAATGCCGTACGGCATGTGAACTGGCCGGGGCCGCTTCCAAATTCGCCCCACTGGGAGAGGTATTCGCCGTCTTTGGTAAGTATCTGCACCCGGTGGTTCGCCGAGTCGACCACATACAGTCGGCCGTCGGCTCCGAATGCCAGGCCGCTGATGGTCCGATTCACCGTCGCCTGGTGGGAGGGAGTGTGGGGTTGGTGGTTGGGTTGTGTGCTGTTTGGGCTTTGTTTGGGGTGGGTTGGGTTTCCGGGCCTTTCCCCTTGGACAGTACTCTTCCGTCCTGATGTCAATGCTGATTCGGTCCAGATACTCGTCAGCCAGGTACACGTTTTCGTCCGGGCCCACCACTATGGCCGTCGGCCAGATGATGGCGCCGTCGTGACACCGCTTCTGGCGCCGTCGCGCCCTGGTCGACACTGCCCTGGCAAACTCGCCGATAAACTCTTCATCAACGGTGCACATGGTGATCCGCTTTCCGTCGGGGCGGTAGTCGTATGAACGATTGGCCACGTACATCACGTTGCCTTCGCCTCGTGCCATCGCCGTCGGGTTGCGGAATCCCGGCCCCGAAAACTCAGCTCGGCCAATTGTATGGCTGTACTGCAGTGAAATGTCCAGGGTTGGCAACCCTGTCTGTCGGGTGGTAGTAGTCATAAACGCTCCTCCGTTACCACGGTGTCACAAACATCTGGCGCACCTGCAAATCCTCACAGGGTTGCCGTGGGCGCACCATTGAGATGCGCCCACATTTGGTTACACCAGGTTGAACTTCTCGAATGTCCCGTTCACCAACGGCTGGGCGTCCAGACCCATAAAGCCTTCCAGCAGGTCGGTGTAGATGCTGCGGAAATCGGTGCTGAAATGCAGGTCGCCTTCCAGCAACTTGTCATCCTCCAGCGACGGATATTCGCCGTACATTCCACCGTTTACAGCATCGCCCACCACAAAGGCCATTCCGCCGCTGCCGTGGTCGGTGCCGGATCCGTTGTCATGCACGCGCCGGCCGAATTCCGTGAATACCAGCACAACCACGTTGTCACTGGCATCATGTTCCTTCAGGTCGTCGTAGAAGTCCGCAATCGCGTTGGAGGTGTCCGTCCACAGTTTCGCGTGGGCGGCCAGCTCGCCAGCGTGCGTGTCGAAGCTGTTGTAAGGCGCAGTGGTGTAGAGGATGCGCGTACCGAAACCGGCCAGGTGAACCTGGGCGATGTTCTTCATGTACTGCGCAACCACGTTCCCGCCGTACTCCACTGTAGAGGTGTACATCTCGGGAGCCGTGCTCAGGATGTCGGCGCCCTTCAGCGCGTCCATGCCTGTCTGAGACAGATAATCCACCACTGAACTGCGGCCGATGGTAGGCGAGTAAATCTTGGAGAAGATGTCCAGCGCGTCGGTGCGCTGGTCTTCCTCTTCGATCCCCGTCAAAACGCCGTAGGTGGCCAGATTGCCTACCGAGGCAACCGGAACGCCCGGGGCGGCCAGCGCCCGGGGTAGTCCCCGACCAAAGTTAACGGCCGTCAGCACGTTTTCTTTGTGGGGGTCGATTTCGCGAGTGGCCCGGCCCAGCCAACCTTCCGTGCCCTGCTTGTCGGGCTCGCAGGTGTGCCAAATGTCCATACTTCGGAAGTGGCTGCGGTTCGGGTTGGGGTAGCCAACGCCCTGAATGACAGCCAGTTTGCCATCATCGTACAGGCGCTTCATTGTCACCATGTTGGGGTTCAGGCCAACATAGCGCCGTTCAGGTCCAGCGCCTGCCCTTCAGGGGACGCGCACAGACGGGCGATTGTCGTAATACAACGGATCGCCGTGGGGAACGACGGTGTTTAGAGCGTCGTTGCCGCCGGAAAGCTGGAGCACCACCAGCACCGGATCTTTCTTGGTTGCGGTCATCTCGTTTCTCCTTGTGGTCGAACCGGGAGCGGGACAGCGGAGTTCGACGTTCCTGATGCCGGCGGGCAGCGCTTATCGCCGTCCGCCGGCGCCCAGTGTCCCGATCTACGCAAACTGATACTCTTGGGTGCTCACGATGAGCTGCAGAGTTTGGGCATCGTATCCGGATATTCAGGAGTGCCCACGTTGGCATCGCCGCCGCTGCTGGCGAGATCGCGAGCTACCAGTTGGTCTCGCGTTTCCGGAGCCAATTCATAGGCTCCCATCATCTCAAGGCAGCGGTCCACGATGTTTTCCGCTCCCGAGATCTCTTCCCGGCCCAGGCGAGACACGATGTCCTGCACTCCGGGCAGATTCTTGTTGCCAACCTGATCGGCGGCAAAGTTGATATCGCGCTCCCACCGCGTGCCCTAGTGCAATCCAACTCCCTCGTCGCCGTGTGTGCAGCCTTCAACCGTCGGCGGGTTCATCAGATCCTGGCCCATGTAGCGAATGACGTTGGACAGCGGGTTCAGACCCAGCCGCGGCGTCGTGAAGTCGCGTACCAGTCGCATCGTTCCGATAACGACTTCAGCCGGACTCTTTACCTTCTCAAATCGGGCGTTCTTGAAGAAGTCGGAGTTGAACAGCACCCGCAGCATGGCGGTCAGGTTGAAGCCGGAGTCAAAGTACGTCTGCTCCAGCAGGGCAATGCCGGTCTCCGGCTCAGATCTGCTGCTGGGGCCTTGTTACCTACCAGGCCGGTACCTGCACCTCATCGGCTACGAAGAAATTGTACAGGTGGCGGGAAACAAAGCGGGCCGCCGCCGGCTGACGGGCAATGATTTCGACGATGTCGTCGCCGTTGAGATTGCCGGTCTCGCCAAGGAAGGTCTTCTCTGCCTCGTCGTGGTCGTACGGATTGTAGATAAAGTTGGCCTCATAGCGGCCGTAGGGGTACCGCGGCACGGCGTTGGTGATCGTCCAGCCGGTAAAGGCCCGGGCGGCTTCCTTAACGTCGTCTTCAGAGTAGTTGGCCTGGCCGTCCATACCGACGCCCAGGGAGAACAGCTCCAGCAGTTCACGGCCCCAGTTTTCGTTAATGGCGCCCTTATGGCTCATGCAGTTGTCCAGATAGAACACCCAATCGCCGGATCGCGAGCCAGTCCTTTCAGCAGGGCATCAAAATTGCCCATGCCCATGTCGCGGAACATGTCCAGCTGGAGTTTTACCTGCCGGCCGTGTTCGCACTTGGAGTTGCCGGTGCAAAGGATCCCGTGCCAGAACAGGGCTATCTTTTCCTGCAACGGTCGCCGCGTGTTGATCATCCGGTAAGTCCAGTACGCCTGGTTAACTTCCAGCGCGTTCATTTCCTTCCAGTCCACGAAGTGCCGCTCCAGAATGTCCATCTCCAGATCTGGCTGGGCTTCCGGATTCAATAGGTCTTCAACTGTGGCTTCGTAACCCTGGGCAACGCGTTCTTCCAGCTCGGCGTACGTGGCGCCAAAACCGGCCCGACGCATCAGGTGCGCCATCAGGGCAATATCCTGGTTACTGGGCATAGCGTGTTCCTCCTGCTTCACCTTTTGACGATTTCTTTCTCGATACGGATATTCGGTAGGTGCAATCCGTAACGGTACCGGTAGCCGACGCGGAACCGCGCGGTCACACCACTCAGATAGCGGCATACTACTCGCCGGCGGGATAAAGTGTCAAGGCAACGGATACCGATCCACCATTGCGGGTTTCGCAATTTCCCGTGCGATTTATGCGTATAACCGCCACCACGCCTCCACGCCAACTGGGCTGCCGTACTGATAGAACATCATAATTGCCGCCGGCGATGTTTACGATTTCACGCTGGCGGCAATCAATCCGTGGTTACCCCGGATCACATACTTGGTATTGTGGTTTTAACTGGCGATCCCGGAACCCCGCCGGCGCTTATGTTGACGCAGAATGCAGTCGTCCATAATTACGCCCACGCCCCTGGTGCGTGCCCGCTCCGCTGCCGCCTCATCCACCACACCGTCCTGCATCCAGATGTAACTGGCTCCGATGCGTACCGCGACGTCGGCAACTTCGCCCGCCAGTTCGCTGCGCCGGAATACGTCCACCAGGTCAATGGCAACGCCCTGCGCCTGCGCGGCTGCCAGCGCCGATTCCAGATCGTCGTACGACTGCTCGCCCAGCACAGCTGCGCCCTTCAGCGCCGGATTCACCGGAATAATGCGGTACCCTTGCGCCTGCATATACGCCGACACGCCGTGGCTGGCGCGCGCCGGATTGTCCGACAACCCCACCACCGCGATCGTCTTTACGTTATCCAGTATCTCGTCGATCAAGTCCATGTTTTCTCCTCCTGGAATCCCCTCACCCCAGCCCCTCTCCTCTGGAAGAGGGGCTTTTTGGCCGTTGCGGCTGAGATCCCTCCCTCTCTCTGGGAGAGGGTTAGAGCCTGCCCCGGGCTTGACCCGGGGGTAAGGGCCTAACCCCTACCGGCTGGCGGTGCTAGTCGCTGGCGGTAATGGTGATGTGGCCCATGTAACCGTTTGCAGTGGCGCCGTGCCAGTGATTTTCGCCGGCCTTGATCTGCACCACGTCACCGACGCCTACTTCCACCTCGTGGGTTTCGTCGGCCACGGTCCCGTTGCCCGTGGTGATTACCAGAATCTGGTCGCTGCTGTGGCGGTGCCATCCCGTCTGCGCGCCCGTCTGGAAATTGACGATGCTGGCGTTGAAAAAATCACTCTCTCCCTCTGGGATGATGGGTTGACGCGTGCGGTGCACCTCGCCGCCCGTCCATCCCGGTACGGCTGCCGCGGGGCCCAACGGTATGTGCTCTACATTGGCTATTCGAACTACTCGCATCATTTTCCTCCTGATTGATAGTGCTCGTACTGCCATCGGTCCCTCCGCCCGGAGGCAGAGAGTATGGGCAGGGTATTTGTAAGGTTGTTGAGTACTGTCCTATAGCACGCGGGTCGGCGTGCCGGCGGTTACCTGGCAGGAACCGGCAAGCCTGCGATTTTCACCGGCACGCTGCCTACCGTGTTGCGACTCGTGAAGTACAGCGTCTTCCAGTCCGCGCCGCCAAAGCAAAGGTTAGTGGTGGCCGGCTGACCATGCACCACGATTCCCAACGTCTCTCCCCCAGGATTCATGATGTGCAGACCGCCCGCACCGCCGCAATAAACGTTGCCTTCAACGTCCACTTTCATACCATCGGGTACGCCTTCCCGCTCGCCGCGCATATCGGCGAACAACCTCTGCGTCGCCAATGACACGCTCCCGTCGTCCTGGACTTCAAAAGCCCTGATGATTCCCCGGCGTGAATCGTTCACGTAAAGGATGCTCTCGTCGGGAGAGAAAGCCAGTCCGTTGGGCACCACAAAGTCGGATGCCAGCAATGTGAGCGTACCCAGGTCGGCCGACAGCCGAAATACGCCAGAAATCGTCTGTTCCCACTGCTCGCGGGGGCGGCGGAATGTCCACGGTCGGTGGAATGTGAATGGAAATGAAATAAACTGCGCCGTCGGACTTCACAACTACGTCGTTGGGGCGGTTCAGCTGGCGACCCTGGAACTGGTTGGCCAACACCGTGGTGGACCCGTCGCGCTCCAGCCCGCTGACGCGCCGGCCATCGTGTTCGGCCGCGATAAGGCGACCCTGCTGGTCGCGCGTCAGGCCATTGTGGCGATTTACCGGTTCGGCGTCCACGGTAACGCCGCTTCCCGGCGTGTAGCGCACCCGGCGGTTGTTGTGGATATCGCTAAACAGCAGGTAGCCGCCGTCACTCCACCACACCGGCCCCTCCGCCGGTCCCTCCGACCCACCATATCCGGTGCCGTGTTCCTCTATTGGGGCGTCGCTGTCGATGATGTTGTCCAACGCAGGGGATAACTTTTCTATGGGCATATTCGCGCCTCCTGATTATTTTCGGCCCAGCGCCGATCTCGTCAGCGCAAGCAATGATTCCCGCCATCAATGATTCCCGCCGTCATTGTAGGCGTGTCAAACGGGCGACGCAACGACCTGGCCTTGTCCAACCATCAGCCCATTCCGATCATCCCATCAAAAGTTGCAGGCCCATCTCTATGCGCTTCGTGCGCCGGTTGGGGTTCAATAGGCGCAGTTTATTTACCTTTTTTAGAAATTGCACCAAATTATGAGCCGTTGGTTAAACCAAACCCACCAGGGGGACTGTCTGCAACTGATGTCCCAGATGCCGGCCGGCTCGGTGGACCTGGTGGTAACTTCACCGCCGTACAACCTCCTGAACAGCAGCGGCAACGGCATGAAGAACGGCAACGGCGGCAAGTGGTCGCGTTCCGCGTTGATGCAGGGCTACGCCGATCACGGTGACTGTATGCCCCACGAAGACTACGTCGAATGGCAGCGAGAATGCCTGCGAGCCATGCTGCGCGTGCTGGGGCCCCACGGAGCAATCTTCTACAACCACAAATGGCGAGTGCAGCGTGGCCTGCTCCAGGACCGGGCCGACATCATGGACGGGTTCCCGGTTCGGCAAATCATCATCTGGCAACGCTCCGGCGGATTCAACCATAATCCCGGCTACTTCCTGCCCACCTACGAGGTCATATACCTCATCGCCCACCCCGAATTCCGCTTGGCTGCCAAGGCCGGCGGCGTCGGGGATGTCTGGCGCATCCAGCAAGACCGGAACAACCCCCATCCGGCTTCTTTCCCTCTGGATCTGGCCCGACGCGCCATCGCCGCCACCACCGCCCGCGTCGTGCTGGACCCATTCATGGGCAGCGGCACCACCGGAGTCGCGGCCCGCCTGGAAGGACGGGATTTCATCGGCCTGGAAATCTCCGATGAATACTGTCAATACGCCCGTCAGCGCGTGGCCGAAATGGCCGAATCGGCTGGGGCTCCAGATAACGCCAGCGACGCACTGTCGCCCGCCGTCCCTGATGCGCTGGCCGTGCGCGATGCGTTGCTACCCTCGCCGGCGGTGGCCCGCTAACCAACTGGCGAACGCTGGGATACCATCCGTATCCCGTCGGTGGGCGATGGTACAATCAGCAGGTGCGCCGGCACGTCACCAGCCATTGGCAGTCCATTGTTTCGAGGCACACCATGACCACCACCAGTACGCGCCAGATCAGCCCATTCCATCCCATCCGGAGGAGCCCAGGTCGTCCACCGTGACCATCCCCCTTGCCGAATTCGGCAAGTCGCTGGCCGACCCGGACCTGGACAACTGGTTCGTCGAATTTTCCGAGCGCAACTCTGACGAGGGCCAGACCTACGAAATTTCCAACACAGGACGTTTGCTGATTATGGCACCCACCGGAAATCCTGGTTTTTACCACGAAACCCAGTTATCAACCGACCTGACCATTTGGGCCAGGGAATACGGCGGCTTCGTAGGCGGACCCACCGGTCGTTTCGGATTTCCCGATGGTTCAAGGCGCGGGCCGGACGCTACCTGGGTGGCTTCGGAACGGCAACAAGAATTGATGCTGGCGATAAACCGTCCGGTCGCGCAGTTCGCCCCCGATTTCATTGCCGAGATTAAATCGCCCACCAACAGCGATGCCGAGCTGATCGACAAGATCAACCTGTTCGTCGAGCATGGTACGCGCCTGGCCTGGTTGATCGACGCCGCAACCCGCACCATATCTATTTTCCGTCCCGGTCATGATCCAGAGATATTGCGCGATCCCGAATTTGTTGACGGCGACCAGAATGTCCTGCCCGGGTTCCAGTTTGCTGTTCGCGAGCGAATCTTCGATTACATGAACAATTCCCAATCCTGAACGATCCCCAGTCCTGAACCATCACCCGCCCTGACCAACTCCCAGTGAGGTTTCCCAGTGCCTGAACAGAACTACGACGTGATAATCATCGGCGCCGGCATGGCCGGTCTCACCGCCGGCATCTACTCAGCCCGCCACGGCCTGAGCACCGCCATCGTTGAAGAAATGATGGCCGGCGCTCAGATTATCAACCTGGAGCGCATCGAGAATTTCCCCGGCTTCCCCCAGGGCATCGCCGGCTACGAACTCGGCCCGTCAACCCAGGAACAGGCCATGGACGCCGGCGTGGAAATCCTAATGGACACGGTTACCGACGTGAACGCCAACGGTGACTACCTGCAGGTGGTTGGCGACGGCGGCAGCACGTATCGCGCCAAGGCGGTCATCATGGCAGCCGGCTCCTCTTTGCGCACCCTCGGCATCCCAGGCGAGGAAGAATTCAACGGACGTGGCGTTTCTCACTGCGCCACCTGCGATGGCCCAATGTACATGGGGCAAACCGTCGCGGTCGTGGGCGGCGGCGACTCCGCAGCCGACGAAGCCCTCACCCTCACCGACTACGCCGACCGTGTCATCCTGTTTCACCGCGGCGACGCGCTGGACTCCCAGAGCGTTTTGCAGGAACGCATCGCCGCCTCCGGCAAGATCGAGGTGCGATACAACACCGAAATCGTTGAGGTGCTGGGCGAAGACGCGGTAACTGGCATTCGCGTACGTTCCGCCGACGGCGAGACGGTGGAGCCGGTGCATGGCCTGTTCGTGTACGTCGGTTTGAATCCCAACTCGGCGCCCATCGCCAACCTGGTTCCGCTGGACAACTCAGGCCACGTACCAGTGGGCCTCACCATGGATACCCCCAAACCGGGTCTTTTCGCCGCCGGTGATATCCGCCAGCAGTCAGCGTCCCAACTGGTGGCATCGGCCGGCGACGGCGCAACCGCTGCCATCGCGGCATTCCGCTACATCAACTCCAGGCAGTGGTGAGTCTCGTCATGCAGATTACCGATCACGTGTACAGCACCCATATCCAGGAAGACCCAAACGCTTACGGCGCAATGCATCCGGGCGGCACCCAGATATACTTCGTCGGCGACCCGGCCCGGCCACATGGTGATGATCGATTCGGGCGAACCCTACCGTGCCTGGCGTCATCAAATCGCGGCCTACTGGGACGAGTTGGGCCGCCCCGTCATCGACGCCATCCTGATTACCCACGGCCACGGCGACCATATCGGCGGCCTCGACCGGTTGCAGGAGCTGTTCGATTGCCCGGTGCGCTGCCACCCCAAGCTGGCGCCCAGGTTGCAGCACATCCTCGGCGGCGGCTCAGTGGTTGCCCTTACGGCCCCCGAAGTTATTGCCACTGGCGGCGGCGCGACCCTCAGGCCACTGTTTACGCCGGGCCACGAGGAAGATCACGTCTGCTACTTCCTGCGGCCCGACCGCGTACTATTCAGCGGCGATAACCTGCTGGGGCAACTCGTCATCCAGCGTTCGCAACCTGAAACTGTACATGTCCTCGTTGAACCGCATGGCCAAAACCCGCCCGCAGGTGGTTTGCCCCGGCCACGGCAGCACCATCCTGCGCGGCGAACCCCGCATCCTGCAGCAGATTGCCCACCGCCAGGGTCGCGAAGACCAGGTGCTGTCGGCGATTGCCAAGGGCGCTGCCACCGTTGAGGAAATCGTGGCCGCCGTCTACCCACGGAACCTGCGCAGGTCGTTGCGCGACGCCGCCGGCCGCAACGTGCGTACGCACCTCGAAAAACTGCGGCATGAGCATCGCGTCAATGAGCAGGAAGCCATCTACACCCTGCCCGGATAAACGCGCCATGCGACCGCAACGTCCGATGATACGTCGCGCCTCTGGACCTCCCGGAGCAGCCGGCTGCGGATTGGTATTGTTTTGTCTGGGCGTTTTCCTGCTTTCGCCCATCGGCCTGCTCCTCATCAAAGGCGTAGCGTGGGTACTGGTCGGCCTGGGCGTCCTGCTGGCCGGCCTTGCAATCTGGAGTTGGTTAAGGCAGCGATGAACTCGGCTGCCTAACCGCCTGGCTACGGCACCATCAACCCCGAACCATCGCGTTGCAACAGTTCCACGCGCACGTCGTCCGGCCCCCGCACGAAGGCGATGCGGACGCCCGGCCTGATGGTGCGGGGCTCCACGTAGATCTCAGCGCCCTTGCTCCGCAGGTCTTCCACCGCCCCGTCAATATCATCGACCCGAAACCCAAAGTGGTCCAGGCCAAGGTGCGGATCACTGGGGTTGGAGTCGATGTGCTCCTCGGGAGCCACGCTTGCGATGAAGATCGCCAACCCGTTCACGTCCAGATCAACGCGGGGCACCCCGTCGCTTTGGACGCGGTTCAATACTGTCGCCCCAAACATGGTCTCGAAAAAACTAGCCATCCCTTCCGGGTCTTTGGTGCGTACATGGATGTGGTCGTACGTATAGGTGTACACCGGTGCGGCAGTAGACATTGATCGTTTCTCCTTGGTGAATCAAAGAATATTGGGAACGTATGCTAACCCATTATTCATGACCTGGAGCGCAGTTGCTATTCAACTGCGCTCCTTAAATTCGTGCGTCGGTTACTGGATTGGGCCGGGTTCCTTTATCTGTTCCATCAGGTCGTTGTCCCATTCGCCTTCCGCCACCAGTATCGCCTTGGCATCGAACACGAACGCCTCGATGAGGTTGTGCGACAGGTAGGCATAGGTTCCCGGTTGCCGAATCGTGTGAATCGACGCCCCGGCGGAACCGGCGGCTACCACCCAGGTCTCCAGGTCCACCGCCGGCGGACTGTTGAACCCGCCGCGCTCCCAAACGTAGTCGCCGTGCCCGCCAATCAGGTGCGGATAGGACTGCCGGTTGGCTTGTGAGTGGACAATCAGCACGTTTTCGCCCACGTTGGCAGTCAGTTGGCCGTCACCCTGCAGCGCACCGGTAACTCCGTTGAACACAATGTGCGTCGGTATCAACGTCTTCATCGCCGCCAGATCGTCCACCATAGAGGCGGACGGGCTTTCGTAGCGCTTGAACTCACCGTTTTCGTCCCGCGGCAGGTAGTAATCCTGCTCCCCCACGTAGTAGGCGCGGTCGTAGGAGATCGGATTGCCCGCGGGATCTCTCAGGCCTTCCCGAGGCAACACCATGATCGCCCCGTTCATTCCGTGTACCACGTGCCACGGCACCATCGTTCCGCCGGGCGCGCAGTGGTAGATGAACACGCCGGCCTTGGTCGCCCGGAACCGCAGCACCACCTCCTGCCCCGGCCCAACCTGGGTCAGCGAACCGCCGCCCAGGGCGCCGCTGGAGGCGTGAAGGTCTATGTTGTGCAGCAGCTCATTGCTGGAAGGGTTTACCAGGGTCAGCTCCACGTAGTCCCCCTCGTGCACCACGATGATGGGGCCGGGTACCGATCCGTTGAACGTGAACGCCCACATGAACACACCCGAAGTTACCTCGATCTCCTTCTCTTCCACCACCATCCGAATCTCGACGACCCGTGGATCCCCGGTATTCACCTGCTCGTGCTCCGGGAAAAACGGCGGAGCGACCAGCTCCTGCGTAACCCGTTCCAGGCCAGACACGTCTTCCGGATCCCAGGTGCGCGGCCCGCTCCAGTAGTCGCTTCCGGCCACCGCCGCCGTCGCCTCTCCACCTCCGTCACCCACTGCCTCCTGACTCGGCAAATCCGTGGGCAACGAGAACGTCGGTACTGCGGTTGCCGCCTCGTCCTCACCCCCGCAGGCCACACCGACGGACAGCATCGCTACCATCGTCAGGGTAAAAAACAACGCCAGCGTCCACCGGCGTTTCGGATTCCCCTGTGCTTTGAATTGCATGATTATCCCCTCACTAAAGAGTGTAGGACGATACCAAAAGTTTAGATAAACGGAAGAATAGCGACCGGTGCAAATTGTTTCAAGGCAACGGCTACCTCACGCGTACCCGATTTAATCTGTCATTGCGAGGAGCACAGCGACGTGGCAATCCCGATGAGGCTGAACACACTTCGACGAACCGCCGTTGCTACGGCGACGAGATTGCCACGCTACGCTCGCAATGACAAAGTGGGTACGCGTGAGAGCGGCTCCTGGGTTTGGCTATCCTCTATATCTATCCCAGGTAGGCGCGAGTAGTCCCGGTTATGTGGGAGGTGTCGTTGTACAGATGCAGCACCGAGTTGTTCGGGTAGGTACGCACCACCGTCAACGAGCAGTTGTGCATCACGAATTTCCAGTTGGCTTCCAGCGGCAGTTCCAGCAGCGAAACCAGCCCGGCGCGCAGACTGCCGCCGTGCCCAACAACCAGCACATTCTCATCCATGTGCTGCTGACGAACCTGTTGAAATATCCGGTCCAGCCGAACGCTGGTTTCACGGATGGTCTCGCCGTTCGGCGGCGCAAAATCCAGGTCGTTGGCCATTGAGGCTTCGTAAAGGTGTGGGTATGCTTCCCGATACTCGTCGGCCGTCATTCCTTCGAACACGCCCTTGTTGTACTCCCGCAAGTCCGGCGTGAACGAAAGCGGCACATCCCTTTCACCCACTGCGACCCTGGCCGTTTCCGCTGCCCGCTTCAGATCCGACGAGTAAACCGCATCGATTTGTATCCCCGCCAACCTTCTCGCCAACATCCGGGCCTGTTCCTGGCCCCGCGACGACAGCGCCACGTCGGTATGTCCCTGGATGCGTCCCTCGGCGTTCCATTCCGTTTCGCCGTGCCGAGTGATGTAAATGATCCCCATACTTGTCCTTACCTATAGTTGATTTCGCCCCAAACGTCCGCTACGGCATCGACCAACCGTACGCAGTCCGGAACGGGCCGCAGGCCGATGCGAATGCAGTCCGGCAACCCGAACGACGTGCAGTCCCGCACGAAAATGCCCCTGCGCGCCAACTCGTTCCGGAGTCCAGCGGCATCCCCAACCTGGGCCAGCACGAAGTTGGCCGCCGTCGGGTAGCACTTTACCCCGAGCTCACCCAATCCCTGTTCGATGCACACCCGAGATTCCTGCACCGCCGCCCGGGCCCGCGGCAGGTAACCATCGTCGGCCAGCGCAACCACGCCCGCCGCCTGCGCCAGACCGTTCACGCTCCAGTCCGGTTGCAATGCTGCCAGGCGTGTGATAACCGATTCCGCGGCCACCGCGTAGCCCAACCGCAACGCAGTCAGCGCGTAGTCCTTGGTCATCGATCGCAGCACCACCACCGCCTCGGTCGACGCTACCAGTGCTGTCGCGCTGGCCTCGGACTGTCGTTCCGACAGGTTGATGTACGCCTCGTCCACCACCAGCAAACTGCCGACGGCAACGGCTGCTTCCGATAGTATCTGCAGTTCTGCCCGATCCATCAATGCGCCGGTGGGATTGTTGGGATTGCACATGAACACCAGCGCCGGGCGTCCGGCAGTGATGCGTTCTGCGGCGACCCCCGTGTCCCACGTGAATCCGGCCTCGCTCCGGTTTGCCTCCAGGTTCTCGACGCCTCCCCCCGACAGGGTTACCGCCCCGGCATACTCGCTGTAAGTCGGCGTCAGCAGCATGGCGACGCGATTCACGCCCCCGACCGGTGACCCTACGTAGGCTCTGGCCAGCAGATGGATGATCTCGGTGGAACCGTTCCCCGCGATGACATTCCCGATGCCGATGCCGTCGCCCCGGTGATGCTGCGCAATCGCTTCCGTCAGCGCCAGGCTGTGCGGATCGGGATAGGCCGCCAGTTCCACGGCGGCGATTGCCTCAGCCACTCCCTCCGGCGGCCCCAGCGGACTGACGCTGGCCGAGAAGTCCAGGCAATCCTCCAGCTTCAACCCCAGCTCGCGCAGTTCCGCCAGCTTGATCGCGCCGTGAACCGGTCGCCCGGTAGCGCCGCCAATGGCAGCGTCGTATTGATCCAGACTATTCATGCTGGGTCGCGCAGTGACGAACGCGAATCACCTTCCTACCTTTCTTCGGGCCGTGACCATTGCACCGTAGACTAGGACACCATTCTACTCTACACCTCTACACCCGTCAGACCAGCGCCACCCGCAGGTAGATGATCCCGACTGCCAACCCACCGGCCAATGCCGTGGTCAGGTACAGCGCCCGCGTGGCCAACCCGATGTGGGTCCCCTCCGGTTCCGGCGCCGGATCACCCAATCGGTAGTGCCCCACCTTCTCCAGCGTCACGCCCAACCCTCCGGCCATCGCCGCCATCGTCCAGCCGGCGTTGGGCGACTCGGTTCGCCCGTGGTGCGCCAGCATGATGCGCCATGCCGGCCCTCCGCGCATTCCCGGCAACACCACCGTGGACAACCACAGCAGCGCCGCCGCCAGCCGCGCCGGGACCAGGTTCACCAGGTCGTCCAAACGCGCCGACGGTTTGCCCAGATATTCGTACCGCCCCCGGTACCCGATCATGCTGTCCAGTGTGTTGATCGCGCGATACGCCACCGCGCCCGGCAGCCCGAAGATCGCGAACGCCAGCAACGGGCCCACGATGCTGTCGGTAATGTTTTCTGCCACCGATTCGATGGCCGCCGCCGCCGCTTGCCTCTCCGTTAATCCGGATGGGTCCCGGCTCACCAGCGCCGACATCCGCCGCCGTACCTCTCCGATGTCTCCGGCGGCCAGAATTTTCCCGATATCTGCGGCCACGCGATGCAGCATACGTACCGAAAAGGTGGTTTTCAGCAGCGCGGCCACTACCACCACGTAAGCCAGCGGGTGCAGTTCCAGCAGGCCAAAGCTGACGGCCCAGGCCAACGCTCCCCAGGCTGCGGGAATCACCACGGCCATCGTTGCCCCGTATATCAGCTGCCACGCCGTTGCAGCATCCCGACCCGGCGCGACCCGTTCTGCCGCCGCCACCGTGTTGCCGATCCACACCGTCGGATGCAACCGGTTGGGCGGTTCGCCCAACGCAACGTCCAGCGCCAGCGCCAGGATCAGCGCCAGCACATCCAGCGGAACCGGCAAAGACAGCAGGGTTGCGGCTACTACGTCCACACGCTTAACCCGTGACCAGCCCGAACCACGCGAAGGGAGGCCCGAACCAGCCCCGCGCCAGCAGCGCAACCAAAACGATCAGGGCCGCCGACTCCACCATCTCGTTGACGGCGCCGTAGCAATCGCCAGTCAACCCGCCGCCCAGCTTTTTGGCCAACACCATCCCCATCAGGAGAGCAAGAACCGATACGCCGGCCCATACCGCCAGTCCGGCTACGCCGCCGGTTCCTGCCGCAATCAACCCGGCAAACACCAAGGCCCACGCCGTCGCCAGCCACGGCTTTCCCCCCGAAGTGAAAGCCGTTCCTATCCCCTGTTGGCGACCGTACGGAAACACCGTGAGCAACAGCGTCATCGTCCAGCGCGCAACGATCGGGAAGAACAGCAGCGCCGGCCACACCGTCCCGTCGCCTGCCAACAGCGTGGTCAGCGCGCCGTATTTCACCAGCAATACGCACCCGGCTCCCGCCACCGCAAAGGCGCCCACTCGCGAATCCCGCATTATCTCCAGACGTCGCTCCACGGTCCTTCCACCCCAAACGCCGTCGCACACGTCCATCAAGCCGTCCAGGTGCAGAAATCGGTTGGATACTGCCAGAGCAGCCACCAGCAACGCCGCCGTGAGTGGCGCCTCGATGCGAAGCCAGCGGCATAACTCGGCCACGCCCACCAGCAGCAGGCCGTACAGCAGCCCCACCAACGGGTACCAACCCCGGGAGCGCGAGATTTCCCGGTCGGTGGCCGTGGATAAACCCACCGGCGCCAGCGTCAGGAACGACAGCGCCACCAATAACGGCCCGAATAACCATCTCATCGGTGCTGCGAACCCCGGAGGTCGACGCGACGGCAGGTTATCGCCGAAATCTGCTACCCGTCATCCCGGTCGCTGACACCAGCTTCCGCAAAGGTAGCCATCTCGGCCAGACAACGCGCCGCTGCTTCAATAATGTGCATCGCCAGCGCTGCTCCGGTGCCCTCTCCCAGCCGCATGTTCATGTCCAGCAGCGGAGTCAATCCCATTGCGTCCAGGGCAACATTGTGACCCGGCTCAACCGAGCGGTGACCGCCGATAAACCGCTCCGCTGCCACCGGACACAACCGCCAGGCTATCAGTGCCGCGGCCCCGCTGATGAACCCGTCCACCACCACCGCGCAATTCCTGGACGCTGCTCCCAGCATTACACCGGCCAAGACGCCAATCTCGTAGCCGCCCACTTTGCACAACACGTCCAGTCCATCGTTGGCGTCGGGCTGGTTGGTTTCCAGCACCCGCCGGATGGTATCGATCTTGGCAGCCAGCCCCGCGTCGTCCACTCCGGTGCCCCGGCCCGTAACGTTCGCCACGTCCGCGCCGGTGATGGCCGCGGTGATGGCCGCCGACGGCGTGGTGTTGCCGATGCCCATGTCCCCCCCGGCAATGACGTTGGCGCCAGCGTCCGCCCGCTCGATGGCGGCGGCAATGCCCACCTCCAGACACTGGATGGCATCTTCTCGGGTCATGGCCGGCCCACGGGCGATGTTGCCCGCGCCGTACCCCACCTTGGCGATGGTTAACCCCGGATGCGGGTCCAGATCAACCGCCACCCCGGCGTCGATCACCACGATGTCGGCGCCCGCCTGACGCGCCAGCACGTTGATGGCCGCGCCGCCAGCCAGGAAGTTGAACACCATCTGCGGCGTTACCTCGGCCGGATACGCAGACACGCCCTCCGCCGCGACGCCGTGGTCGCCCGCCGCGACAATGACCGCCTTGCCCGTGATCGCCGGTATCGCCTGCCCAAAGATACCCGCCAACTGGATCGACAGACTCTCCAGGCGACCCAAACTGCCGGGCGGCTTGGTCAACACCCCCTGGCGGGCCTCCGCTGCGGACACCGCCGCCTGATCCAGCGGGCCGATAGCGGCGATAGTTTCATCCACGAGCTCGGAGATGCTCATACAATTCCTTCCTTGAGTGACGATCTCTGGAGCGACGATCCTCGGAGTGACACTGCCAGCGTGCTGTCATCGCGGGCGCGGCACGGCGATCCCGTTGCGGGACCAACCACTAACCGCACCGGTAGCGCCCAACCCGTCAATCCCGATAAACCTAAATATGACCATCCGGCTTCAGAACTCGATGCCGGGCTGGGCTTTGATGCCGGCGTCATAGGGATGCTTCACCACGTTCATCTCGGTAACCAGGTCTGCAAACTCGACCAGCTCGGCCGGAGCATGTCGCCCGGTGATAATGACGTGCTGCATTTCGGGACGATTCGTCAACGCCTCGACCACATCCTCCACCGGCAGCCAACCGTAATGCATGGGGTAGGTGAACTCGTCCAATATAACGAGGTCGTATTCCCCGGCGTTGATCACTTCCTTGGCATCTTCCCACAGTGCCCGGGCCAGGTCTGCGCTGGCGTCCAGATCCTGAGAGCGCCAAGTAAACCCATCGCCCATGGCCCGAACCGTTATGCCCATCTTGGCCGCAGCCCGCTGCTCGCCGAAATTGGCCGTGGTGTGCTTGATAAACTGCAGCATCACCACCTTCATGTCCCGACCCCACGCCCGCATCAGCACACCCATGGCGGCGGTGGTTTTACCCTTGCCGTTGCCCGTGTTAACAATTACCAGTCCCTTGTTGATGCGCGGCCCACGCACCGATTGGGGCCCGTGCCTAAGCTCTTCCGTTGCCATTTCCGCTCCGTTCCGTTTCGTCCTGTGCCTGTTCCGTCCTGTGCCCGTTCCGTCCCGTAGAAAAGTTTCCCGTCTTTCGTCGTCCGGCTTTACCGGCGCGAACGAGCTGCCGCACACGTGTCCACGAATCGCTGCGCGAGACCGGGCCGGCTCCCCAGGTGCACGTGGATGTACGACGCCCAAACGCTACCCACCCGAAACCCCTCTGGCCGCCCATCCTGGTTCACCACCTGATAGGCCGCGCTGGAGGCATCCGGCGGTTCCTGCAATACCGACCAGTGGAACTCGTGGCCACGCACCTGCTCGCCCGAACGCAACAATGGCCCGTCGCCGCAGGCCGCTACCTCCCGGTAGCCCAGGTGCAGCCGCCGCCCGTCCATCGATGACACCACCGGGATCGCGCCCACCATGGGGAATTGTTGCCCGTCCAGGTCGGACAAACTGCGTCCCAGATACATCAGTCCGCCGCACTCGGCGTACACCGGAACACCATCGGCTATCGCTTTCCGCACCGACTCCAGCATTCCCTGGTTGCGCGACAGATCATCGGCAAACAGCTCCGGAAACCCTCCACCCAGATATACGCCGCCCACCCTCAGGCAGCCGATCATCATCCAGTGGAGAGAACGGCACAACTTCGGCGCCCCACGCCTCCAGCAAATCCAGCGAGTCCTGATAATAAAAGGAGAACGCCCGATCCTGCGCCACGGCAATCATCGTCCGCTTCGGTTGGGCATCCGCCGGAAACACCTGCGATGCGCCCGTTCCCGGCTTGCCGGCGCCGGCGGCAATGCGGGCGATGGCATCGATGTCGATCGTCTTCTCCACCTGCGCGTTCAGAGCCTCGTACCATTCGTTGACCACCGTCCCCTCTACCGTTGGAATCAGGCCCAAATGACGCTCCGGCTGCACCAGGTCATCCCGCCGCGGCAGCCATCCCACCACCGGCAGTCCTGTGGTCGCCTCGATCTGCGGCTGGCAAAACTCCAGGTGCCGCTCGCTGCCCACGCCGTTCAGAATGACGCCGGCGATGCGGAGATCAGGATCAAACTGCTGGTATCCCAGCACCTCCGCCGCCACACTGCGCGCCACCTTGCCGGCGTCGGCAATCAGGATAACCGGCGCGTCCAGCAGCTTGGCCAGTTCAGCGGTGGAACCGTCTTCATCCAGCGACGAGTGGCCGTCGAACACGCCCATCACCCCTTCCACCACGGCGATATCGGGCCGCGCCCGACGACCGGTGGAACAGCTCCGTAACCACCGGATGCGGCAACAGCCAGGTGTCCAGGTTGCGGGAGGGCACGCCGCACGCGAGCCCGTGATACGTGGGGTCGATGTAATCGGGGCCCGCCTTGAACGGCTGCACCTTCAGGCCCCGCCGAGCCAGCGCACCCATGATGCCGCTGGCGATGGTGGTTTTCCCCACGCCGGAACGCACCCCTGCAATCACAACGGCTGACGGCATATCAGGTCATCCTCGCAATAATTCCGTCTCCCGGCGGGAGAGAGGCAGGGCAACGGCCACCGCAACATGGTTTGATGGGACCGAGCTTCAGTTTGGGCACTAATACCATCCTACGGGTGTTCTTCTATCGAATCGTAGGCGTCGGCGGGCAACGCGATTTTTTGAGGATACTTTTCCAGCAGCGCCATGAAGAAATTGTGCCGGTGCGGGTTGGTGGCATCCACTTCCGATTTGCGCAGATAAACGCGCATCGCCGGATGGCCGTCGCCGTCGCGCATCCACAGTTGATACGACGGTAACCCCTGGTCATTGGTGGTTTGAATGAATTCCGCCTCCCGGATTTTCGACATGTCCAGGTGCATGTGCGTTCCGCCGGGCACCATCAGCGTGACCACGCGACCGTTGGGGGTGAACCTCAGATCATCAAAGTCCATATACACTTCCGCCGATGCGGCAGTGCTTTCCAGCATCACCACCACCTCATTGAAACCGATCCCATCAACCCCATCGCGGCATTCTTCCAGAATATCGCGGAGGACAACATCATTCGGTGCGGTCATCAAGTTCACCTCCCGGTGCAGGCGCGGGTTATTTCAGCACGTTTTACGATTGCGGCGATTATGTACCAGCCGCCACGGCAACGCAAATCGCCAGCGGATTTCCGTTCCCATTTGTTGTCTCCCAATTACAAAAGCGCGGCTCCGGCAGGCCGGAGGAGGAGGTAACCGTCCCACCGGAACCGCGCAGGAAAAGTGGTTCGTTCCTGCATCAACAACGAAAAACCCGACTGCACTTATCGCAATCGGGTTGAGCATGGCCTGATACCGGTAGGAAATGGCAGCCACTGTGTTCGGTAATTATTCCAGGAACTAAGCCGCCAATTCTGCCCACTCGTCCGCGCAGTGCAGTCAGAACATGCCTGCGGCAGGCCTCCTGGCTTATGGCTGCAAACGACGCTCCGCCTTCCCACCCATTCGGGCAGTGGCTTTTGAGCCGACATCCTTACGGATATCGACCGGAGGGCGTCTCACCAATTACAGTGGCGGGACCGCACCGGATTCGCACCGGATTTCCTTGTTAGCCCGTTTGCCGCCGCCATCGGATCACTCCGATCAGCAGCAACTCGCGAGCCACCGGCAGGCATTCACGTTTGATTCGTTTGTTAATTACTAAAAGGTAACACGCCCCCGGTTACCAGTCAATCGCGAGCAGCCCCACTCAGGGTCTTTCTATTGTCCCCTAATGTCATTGCGAGGGCAGCGTGGCAATCTCGTAGCCGTATCGACCAACGCTGTCGCCAGCTCACCTTCGACCGCCACGTTCCGATAGTCGAATGACCCTGAGTCCCACTGCAGTTGCTCTCGTCATTCTCGCGCAGGCGGGAATCCAGTGTCCGAACGGATAGGAGACCGTCCGAAATCCGACTCAATCGTGCTTTCAGTATTCCAGCATCATGCGCTGCAACTCCGAAGGATCAGTGGTCCGTGTCAAGCCCAGCATCAGCAGGATTCGCGCCTTCTTGGGGTGCAGATTGTCCGCGACGATGTAACCCTGCTCCATGAACCGCCTGGTTTGCAGCACCCTGCCGGTGCCAACCTGCGTCGACAGGACCACCGGCACACCCGATGCTATCGCCCTTTGCAATCCGGCCATAAACGGGGCCGGCGAACCACCGCTGCCCAATCCGGCTGCCACGATTCCCCCCACCTTCGCGTCGGTGAGGGCATCGATCACGGTGCCGTCCGCGCCGGCGTAGGCGTAGGCGATATCAACGCGCGGCAGTTCGTCGATACCAGCCAAATCGAACTCGGAATCTGCGGTGTGCCTCCGCTCGGGACGACGATAATAAACCACCTGGCCGTCGGAGTCTGAATACCCCAGGTAGCCCATGTGTCCCGACTGGAACGTCTCCACGCGGTACGAGTCCGTCTTGGTGACGTCACGCGCCGAGTGAATCTCGTTGTTCAAAACCACCAGAGCGCCCCGTCCCGCCGACTGCTCCGCGGCTGCTATGCGCACCGCATCCAGCAAATTGTTGTCGGCGTCCGTGCCCATCGCCGACGGGGGACGCATCGCTCCCGTAACCACCACCGGCCTACGGTCGCGCACCGTCAGGTTCAGGAAATACGCGGTCTCTTCCAGCGTTGCCGTGCCGTGGGTTACCGCAGCACCGGACGCGGCGCCGTCCGCGCTCATCCGCTCGTTGATGCGTCGCGCCAGCGTCAGCCAGTCGGACGGATACACCTCCGTGCTGCCAACGTTGATCACCTGCTCTGCAACTACATCCGCCACTTCCTCCGCTTCGGGAACCCGCGCCAGCATCTCCTGGATCGTAAGCTGCGTCCCCCGGTAGCTGTAGTTGGCGAAATCGGTGCGGTTCTCCCCCACGAATGAAATCGTCCCTCCCGTGCCAAACAGATACACCCGGCTGCGTTCACCGTATGTTGAATTAACCATTCAATCCTCCCCGGACTGCGCTGCTGTGGCGCCCGGTGGCTCCGCTGCATCAGTCCGCTTTGCAATTTATCCGCTGCGCCGCTAGTATGTTAACCTATCTCCCGGCTTTCTGCGGCATCTCACCATAGCCGCGGCAAGCGCCGGCAGGAGCTTTATGGGCAATAATCGCTGGATCCGCAACAGTCTCATCTATCTGCTCATCATTATCGGAGTCATAGTAGTTTTCTACACGCTGATTCCGAGCTTCGGTAGTAGCGAACAACTTTCTATTACCGATGTCTTCAACGATGTGCGGAGTGGCAAGGTCGATCAGATCATCGTGGATGGCGAAAAACTCACCGTCATCCCTCGGACTACCATCGGTGGCGAGGCCACCAAGTACACCAGCCGTATCGGCGAAAACGCTGATTTCTATACGCTGCTCAACGAAGCCGTCGACCTTGACCGCCTCACCAGCCCGCCCAAAGTGGATTACAAAGGCTCGGGCGGATTCGGCAGCATTTTCGGCATCCTGCTCAACTTCCTGCCCCTGATATTCTTCGGCGGCCTCATCCTTCTGATGATGCGCCAGGCCCAGGGATCCAACAATCAGACCATGAGTTTCGGGCGCAGCCGCGCTCGCATGATGCCGTTCAACCGGCCCTCGGTTACATTCAACGACGTGGCCGGAGTCGACGAAGCCAAAGCCGAGCTCGAAGAAGTCGTCGATTTCCTCAAATATCCCGAACGCTTCCTGTCCCTCGGCGCCCGCATCCCCAAGGGCGTGCTCCTGGTGGGTCCTCCCGGCACCGGTAAAACGCTGCTGGCACGGGCCGTCGCTGGCGAAGCCGGCACACCGTTCTTCCATATTTCCGGGAGCGAATTCGTCGAGATGTTCGTAGGCGTCGGCGCGGCCCGCGTCCGTGACCTGTTCGAACAGGCCAAGCGCAACGCTCCGTGCATCCTCTTCGTAGACGAGATCGACGCCGTCGGTCGCCACCGCGGCGCCGGCCTGGGCGGTGGACACGACGAACGCGAGCAAACCCTCAACCAGATCCTGGTTGAAATGGACGGCTTTGAAACCAACACCAACATCATCGTCATCGCCGCCACCAACCGGCCCGACATCCTGGACCCCGCCCTGCTCCGCCCCGGTCGTTTCGACCGCCGCGTAACGCTGGACCTGCCCGACGTTGTCGGTCGCGGTGCGATCCTGAAAGTGCACGTCGCGGGTAAACCCCTGTCCAATGAAATCAGCATTGAGATCGTCGCCCGCGAGACTCCCGGATTCAGCGGCGCCGACCTGTCCAACCTGGTTAATGAGGCCGCGCTCCTCGCCGCCCGTAAGAACCAGTCCAGCATCTTCATGGCCGACTTTGAGGAGGCCATCGAGCGCGTGATCGCCGGCCCCGAACGCAAGAGCCGTGTCATCAGTCAGCGCGAAAAAGAAATGACCGCCTACCACGAAGCCGGTCATGCCCTCGTCGCCTGGTTGCTTCCCCACGCCGACCGCGTCCACAAAATCAGCATCGTCTCCCGCGGCAACATGGGTGGACACACCACGTTGCTCCCCGATGAAGACCGGTATCTCTGGACCAAGAACCAGTTCCAGGACATGCTCGGTGTCATGATGGGGGGTCGCGTCGCCGAAGAGTTGATCTTTGACGAAGTTACCACCGGAGCCAGCAACGACATCGAACGCGCCACCAAAACCGCCCTCGGTATGGTCAAACGCTACGGCATGTCCTCCAGCCTCGGCCCGCGCACCTTTGGCAAACGGGAAGAGCTGGTGTTCCTGGGACGCGAAATCAGCGAAGAACGGGACTACGGCGACAAAATCGCAGAAGAGATTGACGTCGAAGTGCGCCACCTTATCAATAGCGCCTACCGGCAGGCCCAGCAGCACCTGATGGATTACAAACCCAAGCTGGTTCAAATCGCCGAATATCTCATCGAGCACGAAGCTATCTCCGGAGATGCCTTGCGCCGTCTCTTCAACGACGACCCGCCCGGCATCGAATCGGAACCCGCCCGGCCAATCCCGGCGCCATCGCCTTACGCACCGCCGGCCCCGCCGGTCACCCACGGCGATCCGCTCCCCCAATCCGGCCCCTTCATTCGGCAGTTCGGCCACCAACGATCCAGCATCGGGAGTGCCGCCCGCCGCCGACTAGCCTATCGAATTACCCCCTCTCCCTTGATGGGAGAGGGTTGGGGTGAGGGTGAAAACCCCGCCGACGTTACGACTTGGGCGACCCCCCCATTCATCCTGAGCCCGTCGAAGGACCCCCTTTCCCTCGATGGGAGAGGGTTGGAGCCTGCCCCGTACTTGATACGGGGGTGAGGGTGAAAACCCCGCCGACGTTACGACGTGGGCGACTCGCCGCCGCCCGAGTCCTCTTCCAGGGGCAGGCTGCGGTAATACAACCCCCACTCGTGCATCAGGTTCTCCACCCGCGGGTCTTTCAGCGCGACCAACTCCCGAAAGAACCCTGCCATAGCGTGGGCCGGCCGCAATTCATCGCTGCATACCCAGCTCCGATCGCCCGGCACGGCGTAGATAAGGCCGCTTTGGTGCGGACACGAAACCTGAACCCGTGCCATGTCTTCGCCAACCTTTACCGTCATACCCTGCGACGACGACCCGGAGTCCGCGCTCCCAGAAGAAAATCCCAGTGGTGCTGTCATCGGTTCAACATCCTCACCTTGTGCGTTTGAATCACCCCGTACGCGACCCGAGCCTGGCATCCTGTTAACCCACACCAACCAGCAATCCGTGCCGCCGGACGGATCCCAGTCCAGTCGTCCATGCGGAGTCGTCGCCGGGCGGTTAACCGGCGCCAAAATGTCCCGACGTCGGGCGAACGACATTATAAACCACGTCCCGGACAATAGTGTTATACTGGCAAAGCCATTCGGCGAGGGCCAAATTGGACACTCGCTGTGGTGCAACTCCCACACTCCCACCGCTCCCGGAAGTTGCCCATTCCACCCATCGCAGCATCTAACAGCTGAAAGGAACGAATATTTATGTTCAACCCCGGCGGAGGCCAGCAGCCACCTCGACAACCCGAGTTCGACTTTGACCAGATTATCGGTCGTATCCGGGGCATTTTCGGTGGAGCGGGAGGCAGATTCGGCAACCTCAACCTCGGTGTAATTATCGTCGCTATCGTTGCGTTGATCGTCGTCATCTGGGCTGCCACAGGTGTGTACACCGTCAGCCCCGGCGAAAACGCTTCATTGCGCCTGTTTGGCGCGGTTCAGGGCGATCCAATTACTCAGGAAGGTCTCCACTGGTGGTGGCCCGGTCCGATAGGGAAAAACGACGTTGTCCTGGTTACACAGACCCGTCGTATGGAGCTGGGTTTCCGGTCTAACGATGCCGCCGTCAATACCCCGTTCCTGGACGAAGCCCTCATGATTTCCGGCGACCTCAACATCGTTGACGTTCAGATGGTGGTGCAATACCGAATCAGCAACCTCAACAATTTCCTGTTCAAGGTCGATGATCCGGGCGAGCAGATTCGTGGCGTCCCCGAAGGTCGCCCCGACGGTCGCACCCTCAAGGACGGCGCCGAAGCCGCCCTCCGTCTCGTCGTGGGCCAACGCTCCATCGACGACGTGTTGGTCCGAGGGCGCGAACTGGTGGAAACCGATACCAGAACCCGTTTGCAGGCCATCCTCAACGAGTACGAGGCTGGTATCGAGGTCATCTCCGTCCAGCTCCAGGACGTCAAGGCGCCCGAAGAAGTCCGCGACGCCTTCGACGACGTGCTGCGAGGCCGCCAGGAACGGGAAACCCGCATCAACCAGGCCCGAGCCTACCAGGAAGATATTCTTCCCCGAGCCAACGGTGACGCCGCACGCATCATTGAAGCGGCAGAAGCTTTCCGCCAATCCCGTATCGAAACCGCCAACGGTGAAAGCCTGCGCTTCCTGTCGGTGCTCACAGAGTACCGAAACTCACCCGAGGTTACACGTCAACGCCTTTACCTGGAAGCCATGGATAACGTGCTGCCCAGCGTCAGAAAGGTTATCCTTGGCCCCGGTACCAACCCGGTACTGATTCTGGGACAGGACGGAAACATCATACCCGCCCCCGTCGGCCCCAATCCCCAGTAGCAGCAATCTAGCACCGCGTTTCCGCTACTGACCGTCCACCCTTTCGGAGAATCCCCCAATGCGCAAACTCATCATCGCCGCCGTCATCATCATCGTCGCCTTAGTTGTGCTGCGTCAAACGCTTTACGTTGTTGATGTGACGGAACAGGTCATCATCCTGCGCTTCGGCGAGGTGGTGAATACCGAAGAATCTCCCGGACTCAACGTCAAACTTCCCTTCGTCGACACCGTCGTCAGACTGGACCGCCGCGTGCTCCGCATTGACGCCCCTCCGGTGTCCATGCCCGACCAGGACAAAGAGAACCTGGTCATCGACATCTACGCCCGCTACCGAATCGTCGATCCCGTTCAGTTCCGCAAAACTCTCCAAAACGAACTCAATGCCCGCAGCCGCCTGGGTGACATCGTCACCTCCACCCTGCGTGACCGCGTAGCCCTCCGTGATCGTACCGACATCATCGGGGCCAAACCCCTCCTCGACGACCTCGGAGTACCCGTAACGGATGTCGAAGGATTGCCGTTGGTTGAAGGGCAGGAAACCCGCACCGAGATCCTGGGCGAAGTGCTCGCGGCCGTCCGCGAAACCACCGGTGGCGACAATTTCGGTATCGAGATCATTGACGTGCGTATCAAACGCGCCGACTTCCCCGAGGCTGTTACCGCATCCATTTTCACCAGAATGCGCGCCGAGCGTAACCGTATCGCTGCCCGTTTCCGCGCCCAGGGTGAGGAGGAAGACCGCAAGATTCGAGCCACCACTGACCGTGAGCGCGACGTTATCCTGGCAGTGGCCCAGCGCGAGTCCAACCGGGTTCGCGGTGAGGGTGAGGCCGAAGCCATCCGCATCCTCGCCGAAGCCTTGAACAGCGACCCCGAATTTTTCGCTTTCCGCAGAAGCCTCTTATCCTACCAGATTCAGATCAAGGGTCAGGACACCATAGTCTTCTCCGCAGATTCCCCCCTGTTCCGGTACCTGCCGGGACCCGATGGCGTTACAGAGTAAGACAACTCCGCCAATTGGGTACAACCGCGTCTTACAAACGTACAGGAGGGGCGACGTAATCGTCGCCCCTCCTGTATTTGCCAGTTCTGGGCTCAGTTGAAAAAGCTACCTTCCAGAGATACGGCGTCCTTCCTCCAGTCCCCCGGCGGTTCGTGTGGGTGCGGTAATCAGGATGCTGAAACCCTGCTCCAGTCGCATCGGCACTTCCGCCGCCGTGCAGCCCACCGCGCAGGGGACACCGGCGTTCTGGCAGATTCCCAAAATCCGCAGTAGCATCTCCTGAACCTCCGGATGCCCGGCGTTGCCTCGGTGTCCCATCGCCACCGACATATCGCCAGGCCCGGCCCATATCGCGCCGATGCCCTTCACCTCCCGCAGTATGTCCGGCAGGTTGTTGGCTCCCGTTGGCTCTTCCACAATGCCCATCAACAACAGGTTGCCGTCGGGATCGATGGGCCAAATGTCGGCGGCGTCATAATACTCTGTAGCCGACAACCCCCAGTACCGGGGAGCAATCGCTGCCACCATCCCCGTTCGCCCCGCGGCTCAAAGTCGGCCACACCGGGAACCTGCGGATAACGCGCCGCCCGCACCGCCGACATTGCTCCTTCCACCGTATCCAGGTGGGGCAGTATCAGACCATACACCCCCGTGTCCAGCGCCTGCTTGATGACCCACTGGTTCTGCTCCCGGGTGTTGGGCGGAATACGCACAATCGGCGTCGGGTCGGCCTGCAAACCACCGCCGTCAATCACCCGTTTGCGATTCAGCAAAAATTGCAGCGACGTTCGCAGGTTGTTGAATGACAACCCCTCGTGTTCCATCTCGATCATTACCAGGTCATAGTCCGAATCGGCAAAATAGGTCATTTCATCCAGATTGCCGTTCCAGATCAAACCCGTGCCGAAAACTGGTTTGCCCTCTTCCAGCAGCTGAATCGCCTTGTTGTAACGTGTCGTGGCGGGCATATTTTCTGCCTCCTGTTTAGACCGTTGCAGTTGTTCGCGTTTTACTGGCCGCCGTTTATCCGGATAATGCGGCGCGAAACTCGGTGTCGTTTTCGTGCGGGCCGACCACTGCCAGCCGGAACGCCTGGGGCGAGATCAGTCGCTCTGCGGTTCGCAATACGTCGGTTGGCGTCACCGCGTCGATGCGCGACGCAGTTTCATCCGGCGTGGTTATCTCTCCCAGTAACAATTCCTGCGAGGACAGCCAGGCCGCCACCGCCCGCGAGTCTTCCATTCGCATCAGCAGCCGGCCCTTGATGTACTCCCGAACCTTATGCACCTCGGTGTCCGGAACCCGCTCCAGCATTCCCAGCAACTCCGTGCGGGTCGCCTGCACCGCTTCAGCGGCCCGAGCCGGCTCCGTCCCGCAGGACACCACCAGCGCGCCGCAGTCCCGGTAATTGCTCAAGGCGCTGTGCACGTCGTACGTTATTCCAAGGTTCTCACGCAGGTTCTGGAACAGCCGGCTGCTCATCCCATCTCCCAACACACCGTTCAACACCGTGGCCGCATAGCGGTCGGGATCGGTCATCATCAAGCCTGGCATCCCGATGCACAGGTTGGTGTCTTCGGCAGGCCGAGTATCCAGAAGAATGGTAGGCGCATCGTCGGCCGCCGCGACAACCGGTTCCCAACCCAGGGGTTCCCCGGGCATCCAGTCTGCCGTAGCCTCGGCCAGCATACCCACCGCCGTATCATGATCCAGCGCGCCGGCAATACTGATAACCGTGTTGTTGGGTCGGTACTGCCGTTCCATGTACTGGCGCACGTCCTCCAACCCGATAGCGCTCACCGTCTTCGGTTCTCCGCCAACGTCCCGTCCCATGGCCTGCCCGGGCCAGATGGCACGGTCGATCAACAGAGCGCACACCTCGGCCGGGTAGTCATTGGTCATCCGCAATTCATCGAGGATGACGTCCCGCTCCTTCTCCATTTCCGTCGGATCCAGCAGCGGATGACGCACCAGGTCGATAATCACCGGCAACGCCCGATCGGCGTACACGCTGGCAACCTTGCACCAGAACGAGGTCATTTCCCGGTCGGTGGCCGCATTCATGATGCCGCCCACCCCTTCCACGGCTTCCGAGATGGCCAGAGCGGTCGGCCAGCTTCGGGTGCCCTTGAACGGCAGGTGCTCCAGAAAGTGCGACAATCCGGCCAGCTCGGAAGGTTCGTACCGTGAGCCCGCCCCAACCGATATGAACATGGAAACGCTGCGGGTGTGTGGCATCTCTGCCGTTAACACCCGCAACCCGTTGTTCAAAACTGTGCGGCGATACACGAAATTTGCGGCGATCAGGTGTTCAACCAGTCCACGTCGCCCTGCAGGTCTGCCGGATGCGACTTGGACATGAACACCGTATAACGCCGACGCGCCTCACCGATGGTCGTGTTGTCGGGACCGTGCCCGGGATACACATAGGTGTCATCAGGAAGGGTGAGCAGCTTTCTGCTGATGCTGCCCAGCTCCTGCTGCAAAGCCTCCGGACTCCGTGACCGGCCCGGCCCGCCCGGGAACAGCGTGTCCCCCGAGAAAAGAAAACCCCCCACCAGGAAACAGGTGGACCCCTCGGTATGCCCCGGTGTGCTCAAACACTGAATCGTCTGGTTGCCAAACGCCACCGTGTCGCCGTCGCTCAGATTGCGCTGCGGTGGGCTGGGCGGCAAACCGGCATCCGGCCCGCCGATGGCCGCCGGCGCGCCTATGCTGCCGGTAATTTCGGTGTAGCCCGCCAGGTGGTCCTGGTGACCGTGGGTAATCAGGATCGCCTGCACGTCTATCCCGTGGGCCCGAACCTCGTCGATCATCTTTTCCGGCTCGGCGGGCGTATCGATACAAACCCCCTGGTTGGTCTCCGGACACACCACGATATACCCGTTGTTGCCCAGGGTTCCCATATTTTCAATCTTGTGGACGGTAACATCGCCCGCCCCGTGCGTTTCATGGTGAACTGGCATATTCCTGCGCCTCCTCGGTGGTTAATTCAAACCGGTAGTCATTTCAAATCGGTAGTCAATTTCAAAACTGAACTGATCCCCTCTCGCCTGTGAGAGGGCAATAGCCTGCCCCGTACTTGATACGGGGGTGATGGCGGTCATTCAACCCGCCTCCACCGCTTATGCACCCGCATTGTAGCAAACCGGGCGGTGCGGATGTGAATGGCGGATGTGCCGACCCGTGCCGCGCCAACCAATCACCGGAGTTGTTACACACCGAGAATGGGGCGATCGTATTGGGCTGGGCGCCCGCTTCACCCTCCCAGGCGAGCCCTCATGCTGTCCGGCACCTGGCGAATCCGCCTGCTGAACGCCGTGTCCCAACGCATCCCCACCTGTCGCGCCGCCTCGGTCACCAACCGCGCGCCGTTCAAATAATCGTCCCGGTGGATGTATTCGGCGGCCACCGAGCCATCTGCTGCGCCGTTGTGGTAATTGCCCAGCGGGAAGGCGACCCCGGTGGCGCGATAGCCGTAGGCGAGGAACGCGCTGGCTTCGCATACGCCGCCGCTCATTAACTGGCGCTGGCACCGGAAATCGTTGCCGCCGGCCGTCAAAACCTCTCGCGCTCGAATCAACGCCGACTCGGCATCGTGATTGAAGGTACTGCCCGCGTCCCCGGCGCGGATCACCGGGCCGTTTCCAATTTCAGCCCCGGGCAGCGTCCGCGACGACTCCAGCGACACCACCAGCGTGTCCAAAGGCAATGTGCCAGCCTCGGCCAGCAACCGCGCCCCAACCAACCCAACCTCCTCGGCGCGGGTGAAAACCCCGTATACATCGCCGGTGGGCGGTTCGCCGTGCAGCCTGTCCAGCGCCGCCAGAATACAGCCGCAGCCAGCCAGGTCGTCCGCCGCGCGCATCACCAGATAGTCCTCGTCGATGCTGAAATCGGGCAGGTCAAAAACCGCCGCTGATGGCACCGGAACCTCTCCGGAATCACCGCCGGCCAGACGGATGAGCACCTGACGTTCGCGCTCCTCACCATGCTTTCCTACCGTCTCCGCAGAGATGCGACGTCCCGCCGGCAACACAATGTGCAGCGGCACTCCGGCCTCAAACGCACCGGCCGGTATCCCGCCGGATGCGCGTCCAATCAGATAATCGCCGTCCCGACCCACCACCTCAAAACCCGGATGGTCCATGTGGGCCATAAACGCAATCGGCGGCACGCCACCGCCGTCGCTCCCGGCGATGCGGGCTATGATGTTGCCGAACCCGTCGGTGCGCCACGACACGCCGATCTCGGTCAACGCCCCGCGCACCACCGTCGCCACGCCGTTCTCGTGAAAAGCAACCGCCGGCTGCGCTCCCAACCGGGCCAGAAAATCCAGCGCCCGGCTATCGGAATCCAACTGGCTGGTACTCATTTAATCCGCTCCTCAAGTCGGTGGCCGCCGCACAAATTCAAACTGCGCCGAATTATAGCACTGCCCCAGAACGCGAAACCCTCTTGCACATCCGGTGCTATACTGCCACGCATGAATTCTGACGACAGCCAACCGGGAGGTGCGCCATGTTGCCCAAGTTTCGAGTAAATCTGGACGAGGCCACCATGGTGCCCGGAGACGACCTCAAGTCTGTTACGGCCGCCGTGCTGCAAAAGATGGGAGTACCGCGTGACGATGCGGCGCTGGGCGCAGATGTCCTGGTTCTCGCCGACCTGCGCGGCGTCGACTCCCACGGTGTCTCCAACATGCTCCGCAGCTACGTCAACGGGTACACCAGCGGGCAGATCAACCCCAACCCCCAGATGACCATCGTGCGGGAAACTCCCGCCACGGCCAGCATCGACTCTGACCGCGGCCTGGGGATCATCACCACGCCCAAGGCAATGGACATCGCTATCGAGAAGGCCGCTGCGGTAGGTATCGGGATGGTTACCCTGGGCAACGCCCGGCACCTGGGCATGGCGTCCTACCATGCCATGTTGGCCCTGGAGCACGACATGATCGGCGTCTGCATGACCAGCTGCCCGCCGTCGGTGGTGCCGACCTTTGGCGCCGAACCGCGCCTGGGCACCAATCCCATCGCCATCGCCGTCCCGTCCCGCCACGAAGCGCCCTTTGTCTTCGATGCCGCCACCAGCACCGTCGCCGGCAACAAGGTTGGCATCGCCCGTCGCCTCGGCGTAAAACTGGAACCAGGATGGCTCGCCGACTCGGAAGGCACCCCCATCATGGAGGAAACCGACGCCCCCGACAACTACACCCTGCTAACCCTGGGCAGCACCCGCGAATTAGGTTCCCACAAGGGCTACGGCCTGTCGTGCATGGTGGACATCCTGGCCGGCGTCCTCACCGGCTTTGGCTACGGAGCCGTGCCGGGCCGTCCCAACTTCGGGCACTACGTCGCCGCCTACAACGTGGCCGGCTTCGACGACCCGGAGCACTTCAAGGACACCATGGATGAGTGGCTCCGCATGATGAAAAGCACCCGCCCCGCTCCGGGCGAAGAACGGGTAATGGTGGCCGGCCAGCCCGAGGCCGAAATGGAGATCATCCGTCGCGCGGAGGGCATCCCCCTGCACCAGGAAGTGGTGGACTGGTTCCACGACACCTGCGGCGAACTGGGCATCGACTGCCCGTTCTAGTCGCTCCACCCCTTCTCCCGGTGGGAGAGGGTCAGGGTGAGGGCGTGATCCCCTCCATCATCTGGTTAGGGTAGCGCGGTACTTCCTACAAACGGGTGCCTAAGATCGCCCCCAGTGACGCCTTCCCACGTGAAGTCGGCTAACCCAATCAGTGCGGATTCGGCTTGATTAGGTTCGTCGCTGGCGAATTGGGACAACAATCCCAAAATCAATATTGCCACACCCAATAAGATAACCGGTACATAAACGCTTGGCCGGGTTGAGGTTGGCGGTCGACGCATTAGATCTGTCCCGGATTATCGGCGTTGCGCGGATGCTTTCTCTGCTTTTGGGTCTCCTGCCCGGCGCAGCTGCCACCGCAACATACCCGCGATACCCACGATTACTGCAGCACTCCCCAACACTATGAAGATCAATCCTATGCCCAATGCGACCACCTTGAGCACGAGCGATTGCATCCGTTTTCCCACGGATGCTTGTAGTGCCTCGGCTTCGATTTGCTCCATGATACCATCACACTAATTGGAAGATTACTTTGAAAGCTTTAGAGGTGCTCATCCGAAGCACTAACAAAATCCCATGTCCCTGAATGGATAATCCCCATCATGGGAAACGCTTGAGTTAAAGGCGCATACTCATCCACAAGCGCAACGGAGCAAGCGTCAAGGTTCTCACCTGACGAACCAATATGAACAAGATAAACGACTTACTGATTAAAGCCATAATTATTCTGGGGATCCCAGCAACCGTAGTGGTGGGCCTTGATGTAGGCGACACTTGGCAGGCGCCGCAATGGTTACTGGGTATAGCGTATTGGATCATCGGCCTGATTTTGGTGTCGGGAATTACCATAGCCGCCTTCAACTTCAAAAGATGACCGATCAAACCCGCTGATTCTCAGTCTTCCTTCAGCGCCGGAATAACCTCTTTGCCGAACAGTTCGATGGAGCGCATGGTGTCCTCGTGGGACAACCGCCCGCCCTGGGCTTCCAGCAGCAGCGAACCCACGCCCAGCTCATCGCGGATGTGCTTCAGCTTCTCGATTACGGTTTCGGGGCTGCCCACCACCAGGTGATACCTGTCCTGCAACTCCTGGTACGACAGTTCATGCAACGGCGTCGGACGCCGCGCCGCCACTGCCGCTGCCCCAGCCCGCGACGTGTACCCCGGCGGCGACCAGTATTCTCGCGGCCCGCGCAACGGATAGTTCATCCGCCACAGGAACGCCTTGCCCGACTCCTGCGCCTTTTCGTCGGTGTCGTTCACGTGACAGCAGATCATGAACGCAAACTTTTCCGGCCCCGGTTCCCAACCGTCGGCGGCAGCATATTCCCGGTAGCGCGCGAACAGGTTCTTGGCCACCTCCAGCGGAGTCAGGAAGGCGGCGTAGGTATAGCGGTGCCGCGCCGTCCACTCCACCGTCTCCGGACTTCCCGTACCGGGAACCCACACCGGCGGGTGCGGCTTCTGGATGGGAAGCATCCACGGATTCACCGCCCGGTAGTGGTAGTGAGTCCCCTCCCACCGGAACGGCCCGGGCGTGGTCCACGTCTTGATAACCAGGTCATGGCATTCCTCGAACCGCTCTCGGTTATGCAACGGGTTGGTGTTGTTCGCCCACGATTCGATGCCAATACCCCGCACGAAGCCGGAGATAATGCGTCCGCCGGAGATAACGTCCAGCATCGCGATTTCCTCGGCCAGCCGAACCGGATTATCCGACGTGGGCAGCATGTTGCCCAGCATCAGGATTTTGGCCCGATTGGTGATCCGCGCCAGAATACCGCCCGTGATGTTGACCTCCACGTCCATGCACGACGGCGTGTTGTGGTGTTCATTGATCATCAGGCCGTCGAAGCCCACTTCCTCGGCGTACTGGTATTCGTCCAGATACCGGTTCATCAACCCACTGGCTGTTTGGGGGTCAAAGTAGGTGTTGGGGAAAGTCAGCCGCATCGACGGAAATTTCTCCGCTTCCGACTCCGGAAACTCCGCGTACGGAAACTCGGTGAAGTAGAACACGTCCATCGTCTGTCATCTCCAGCAGGTGCGTATTGCCGCCCCCTCCTACCGGGAGAGGGCTGGCGTTAAGGCCGAAACCCCCTCTCCTTTGACGGGACAGGGGGAGTATTAAAATCTTCCCCGCCGCAGTTTACAAAAACGCCAGCGCGGTTTGCACGAATTCGTCGGGTTTCTCAATCTGCGGCGAGTGACCGCAGTTGGGAATTATCGTAACCTCAGAGCCGGCCAGGGCCTGCTGGAACAGCCCGGCGCACTCCACCGGAACCAGCGCATCCTGATCGCCCCACACGATGTGCGTTGGGATGCTCACGCGGCTCAGCTTCGCCGGCAGCCGCGGATTGTACATGTAGGGACGCCAGGTAAGCCGGATGGCCATCTCCCGATCGCCCTCCGCCTGATCGGCCTGCTCCGGCGTCGGAGGGGTACCAAACATCTCTTCCCATTCCGGCACCTGCGAGGGGTCGTGGTACACCAGCTCGCGCACCTGGGCCGGACTGATGATGAATATGTCCGCAATCTCCCCTTCCTCGGGCTTGATGCCGGCGGATCCCACCAGCATCACCTTGCTGAAAGCGTGACCCGTCATCGACAGCATCTCGGCAGCCAGCCAGCCACCCATCGAGAAACCGATGGCGCGTATGTTTTCAAGGCCTTCCTGCTCCTGGAACCACGTATAAAAACAGGCCAGGTCCTGCATCGACTCAACCCAGCTGGGACGGTCGCTGAGCCCGTACCCGGGGTGGGACGGCAGGTACACGGTAAACTTTTCGGCCAACGCCTGGGCATACCGGCGCGGTCCCGCGTTCCCGCCGGCTCCATGCAGCACCAGCAACGGATCGCCGGTTCCCCCTTTATAAACCTGCAGGTTGCTGCCGGCCACCGAAACCGTTTCTTCAGTGAAATTTGCCATTCTTGTATTGCTCCTTGAATCTCAAATCTGGAGTCTGGAATCAGTCATCGATGAGCAGGATTTTCAGGATACGCATTGCGCAATCCTGTCTATCCTGCGAATCGATATAAACGTCGTTAAACCTTGATCAAATAACCGATATGCCGGGCGGGTTAGCTACCCGATTGCTGCTGTGCCATCTTCTGGAAGGGGTCGGTCAGCTCCAGCTCTTCGCCGATCTCGCGCAGCCGCGGCAGCACTTCCTCGCCCATCAGTTCCAGGCAGCGCATCGTGTCCTGGTGGCTGATCGAACCGTCGTTGGTCCACACCGCCAGGATGCCGGGACGCATGTAGCTCAAAACTTCCCGCAACTGCGAAACCACAGTGTCGGGACTGCCGATAATCCAGCGCCTGGAATCCAGAATCTCGTCGTAGTGGGCCGAGTCGAGGCCACCCACACGGAACGGGTCGCTGCGAATCTGCTCGCGCAAACGCAGGAAACGCGGGTCGTCGCTGCGGCTGCCGTAGCCCACCGGCGATGCGTAATCGCGGGGCAGCGGAATGCGACCCACACCAATGTTTCCGACCATGTAGCCCTTGCCCACGTCGTAAGCCTTCTCGTCGGTGTCCTGCACGTGGATGCGGACCAGATAGCCGAAGTTCTCCGGACCCGGTTCGTAGCCGTGTTCACGGGCGGTCTCGGCGTAGATGGACTTCATATCCTCGGTTCCCTGGGGATCGGTTTCCAGGAAGATGTACGGGTAGTTGTGTTCGGCACACCACACCAGAGTTTCGGGACTGCCCGTGCCCGGGATCCAGATGGGCGGGTGCGGCTTCTGCAACGGCACCTGGAACGGATTAACCACGCGGAACTGATAGTGCTTGCCCTCCCAGCGGAAGGGCCCCGGAGTCGTCCAGGTCTTCAGAACCAGGTCGTGGGCTTCTTCGAATCGTTCCCGGTTGTACAGCGGGTTGGTATTGGTGGCGAGGCTTTCCACACCGGTGCCGCGCACGAATCCGGATACCAGCCGACCACCGGAAATCATGTCGATTTCCGCCAGCTCTTCGGCCAGTCGCAGGGGGTTGTCAAAAATGGGCAGCGGATTGCCCAGCAGCACGATCTTGGGCTTGGTGGTCGTGCGGGCCAGAATCGCTGCTTCCAGGTTCATCGTCGCGCCCAGGCAGGTCGGCGTATTATGATGCTCATTCAGCATCAACCCATCAAAACCAACCTCTTCCGAGTACTGGTACTCGTCCAGGTACATGTTGTAGAGGTAGTGCCCTTCCTGCGGGTCAAAATTGGAATTGGAGAAAGTGAGCCGAACCGCCTCATTGGGCGAATTACGCACATCCTCCTCCGTGTAATTCACGTAAGCCCGTTCAGTAAACCGCATCAAAAACATGTCTGACCTCCTTCAGGCGCTGGGGGGCGTTGGGGGCGCCACCTGGAAAAGTGGCAAAGCCGTCGCTTCGCCACATAATACACCATGAAAAGGACTGCACATAAACACAACCACTCTCGCTCGTCCTGAGCCTGTCGAAGGACTTCCTCTCTCTATTGGAGAGGGCTGGGGTGAGGGTGAACACGTCTGATCAGTTTGCGCGAGCGCAGCGTGGCAATCCCGTAGCCAAGGGTGGCGAACTGCCGTCATTCTGGCCTTGAGCCGGAATCCAGAGTCTGGCAACCAACATGAATGTACAGAATAAACAGGATCAGGACGCGCCGTAGACTCCCTCTCCCCCTTGTGGAAGAGGGCTGGGGCGAGGGTGATTCCCCCCGCTCGTCCTGAGCCTGTCGAAGGACTCCCTCTCCCCCTTGTGGGAAAGGGCTGGGTGAGGGGGCGGGCCCCCTGGTGGGTGAGGGGGTTGGTCGGAACGGCCATCGTTGCTCTCGCGTTTCTACCGATACATTAAGCAGTTGCCGCTCCTTCCTTCTTGAAATGCGGTATCACCTCGGCGGCGAATCGCCCCATCTGCTCCCGAAACTGCGTCGTCGTCGCACCCATGGGGAAGGCGATCATCACCTGATCCAGCCCAGGATATTTGTGCTGCAATTCTTGCAGGTACGCCACCGTTTCCTCCGGGCTGCCGGCGAACCACGCCCGGTTGTCGATCACGTCCTGGAAGTTGCTGCCGGCGGCGATGTGCCTGGCAACCCCGCCGGGCCCAGTGGCCGCAATCTGCTGGTCGCTGTAACGCAGCATCCCCAGCGGCGCGGCGAACTTCACGTGCTCCTCGAACAGCGGCTCCAGCTGACGTCGCGCTGCCGCCGCCGAATCGTCGACCATCGCCCACAGACCAATGCACAATCCCTCGCCCAGAGCCAGTCCCGTCCCGCCCGCTGGTTGGCCGCCTGGTAACGATGAATCCATTCCTCCACGTATTCCTGGCCCGTGCCCAGAATGACGCCCTTGATACCCCACTTGGCCATAAAGTCCAGCGCCCGGTCCGATGCGCTGACGATGGGTTGCCACACGTCCACCGGTTGAGTCCGGGGGCGCGGCACCAGCGTAACTTCTTTCAGATCATAGCCGCGATAGGGAATTTCGGGCGGGATGGTGTAATGCTTGCCCTGATGCGAAAACGCCTCGCTGTTAAAGGCTTTCATCACGATTTCAAACTGTTCCTCGAACAGCTCGCGGTTGGCGTCGGCGTCGATCATCGGAGCGCCGAATGACTCTACTTCGCGCGTGTGGTAGCCGCGCCCGATCCCGAAAACCACCCGGCCTTCGGTGAGGATGTCCACCATGGCGAAATCTTCGGCCAGCCGGATGGGGTGCCACATGGGCAGGATGTTGAACCCACAGCCGAACTTGATGCGTTTGGTGTACTGGGCCAGGTATTGGCTCATGATCAGCAGGTTGGGGATGCACTCGTACCCCTCGCGCTGAAAGTGGTGCTCCGCCATCCACAGGATGTCAAAACCCAGATCGTCCAGGAACACCGCTGCCTGCGGGCAATGTCCATCGCCGTGGCCAACCGGTCGTTGTCATACCATCGATCATTGGCCGGAACACCGTCGAATCCGATGCCATCACCTTCCAGCACATGGCCGGCGTAAAGTGTAGAAAATGTCTGGATCATTGGAAATTCCTCCCTGGACGCATCTTGCGTCGGACAGCGCTCACCATAACGTAATCCGACCCACCCCGCAATAACGCCGCCGCGTCCCGTCATCACCTGCCTGCCAGCACGCCACCGCGAGCAGCACGGCGCCCCAGGGCAATCGCATTTCGATTCTTTTGCTCTCGTCCTTCCCGCACAAGCGCGAATCCAGTGTCCGAATGAATAGGAGACCGTCCGAAATCCGACTCAATCGTGCTCTCTGTGGACTCCGGCTCTCGCCGGAGTGACGGGTGTCGCATCTATGCTGTGATTGCCCTGCTCAGCACCCCCGGTACTCGCCATCACGGCCCGTTGTGCGCTAAACTGATGATGCAAATTCTCCGTTATCAGGAGCGCGGCACAATGGTGGACAACGGATTGTCCGGCGACAACGGACACAATGTAGACGCATCGCCGCCCAGCGTGTACAGCGATGACGGCGTAACCATCATCGGAATGATCGGCGTGGTGCGAGAGGCAGACGCCAATCGCGGCGCTACGCTCAGCCTCTTTGGCGGCGGAATCAATCCCGGCGCCGAGGTGCCATCAGGCGTCGACCCCGACTACATCCTGGACTTCGCCCGCACCCACGAAGCCGCCGGCTTCGACCTGGTTCTCACCGGATACTCGTCGTCCACGCCCGACGGCTTCGAAATCGCCAGCTACGCCGCCGCTCACACCCAGCGCCTTGGCTATCTCATCGCTCACCGCCCCGGATTCGTTGCGCCTACCCTCGCGGCCCGCAAGGCCGCCACCCTCGACCAGCTCACCAACGGACGCATCGCCCTGCACATCATCACCGGCGGCAACGACCTGGAGCAGCGGCAGGACGGCGACTGGCTCGACCACGACGCCCGATACCGGCGCACCGATGAATATCTCGACGTCATGCGCCGCATCTGGACGGAAACAGCCCCCTTCGACCACGACGGCGAGTTTTACCAGCTGCAGGGCGCTTTCAGCCAGGCCCGATGCCGTCAGGCTCCCCACGTGCCGCTGTTTTTCGGTGGCGCGTCCGACATGGCGCTTGACGTCGCCAGCCGTCGCGCCGACCTTTTTGCGCTGTGGGGGGAGCCCCGAGCCTCTATCGCCGAGCGCATCTCAGACGTTCGCAATCGCGTCGGCGCCGCCGGTCGCGACCCGTCCAACATGCGTTTCAGCCTCTCCGCCCGCCCGATTCTGGGCGCAACCGAGGCAAAGGCGTGGGAACGCGCCGAGGCCATCCTGACCCGTGTGCAGCAGGCCACCGCCGGCCGCATAACCCCCGGCGTGCCGACGCGTCCCCAATCGGAGGGCGCTTGGCGGCTGCTCCGTTTTGCCGCTCAGGGCAACGTACACGACGAACGCCTGTGGATGCCAATTGCCGCCGCCAGCGGAGCCTCGGGCAGCACTACCTGTCTCGTGGGCACACCACAGCAGGTCGCCGATTCCCTGCTGGCCTACTACGACCTGGGTTGCTCGGCTTTCATAATCCGCGGTTTCGATCCCCTCGCCGACGCCACCGACTATGGGCGGGAGTTGATCCCGCTGATTCGGGAAGGCGTGGCCCAACGCCGGGGTTCCGGTGTGGGGAAACCGAGCTGACGGTATCCGACCGGGCATCAACCTGCTATCATTCAGGCGAACAACCCCGCCTGCTGACGCTTGTTTCGGAGATCAGCGCCCATGGTCAGTAAGTTTATCAAGAGCGGCCTTTACCGGCCCCTGGAAGAAGATGACCTGAGCATCTTCTATCCTGAATCCGACGGTGCTCCATTGGCAGAATCCGACCTGCAGTTTTACCCGTTGACCGAAACCGTCCACGCCTTGTCGCTGCATTTCGCCGACCGCCCCGACGTGTACGTCGCCGGCAACATGTTCGTTTATTACCGGATGAACGACAACACCGTGCGCGTCGCCCCCGATGTGTTCGCCGTCATCGGCGTCGATGACCACGCCCGCAGCTCGTATATCGTGTGGCGCGAGGGCAAAGCCCCCGATTTCGTAATGGAGATCGCGTCCACCAGCACCTACGTAAACGACCTTACTGAAAAACGCACTCTGTATGCCGACCTTGGCGTCACCGAATACTGGCGTTACGATCCCACGGGCGAGTGCTTCAATCCTCCACTGGAAGGCGAAACACTGGTGGAGCAGGCGTATCGCCAGATCGCCGTGGCCGAAGATACTCAGGCCATCCTGCGCGGGTACAGCTCCGTACTGGGTCTGGACATCTGCGTCCGCAACGGACAATTACGTTTGTACGATCCCATACAGGCCCAGTGGCTGCGCAACCTGGCCGAGTCAGAAGCGGCCCTGCAATCCGCTCAGCAACGCATTCAGACGCTTGAAAACCAACTGCGTCGTCAGGGCATACAACCCAACGGCAACTGATCCGCCCTGACCCAACCTGGTCAACCATCACCCAACATCGACACCCATCGGAGGCCCTAACATGGTGGACTACGCCAGCCTGTTCTCCCGCAACCTGCCCCGCTCTGTGGCAACTCCGGAGGGTGCGGGCGCACAGGTCAAGTACATATTCTCCGTAACCAATGCGGTGCCCGAGGTTATCGACGCCGACGAGTATCTCACTGCCATCGCCTCCGGTCTCGCGGGTGGCGGCGCGGCCTCGCTGGCTGGCTACCCACCCGCCGGCGGACACGTCGGCTTGCGGGAGCTGATCGCCCAGCGCCTGGCTTCCAATCGCGGATTCAACACCTCCCCCGACGACGTCTTCATAGCCGACGGCGCCGGCGGGTCCATCACCATCCTGCTGGATTCCTTCATCAACCCCGGCGATCCTGTCCTGGTGGAAGAATTCACATATATGGGCAGCCTCCGCATGATGATGGAACGTGGCGCCGAACCCATCCATGTACCAAGCGACGATGACGGTATGCTCCCCGACGCCGTCGAAGACATCCTGTCGTCCCTGAATACGGCCGGTCGCCGCGCCAAGTTCATCTGGACCATTCCCGTCTTTCAAAACCCGCTTGGCTACACCGTGTCCGAAGCCCGGCGCAACGCCCTGCTCGACGCGGCCGAACGCTGGGGTGTGCCCATCCTGGAGAACGAGTCCTACGCCGACTTCCGCATCGACGGCGACCCGTTGCCGCCGGCCATGTCCGGCATGAGGGATAACGCCGATGTCATGTACGTCTCGTCATTCACCAAGTTGCTGGGCTGCGGGTTGCGCGTCGGTTTCGGCGTCCTCCCGCCGGCCGTCAAGGCCGCCTTGCCCCTGGCCAACGCCCAAAACCTGCCCCGGCGCAACGCCAGCCATCTGGCCACCATGCTGGTGTATGAATACATGCGCGACCACGAGGCCGAACACATCGAAGCAGTGCGCAAGGCGTTGCTGGTCCGCCGGGATGCCATGCTTGAAGCCCTTACGGCCAACTTCCCGGCCTTCTGCGAGTGGACCGAACCCCAGGGCGGCATGATGATTTTCGTGCGCCTGCCCGAGGGCGCCGACACCTGGAGCACGTTGGTCAAGGCCACCCAACGCGATGTCAAATACAACCCCGGCGGCATGTTCCGTTCCGACCGCGATCGCAACAACCACTTCCGTCTCACCTACAGCCACAACTCCCCCACCGAGATACACGAGGGCATCGCCCGCCTCGCCGAACTGTTCCGCGAAGAGGGCTACTTCGAAGGCTAACCCAAGGAATCTACCATGACCATCGCCACCCGCCCGGCCGCGCTGCCTACGATTACCATAACCGTCGATGGTCAACCGGTGTCGGTGCCCGCTGGAGCCTCCGCCCTGGACGCCATCAACACCGCCGGCGTCCCCATTTCCCAGCTGTGCAAGGATGCCGACATGCCGGCCATCGGCGCCTGCCGCACCTGCCTCATCCAGATCGACGGCGTCCGCGGATTCCCGGCGTCCTGCTCCGTGCCGGCCACCGACGGCATGGTCATCAACACCGACACTGACGATGTCCGGCGCATCCGCTCCGGCGTAATCCAGCTGACCCTGGGAATGGTTGGCAGCGACAATAACAACCCTGACCGCGGCGCTCCCTCAACGCGGGAGAGGCGTGTTCCCCTCTCCCTGGTGCTGCCCGAAGGAGAGAAAGAGTTTCGCCTGGGCGACGGGGGCGTTGACCCTCCCGCTGAGGCGCTCCCCATCAGGGAAATGGAGATCAGCGGGTATGGTCAACTGTCCGCCGCAGCCGAATTTCCACGGCATTTCGGCCCGCCGCTGGGACCCGCGGCCCCGTCAGCCCACCGATGCGTCTAACCCGGTCTTCAACCTCGCGATGGACGCCTGCATCCTCTGTGCCCGCTGCGTCAACGCCTGCCAGTCCAGCCACCAGTTCATCGGCGCCATCGACGTGCTGGGAGCCGGCGAATCGGCCCGCATCGCCACCGCCGCCGACAAACCCCTGGCCGAGAGCATCTGCACCACCTGCGGCCAGTGCCTCAGCGTTTGCCCCACCGGCGCCATCAGCGTCAAGGAACCGCCGGCCGTTGCAGACCCCACCCACACCGTCAGTACCACTTGTCCTTATTGCGGCGTCGGATGCGGTATCCAGTTGGAAGTCGACGACGCCACCGACCGCATCGTCGCCTCCCACGACGACCCTGACAACCTCTCCAGCGTCGGGATGCTCTGCGTCAAGGGCCGTTTCGGATATACCTTCGCCCAACATCCCGACCGCATCCAGACGCCCCTGATCCGCGACGGCGAACGCTACACCGGTCCCTTCCGCAAGGCCACCTGGGACGAGGCTCTGGATCTGGTCGCCACCCGACTCGTCGAGTATCGCGGCGATGCCTTCGCCACCCTCTGTTCCGCCAAGGCCACCAACGAAGACGGTTACGTTCAGCAGAAGTTCTCCCGCCTCATAATGAGCAGCAACAACATCGACCACTGCACCCGCCTGTGCCACAGCCCATCGGTCGAAGCCATGCTGACCTCGCTGGGCAGCGGCGCAACCAGCAATTCCTACACCGACTACGAAGGCGCCGGCTGTCTGGTTGTCATCGGCTGCGACCCAACGTCCAACCACCCGGTGGCCGCCTCCCGGATGCGCCGGGCCATCGTCGAACGCGGAGCCAAACTCATCGTCATCAACCCACGCCGTATCGACATGTGCGACTACGCCGACCTGTGGTTACGTTCCTACCCCGGCACCGACGTGGCGCTGCTCAACGCAATGGCTCAGGTCATCGTGGCCGAGGGCCTGGCCGACGCCGATTTCGTTGCCAACCGCACCGAGGGTTACGACGACTGGCTCTCCGTGATCGAAGCGGACACACCCGAACACGCGGCGACCATCACCGGCGTATCCGCTGACGACATCCGCGACGCCGCCCGCATGTTCGCCCGCCCGCCGGTACCCAAAGGCGGCGACGCCACCCTCGGTTACGGCGGTTCATGCCTGATTTGGGGTATGGGCATCACCCAGCACACCAACGGAACCGCCAACGCCCACGGACTGCTCAACCTGGCCCTCGTCGCCGGACAGCTCGGTCGCCGCGGCTCAGGAATTTCGCCGTTGCGTGGCCAGAACAACGTCCAGGGTTGCGGTGATGCCGGCTGTCTGCCCAACTCGTTGCCCGGTTACCAAGGTTTGCGTCCAGATACGCTGGTGCGGTTCGGCGACGCCTGGGGTGCCCCCGGTCGTATTCCCGATGCCGCCGGTCTGGTCGTAACCGAGATGGTGGAATCCATGGAACGGGACGACGGAGTTCGCGCCATGTACATCACCGGCGAGAATCCGCTGCTCAGTGAACCCGACCTCAATCGCGCCGATGAGCTGTTCCGCCGTCTGGACTTCCTGGTGGTGCAGGATATTTTCATGCACGAAACCGCGCAGCTGGCCGATGTGATCCTGCCGGCCACCAGCTTTGCCGAGAAAGACGGCACCTTTACCAACAGCGAGCGGCGCGTGCAGCGCGTGCGCCAGGCCATCCCGCCGGTGGGCGACAGCCGCCCCGACTGGGACATCGTATGCGACCTGGCCCGCCGCATGTGTGACAAGATGGGCCTCCCCTGGCAGAATCAGTTCACCTACCAGCACCCGTCGCAGATATTCGACGAGATGGCCCAACTGACTCCCATCATGTCCGGCATCTCCTACCAGCGCCTCGACGCCGAGGGCGGTATCCAGTGGCCTTGCCCTTCGCCCGAGCATCCGGGCACCACCTATCTCTACGCCGACGATTTCCCCCGCGGCGACCGGGCCAAATTCGTGGCCTTCGAGCAGGGCGCCGTGGCTGCCGAAACCCCCTCAGACCGGTTCCCGCTGGTGCTGAACACGGGGCGGGTGCTGTACCACTGGCACGGCGGCACCATCACCCGCCGCGTGGATGGACTCATGGCCCGCACACCTTCGCTGGAAGTGTCAATCAACCCCCAGGACGGCGAACGATTCGGGTTGCGGGACGGCGCGGACGTGCAGGTACGCTCGCGGCGGGGTTCTCTCACCGGAGTGGCCCGTTACACCTACCGCATGAGGACCGGAGAAATTTTCATTCCCTTCGTTCGCCTTGGCGACTCGGCGGCCAACTTCCTGACCAACGCCGCCTACGACCCCGAATCGCACATCCCCGAGTACAAAGTCTGCGCCGTCCGGGTGGAGCCAATAGAGCCGTAAAGTCTCTCACCCCAGCGCTCTCGTCATTCGGGCGAAAGCGGGAAACCACGCATCCCCCTTGTCATCGCCCGCAGCGTCAGCGACGTGGCACTCCCGCCGCAAATCACGCTCAGCTGTCATCGCCCGCCGCTCGTGACTACGCTCGCAATCCTGCACGTCACCAGTGGATCGCTCTTGCGCATCGTCCTGAGGCCTTGATGCGAGGGCGAGGGTGAACCCCTTCGTCATCGGTCGCCCCGATCTGAGCGCGTCGACCCGCGCGAGCGTGGCAATCCCGCCGCAATTGCCTTAGTCTTTCCCGCTTTCGCGGGAATCCAATTGCCCCGTCTTTTACCCGACCAGCCTAGGCCCGGCGTTCGCGACCCTCGATAAAATGCACCGCTTCGTCCGGGCTGATGCGACCAACCGGTCCGCTGGCGTACATCGCTCCCAGCACCGTGCCCCCGCGCCCCAGCAGAAACTCGGTCGGCTGGATGTGTCCGTCGTGATTCTCGGACCACCACGCGCCCAGCAATTCGGCGTCCTCCGGCGTTACCCCGTAGGCCATCGGGAATTTAACGCCGGCCTTGGTCGCCATCTCTGCCACGACTTCTTTCGGTTCAACGCTGGCAGCGACAATTTCGACGCCCATCTGGGACAGCGCATCACTTTCCTTCTGCCATGCGGCCAACTGCCGCGCGCAGTAGGGTCACCATACGCCGCGATAGAACAGCAGCGCCAGATAGCGTGATGACATAGCTTCCGGCAGGGTCAGCGTGTTGCCATCAATCAGGTTCAATGAAATTTCAGGCAACCGGTCGCCCTGTTGTAGCTTCTCGCCCATAACGTCTCCAGATTGGTGTCAGGCAGTCGGTCGTTCCGGCCAGAACAGCTCATAAAGGCGGTCCGACAACTCTTCGCACAGTCTCAGGCCGGCTGTAATGTCTTCCGCCGCGGCTTCGTCTTCGTAGAAGTTGGAATGCAGGGAGCGTGCCACCATGAACGAATTCCTGATCCAGTCCCGCGTTTCCAGGTCGCCAGACTCCGCCACCAGGTCGGACAATTCCCGCAGAACCTGCCAGATTGAGCGATGATGATGGACGACGCCGCCGTGTTGGGCGCTAACGGCCCTGACCGTTTCGGCTACCATCCCCCAGGCCTTGTTTGACGCCTGGGGCAGGTCGCCATCCTCCCGTAGATGCTTCCATGCGCCGGCGCGAAAATCCGAGCTGAGCCGGGCATATTTCTCCGGTCCAAGATCTGCGTCGTCGGGGTGGCTGGGATCGCGAGCGGCGGCCAACCCCTGGGCAACCGCCGCCGCGATGGTTTCGTCGGTATACACCACGCCAACAGGTTAGTCGACTACCGCCTCCGCAGTGGGGGACTTTAGGCGCTCCGGCCACCAGGGATCATCGTAGTCGCTGAACAAACCCTGGATATGCGGCATCACCTCTTTGGCGAACAGCTCGGTGTTCTTCCTGGTCAGGTCGGGCGGCATACTGCCAATCTGCAGCAGCACCATCAGGTGGCCGATTCGCAGCATTTCGGCAGCTTCGGTCAGCTTCCTGCGCACGGTCTCCGGACTGCCCGCAATGATGTGCCCCTGGTCGACGTAATCCTTCCACCTGTTTTCCGTGGCGGCCCGTCGTGCCTCTTCGCCCATCTGCGGCCGCAGCGACTTGCGGATGGACTCCAGCGAACGGTAGCCGGGCGATTCGGCGTATGGTGGATAAACCCGCAGCATCTTTTCGTAGAAATACTGAACGTGCTGCTCGTAGTCCTTCTCCGCCTGCTCGTCAGTCTCCGACACACACACCAGTTGCAGGAACCCCAGTCGGTGCGGGTTGTCGTCAACCCCACGCTCGGCGGCCCTTTCCCAGTAACCCTTCACGATGTTGTACCCGCGCAGGTAGCCGTAGTACGACAGGTAGCAATAAACGTAGTCCCGGTCCAGCACCCAGTCCCAGGTTTCCAGGCTGCCCGAGCCGGGGATCCACACCGGCGGATGTGGCTGCTGCATCGGGCGCGGCCAGATGCTGATGTACCTCAGCTTGTTGTACTTGCCGTTGAAAATCGTGGGCTGATGCTGAGTCCATGCCTGCATCACCACGTCGTGGGCTTCCGTATGCCGCTCCCGCAGCGTGATGGGCACCTGTCCGTACGAGAACGTAGTATCCATCGACGTACCCACCGGGAAACCCGCCACCAGCCGCCCGCCGGATATCACATCCAGCATCGCCATCTCTTCCGCCACCCGAATCGGAGGGTTGTACAGCGCCAGGCTGTTCCCCAGCACGATCAACGCCCCGTTCTTGGTGGTGTTCGCCAGCACCGATGCAATCAGGTTGGGCGACGGCATAATGCCGTAGGCGTTGTTGTGGTGTTCGTTCACGCAGATACCGTCAAAACCAACCTCGTCAGCGTAACGCAACTGGTCGATGTACTCGGCGTAATACTGGTTCCCCTTCTCCGGATCGAAGTTCTCGTTGGGCAGGTCCACCCACGCCGAATGATGCTTTTCAGCGAAGTCATCGGGCAAATCCTGGTAGGGCATCAGGTGGAAGAAGGATACTTTCATGGCGATGTTCCTCGGGGTGCGTTCGGCTCTGGTCTCAATTGCCCGGATTGTAACATAGCGGAGTTGCGACCTCGGGATTATGGGAATCCACCGGTCGCACTCCGCTCGGTTTCATGGTCAGCCGGCCAGCCAGCCGTGTACTGCGGCAATGAAGTCGGCCGGATTGTCCTCAAACACCATGTGTCCCGCTCGCTCTATCTGAGCCAGCGTGCCCTGTTTCAGCGTGGCTACCATCTGCTGCGCCGTCTCCTCGGCCAGCAGGTCGGTCTCCATACCGCGCACCAGCAGGGTCGGGCAGGTTATGTTATCCAGCGTCGGCCACAGGTCCACCGATGGAGCGCCCGTCCCGTTGATCCGCTGCTCCCGAATCTCCTGATCGAACTTCCAGCCCAGTTTCCCGTTGGGCAGTTGCTGGGTTTGCCCCGTCAGGCGTCGGCGCATCACCGGTTCCGATGCGAAACGGTTGCCCTTCTGCACGTGGGTCAATGCGTCCTCGAAATTGTTGAATTCGGGCGGCAGGTCGCGCAGCTCGTTGGTGATCCGGTTGCCTCCGGCCGGTTCGATGCGTGGGCCAATGTCCACAATGCACAACCGCTCCAGCCGCTCCGGATGCGCGCCGGCGAATGCCAAGCTGTTGCGCCCGCCCATCGAGTGGCCGAACAGGATGAACTTGTCCAGGCCAACCGCGTCCAGGAACCCCACCAAGTCGGCTACGAAAGCGTCGGTGGAATAGTCGCCCCCGGGGGCATGGTCGGTGTCGCCGCGCCCGCGCTGGTCCAGGGCATAAACGTGGTAGTCGCGATACAGTGATTCGGCAACGTCGTCCCAAACGTGGGCGTGGCCGCGCAACCCGTGCAGCAGCACCAGCGGCGGTTTGCCTTCGGTGCCCCAATCCAGGTAGTGCAGTTTGATGCCATTGGCGGTAATGGTTCGGCTTTGGGGCTGTACTTGCGTGGTCATGGCTTTCTCTCCTCTGGTGCGGTGTTGCATCGGCCTGCGGCGCGTAGGGCGTTCGGCGATGCGCTACTTGAGTTGCCAGTTGGGCCGGCGCTTCTCGGCGAACGCCCGCGGCCCTTCCTTGCTGTCTTCGGTCGTCAGTATGTAGTCGTAGGCCACATAGGTTTGGGCGCTGATTTCGGCGATGGACTTGTCCAGACTGCTATAGGCCAGTTCTTTGATGGTGCGCACCGCCAGCGGAGCGTTCTGCGCGATGCTCTCCGCCATTTTGATGGCTTCCGGCAGGAGCTCGTCGGCCGGCACCACCCGATTGAGAAACCCCATCTCCTGAACCCGCGGCGCCGGAAGCAGCTCAGCAGTCATCACCAGTTCCAGCACGTTGGCAATGCCAATCATCTTGGTGAGCTCCACCGCAAAAGGCGGCATCAAACTCCACTTGGTTTCCGTAATACCCAGCCGGGCATTGTCGGCGGCCAGGCGCACGTCGCACATCTGGGCAATCGCCCAGCCTCCCGCGGCGGCGGCTCCGTTGACGGCGGCAACCAGGGGCTTGTTGGGGCGCGTCCACATGTGGGGCCGGTTGGGAGACATACTGTTCTCAGCCCGGGCCTGCACGCCCTCGGCGTTGTCAGAGGCCCGCTCCTTCAGATCCCGGCCGGCGCAGAAATTCCGCCCCGCTCCGGTCACCACCGCCACCCAGGCCTCGTCGTCCTCGTGGTCAAAGTGGTTGATCACTTCCTGCAACTCACGCCGCAGCTGCCGGTTGATGGCGTTCGACGCCTCGGGCCGGTTCAGCGTTATGATGGCCACGTGGTTGTCGATCCCAGTCTTTTCATACAGGATGGTTTCAGGCATTTCAGTGGGTTCTCCTTGCGTTCTATCTAATCAGTCATGATCGACGCTGGGTACTCCGCAGCGGCTTGCGGCGCGGTCAGGCATAGTGGCCCAGATACTGGCCGCCGATCACGTGGACGTGGCCGTGAGATTGGCTTTGCAGTCCGTCATATCCGAAGTTGGACAGGATGCGAAACCCGTCGGGACAGTACATGCACCCCAGCGTTGCCGCCACATCTCCCAGCCTGGCCATAATCCCGCTGCTCCACATCTCCAGCTGCGACATGTGGCGGCGCGGCATCACCAGCAGCATGATGGGCACCCACGTCAGGCGGTTGACGATGGCAATCAGGTCGTTGTCCAGGTACCGAATCCGGGCCGGCTCCCGGCCCGCGACTATTTCGCAAAACACACAGTCCGGTCGCGCAAATTCGTTCGTTGCAGCCTGGGTCGTCATCGATCCATTGCCATCATTTTGTACCACGATTCATCGATTATTGTACTCCATCGCCGCTGCCTGTTGTCATGAACGGGTAACCGCTGTTCCCCAGTGCCGGAGCCACTATACGAACCACCGCTCCGGAGTGTCAACGACGGCGGTAATTCGCGCCGCTGACCATCGCTTCGCCCATGCCGTGTGGTATGATTGCCAACGGGTCGCCAGCCTTTTTGGAATGCGTCAAGCGCTGTCGCCGTTTTCTTTCTTCTATGTATCGATTGGCTATTCTCACTATCAGCACGTCCGGCGCCCGCGGTGAGCGGGAAGATTCCGGCGGGCAGGCCATACGCGAAAAACTGCCGCCTCCCGACTACGAGGAAGTGCAGTACGAAGTGGTGTCAGACGACGATGAGGTCATCACCAGTCGGATCTGCGAATGGGCCGATTCCGGGGAAGTCGATTTGGTGATAACCACCGGCGGCACCGGCATGGGTCGTCGCGACGTTACGCCCGAAGCCGCCCGTCGCGCCATGGATCGAGAGGTTCCAGGCATGGCCGAGGCGATGCGCGCTCAAACGCTGCAGTTCACCCCCATGGCAATGCTCAGTCGTTCGGTGGTTGGCATCCGCCGGCACACCCTCATCATCACCCTGCCCGGCAGCCCCCGCGGTGTGGGAGAATGCCTGGACGTCATATTGCCGGTGCTGCCCCATTCCATCGAGCTGTTGCAGCGCGAATCCGTACAGGAACATCCCCGCTAACCCAACCCTCGCATCAGACTAATACCAGCACCAAACTACCATCCAATTACATAACCGGAGATTGTCGCAAGATGAGCACCGACGCAAACAACAACGCACCCGCTCCCGTTTACTGGCCTCGCGTCAAACAACTGCTGGACGACATCATGGAGCGGTGGATAGATCGCCACGGCCGTGATCCCTACCCCGGCATCCACGAATACTGGTGGGAAACGCCGGAAGACCTGGCCAATTCTGTGCTCAATGGTTATCCGTCTATCGAACCCGGCTTGCCGGGTGCAGAAACCCATCTGGTGCGTTCATTGCGGCTGGGTTGCGGCACCTTTGGCCGTATGCCCCTGCGCGGGCCGTTCCTGTCCCGAATTGAGGCAGCGGAAGTGGCCGCCTGGATTGACGCTGGTATGCCCACCGGTCCCGACGATTAAATCAGTCGACGCCCGCAACTGCCAAATCAAAGGCCGCCGGTGGAGTTACCACCGGCGGCCTTTATAGTCCTGGATTGTTACCGGTAATGCTTTACAGCAGTACGGGCTCCTTCTCCTTTTGATAAACCTGGATCCGGCCACGGGTGTGGTCCAGAATGGCAATCTGACCGGAGGCGCTCACCCGCACGGCGCACGGGTTCGAAAACGCCTTCTCGAACGAACCGCCATCGTTGGTGATGGCCATGGTCCGCTGGCGAATCATATCCGGGTTGGAGTTCAACTTGGTCTTGCCCCATCCCGAGATCTGGTGGTCGCCCCTCAGCTGCGCACGGAACCGTCCGTCGGGAGCCAGAATCTGCACCCGGTCGTTCTCCCGGTCGCAAACATAGATGTCGCCGTCATTGTCGACGGACACCGCGTTTGGCCGCTTGAACTGGCCAGGGGCATCCCCAGACGTCCCAAAACTCGCCTGCCATTCGCCGTCCTGGTTAAACTGCTGAATGCGGTCGTTCCGCCAGTCGGCGACATAGATCAGGCCATTTTTGTCCAGGCAGATCCCCCAGGGTAGATTGAACTGCCCTTTACCCGACCCGGATTCACCGAACTGGCTCTTGAACGTCCCGTCCACGCCGTAGCTCTGGACACGGTTGTTCTTGCTGTCAACCAGCCACATGGTGTCGCCGGCGATTGCGATGCCAGACGGCCCATTGAACTGGCCGGGGCCGCTGCCGGCCTCGCCCCAGTGCCGCAGGTATTCTCCGTCGGCGTCATACATCGTGATTCGGTTCAGGTACTCGTCGGCTATGTACAGGTTGGACTCGCTGTCCAGCGCGCACGACGTCGGCCAGTACATGTCACCAGGATCCTCGCCGAACTTGCTGAATTCCCCTACGAACTCCTCGTTCAGTGTTGCAACCGTTACGTGCACACCGTCCGGACGGTTTTCATAGGACCTGTTAAGTACGTAGACTTTGCCTTCCTCATCCATCGCCATGTCTACCGGGTTGCGGAACCCGGTTCCGTTGAACTCGTTTCGCCCCACGGAATGGCTATAGTTGAAGGCCACGTCGACGAGACCAAATAAATGGGTACTCATAGACTTCCCTCTCGCATTGCGTCGTTTAAGTGGTGGGAGCCACGGCAAGCCGGTTTCAGACGGTTTCTCCCGCCGTGGCCTTTGCAATCGTGTGGGTGCGGCCTACAGGAAGGGAACCTTCTCGAAGACGCCGCGGTTGATTGGGTTGGAGTCCAGGCCCATCCAGTCTTCCAGGATGGTGGCGTAAACCTGCCGGAAGTCCATGTTGGACCTGAGGTTGCCGCCCGCTTCCTGCTGGCTGGGTTCCAGCGACGGGTAGGCGCCGTAGATGCCGCCCTTGACGTGCTCGCCGACGGCGAATGCCACCGAGGCTGCGCCGTGGTCGGTGCCGGAGCCGTTGTCGCCCACGCGACGACCGAACTCGGAGAACATGAGCAGCGTTACGTTGTCGCTGGCGTTATGGTCCCGAAGGTCGGTTATGAACGTGTCGACGTTGCCCGAAACGTCAGTCCACAGCGCGCTGTGCAGCTGGGACTGGTTGGCATGGGTGTCAAAGCCGTTGTAGGGGCTGGTGGTGAAGAGCACGCGGGTTCCCAGGTCAGCCAGGTGAGTCTGGGCGATGTTCTTCATATACTGGCCTACGGTGCTGGCCGAATACTCCACGTTGGAGGTGTACATCGGCGGCGCGGTGGCCAGGATGTCGGCGCCGATGCGGGCGTAGGTGCCCGTGGAGCGCAGATAGTCGTTTACGAACCCGCCGCCAATGGTGGGCGCGTAGATCTTGCTGAACAGGTCCAGCGCTTCGGCGCGCTGATCTTCGCCCTCGATGCCGGTCAGCAGGCCGTACGTCTCCAGGTTGCCTACAGAAGCAACCGGCACGCCTTCCTTCGCCAGCGCCCGGGGGAGGCCGCGACCGAAGTTCACGCCCGTGAGTCCCTGGCCTTCGTTGTTCGGGTCCAGTTCCTTGATAACCTGGCCCAGCCAGCCTTCGGTCCCGATGGTGTCCGGCTCACAGGTGTGCCAGATGTCCATGCTGCGGAAGTGGCTGTACGACGGGTTGGCGTACCCGATGCCCAGGAAAATCGCCAGTTTGCCCTCGTCCCAATACTTCTTCAAAGGAAGCATCGTGGGGTGCATGCCGATTTCGCCGTTCAGGTCGATCACCGAGTCTGCCGGCACACCCAGCGCGGGACGAAAGTCTCGATAGTAACCATCGTTGTAGGGGATGACCGTGTTCAGGCCGTCGTTCCCACCGGAGAGGGAAAGAACTACCAGAACGTTATCCTTATTGGTAGAGACCATTATTTGATCCTCCGAAATGTCGACGGGCTGTTGCCCTTGTTAGTTGGCTTGGGCACTCGCTGCGCGACGAAGCGGTCAGTTGACGCCAACGCAGCGAGGTCAGCCCAGTTGTGGTTGTGCCGAATTACTCGAATTGGAACTCGGAAGTTGACGCGATAATCTGGAACATTTCACCGGAGCGGCGGGTAAACTCGCTACGCTCGGCGTCGGTCCCATGGGTCAGGTTTCCGCCGCGACCGGCGTGCTCAACCAGCTGAGTCCTCGTGTCCTCAGTCAGGTTCAGGCATCCCACCAGGTCAGCACAACTGTCCACGAACTGATCGGGGCTTATGCTGTCGCCCTGCGCCATCAGTTTCGAAATCATGCTCCGTACGCCCGGAAGTTCCGTGCGTCCCAGATAGTCAGCGGCAAAGTTGATCCGCTCCACCAGCGTTCCCGAGTCGATCCACTCGTGGCCGGTGTGCCAACCCTCCACCGTCGGAGGATTCATCAGGTCCATGCCCATGTACTTGGGCTCCTGACTCAGTTCGAACATCCCGGGTTTGATCTCTCCCCGGTGGTCGCCAACCATGCGAAGCGTGCCGGCCACCATCTCGGCCGGATTCTTCACCTTGGCGTAGCGGGCGTTCTTGAACCCTTCCGAGTTGAACAGCGTGCGCAGCATCTCAGTAATGTTGTATCCACTGTCGAAGTACGCCTTCTCCAGCGCCTCCAGGGTAGCCTCGTCCTTGGGCGGAGTCTGCCGCCAGCTGGGAACGGGTACCTCGTCGGCAACGAAGTAGTTGTACAGATGGCGCGAGATGAACCGTGCGGCGGCTTTATCGCCTGCGATCATGTTGAGGATGTCGTCGCCATTCCAGTGGCCGGTGTTGCCCAGGAACGTCTTTTCGGTGTCGTCGTGGTCAGCCGGGTCAAACCGGAACTCCCAGGGGCTGCGCCCGTAGGGGAACGGCGGGTAGGGCGGCGCAATATTCCAGCCGGTAAACGCGCGGGCGCATGCCTTCACGTCGTCTTCCGAGTAGTTGAAATCTTCGTTCATGCCAACGCCCAACGAGAACAACTCCAGCAGCTCGCGGCCAAAGTTCTCGTTGATGTTCGTCTTGTGGCTTTCGCAGTTGTCCAGGTAATAAACCATCGCCGGGCTGGTGGAAAGCTCCAGCAGCAAACCGTCGAAATTGCCCATGCCCTTGTCCCGGAACATCTGGACCATGCGGCCCATTTCTTCGCCCGAGTCAATCTTGGAATGGCCGGCGCAGAAGATCATGTGCCAGAACAGCGCCATCTTCTCTTTCAGCTGGTATTCGGTGTTTACCATGCGATACATCCAGTTCTGGATGTTGATCTCGATGGCCCCAGCGTGATTGTAGGTCGGATGGTAGCGCAGCATCAGGTCGTCTTCGACCCCGGAATCGGGCTCCGGGCTGAGCATACCCTCAACCACCGTGTCATATCCTTTCGCAGCAGCGGCTTCAATCTCGTCGCGGCTGGCGTTGAAGCCGGCTCGGCGTAGAAGGTGTGCCATCAGTGCGATGTCGTTGCTTCCTGCCATTGGTTCCTCCTTTATTGTCCTTTGGGGATGTTCGTCCCGATAGACTGTATTATGGTCGAAATATACCGCAATATGAGCCTTTTCCGCAACGTTAACCGCAATACCGCCGTCAGCGACACCCGTCAAACTGCGGAACTGTTATCAGTTTATAATCGTATTGCCGAAAGCCCGCTTTGTCAATATTGTTTCAACGGCAATCCGCGCCCCGGATCCATCCCAAATCTCCCATCAATCACACCATCCGCTCCCACCGCTTCCACCGCCACTACCACGGTTTTCGGCAATATGTACACCCCCGCTTCTGGTCGCCAATTGTTGGTATGTTATCATCATACCATCCGGGTTCGAAAGCATCATTCCCTGTACCCGCACCCCCAATCTGGCAGAGCAATCGCATTTTGATTCTATTGCTCTCGTCTTTCCCGCGCCGGCGGGAATCCAGTGTCCGATAAGGATTGGAGACCGTCCGAAATTCGACTCAATCGTGCTTTCTGTGTTCCGGCTTCCGCCGGCGCCATGGAAGTGTAATTTATAATGCCATTCACCTGGCCAATCTGGCCAATCGGTTGCCATATTCACCCCAAGTATGTTAAACGCAATTCCGTTGGGCGCACATCCGTCGCGGAGGTAGCATTATGCCGGTAATCACCATAAACGGCCCCATCGGCGCCGGTTCAATCGAAGTGGGGCAGATGGTCGCCCGAGACCTCAGCCTTAATTACGTCGACCGCATGGTATTTGCTGAGGCAGCCCGGATTATCGGTTCTCCGGTGTCCAACCTCATCGCCAAAGAGCAGCGGGTCGAGCGGTTCGGCGATCGGGTAACCGCCCTGTTGGGACGTGTTCTCGAACGCGCCGCCGTCTCTGGCGATTACGATCTGGGCGCCGGCATCGAAACGCTACCTGAAACCTATCTTGAATTGGCCGGCGAAGCCTCGTCGCGGATTCAGCGCGTCAACGACCAGGTTTTCATTGATACCACCACCGAGGTGGTCCGCAATCTCGCCCAGGCCGGCCACGTCGTCATCATCGGCCGCGGCGCCAACGTCATCCTGGGAGACACCCCCGGAGTGCTCCACGTGGGCATCATGGCGCCCATGGAAAAACGAATCGAAACCATCATGGAGCGCGAGCATCTTACCGAGTCCGAATCTCGTTCCTACCTGGAAGACCTGGAAGAAGCAAGGGTCAAATTCTTCCAGAAATTCTTCAAGGTTTCCCCGCTCGACGCAACGCTCTACCACATTATGCTAGACATGGGGCACATGGCTTCAGACACCGCGGCTCGTATTATCACCCACGCCGCCGGCGACCTGGAGCATTAAGCATCGGAATCAGCGCCTGGCATCGCGTGCCCAATCAATCCGGGCCCGCTCCATCGCCTTCAAAAATCCACCATTTCCAATGCGGGACGCGGCAGCCGATCCACCCTGCGGTTCCCGGACCCGTAACATCCATCTCCGCAACACCCACCGTAACACCCACCGCAATACCCGAGGAGGTTAGCAAGGATTATGTTTGTCAGAATGGTTTGGGGCAAGCTGCGCGCCGGTTCATGGGAAGCATTTGAAAGGCATTACCACGAACGCGTGACCGTGGAAAACCATCGCCCCCAGGGACTGCGAGAACGCCAGCTCATCCGCAGCACCGAGGACCCCGACGAGGGCATCAGCGTCAGCGTTTGGGAAACCCTCGACCACTTGCGCAACTATGAAACTAGCGACTTCCGCGCCAACATCGCCCGCGAGGTGGAGCATCTCTACCGCGGCGAATACTGGGTGAAACACTTCGAGATCAGCTCGACTGACTGACCCGAAACGGTGGTCTCACAGAAAAGCCCCGCTGCACCTTGCAGCGGGGCTTTCGTCTGTCCGCAATTGCCTGTAACGAGTGTCTGCCCCCGTCAAAGGGGTCAGGCCCCGGCAAAAGGGTCAGGGTTGGCGGATACCCACCATCGTCATGGGCGCCACACTCTAACGGCTGGCGCTGGCTCCGGCCAGGCGGCCAATGCCGGCCCGCGAGCAGTCCTCGTCTTCCTGGGCTGTTCCGCCGCTGCCGCCCGCGGCGCCAATCAACTCCCCATTCATGTAGACCGGCAATGCTCCCTGCCCGGGCACGAACTCCCCGCGCTCCACTTCCATAACTGCCCGCATGATGGGCGTCGTGGAACGTTCCGTCAGGTCGCCGCTGGGCTCGCCAAAGCACGCTGCTGCCCGCGCCTTCCCCCGTGATACATAGGGCGTGCGCCAGGCCGAACCGTCCATCTTGCACATCGTGATCAGGTCGCCTCGAGCGTCCACCACCGAAAAGCTGAATGCCTTCCCCAATTCAAGCGCTGCTGCTTTGGCTCCCGCCAATATTGTTTCGGCCTGGTCCAGAGTGATGTTTGGCATAGTCGTGGATCTCCTTAGTAACAGTCGGGTTCTTTTCGGGTTGAGGGCCTTCATCGGCCTGCGCTATTATACCAGCGTGCCCACTTTAATCCGTCATTGCGAGGAGCATAGCGACGTGGCAATCCCGGCCGGCCCCACCGGGCCGTTCGTCCTGAGTTTGTCGAAGGATCGTCTACGTGTATTCAGCCTCATCGAGATTGCCAACACCCGTATCGAGTACGGGGTCGCAATGACAAATTGGGTACGCATGAGCTATCGCCGCCTGATAGCCACGCTTTGCTCCCCCTGGTTCATAACCATTCCAATGGCGCCACCCGCCACCCGCTCCTGATCGGAGTCGCCACGCCTGACCCTGTTACGCCTAACCCTGTTTACGGAGAGAAACACCATGCAGTTCGGATTCTATTTACCCAACCACGGACCCAACGCCCAACCCGGCCCGCTGGCCCAAATCGCACAAACCGGCGACCGGCTCGGTTACTACTGCATGGTTGCCGGCGACCATGTCCTGGTGCCCAACCGCATTGACTCAACCTATCCCTATACCGTCAGCGGCGAATTTCCCACCGGTGAAAGCGGCGAATATTTCGAGCAGTTAACCCTGCTCACCTACCTGGCCGGCGTCACCGAGAACATCCGCATGGTCCCCAGCGTCATGATCGTCCCCTACCGCCCGCCTATCCTGGCCGCCAAAATCCTGGCCACCCTGGACGTGCTGTCTCAGGGCCGCTTGATTCTCGGCGTCGGCGTCGGCTGGATGGAAGAAGAATTCGAGGCCCTGGGCACGCCTCCCTTCGCCGAACGCGGCGCCGTGACCGATGAATACCTGCGCGCCTACAAAGAATTGTGGACCAGCCCCAACCCTGAGTTCGACGGCAAGTACGTCCAGTTCTCCGGCATCCAGTTCCTGCCCAAACCCGTGCAAAAACCCCATCCGCCCATCTGGGTGGGAGGCCAGAGCCGACCCGCCATCCGCCGTGCCGCCACGCTGGGCGACGGCTGGCACCCCGTAGGCACCATACCGGCCGCCACCATGGAACCCGAGGAACTCGCCGGCGATCTGGTGCAGCTCAACCGCTTCGCCGAGCAGGCCGGGCGCGACCCGTCGGAAATTCAGGTATCCATGAAAGCGCCGCTCTACGATCCCGCCACCATGCAGTCCGGGCCGCGCCGCCGCTTCTCCGGCTCGCCCGATGCCATCCTGGAAGATGTACAGACTTACTCGGATATAGGAGTGTCCCACATCATCTTCGATATCCGCGGCAGCGATCTGAACCAGGCGGTGGAGCGTCTCGACTGGTTTGCCGGCGACATCATGGCCCACGCCGGCTAGGCGGCATCAGATGATCATTTCCTCACCCAACCGACGTTGGGCTTACGGAGCGATCCGGCCCATTGTGCACCGGCCCGACTACCGTCAGGCCACCGCCGATTGGCAAACCGAGACGTCGTCGAGCCTGTGATATAATCTCACCGCCGTACAGTCCGGGTCCACGCCTTAGCGCGTAGCGCCGCATACCATAACCTGGTAGGAGGAACACTGCCTTGACCACCCTCAATGACCGCTATCTGGCCGGACAAAACATGCGCGGAATCATGTCTGGCGGGGACAATACACATTATGCGTTGCCGGGCGTAGACCAGTTGGCCCCCGACCTCAAACGCATCATTGACGAAGCCCTTTTCGGGATGATCTGGACGCGCCCCGGTCTGGAACTCTCTTACCGTTGTGTTGCCACCGTTGCCGCCCTCATGGCCCTCGGAGAACTCAACCTCCTGCGCCGCCACGTTGAGCGTTCCCTCAACGTCGGTCTTACCCCCCATCAGGTGGTCGAAATATTCATCCAGTCCACCTTTTACGTTGGTGTCCCTGCCGTTGAAACCGCCCTCCGCCTTACCAAGGAAATCTTCGAGGATCGCGGCATCGCGTATCAGCCGATCAGCGAATACGACACCAACCGCCACTCCGACGAGTTGCACGCCCTGGGTCAGGAAATGCACCGCCGTCACATGGGCGACACTCCCTCCTCCGGCTACGATGACACTTCCCCCGAGGCCGACCTGGAGCGCATCGTCGACGAATACCATTGGGGCGCCATTCACAGCCGCTCCACCCTCGATGACAAGTCCCGCGCCATCATCTCCCTGGCTTCACTCACCATCATGGGCGTATACGACGCCCAGATGCGACGCAGGATTCGTGGCGCCGTCGGCATCGGCCTCAGTCCGGTCGAAGTCATGGAAGTGTTCATTCACCTGTCCATGTACGGCGGTTACGTCAACACACGCACCGCCATGCGCATCGCCAGGTCGGTCTTTATCGAACTCGGAATCTCCTGACCCACGGGCCTCCGCGCCGGGTTCGCCCGTCGCCAGCCCGGCAGCTTGGTGAATATCCAATAGTCAGTTGAACAATCGGCAGTAAGGAGGTCGGCGGAAATACCATGAAGCTTCGACTCGATGACGGCTGCGAGCTGTTCTACACCATAGACGACTTTACCGACCCGTGGACCGAGCCTCAAACCGTGGTAATGCACCACGGTATGGCCAAAAACAATAAGCTCTGGTTCGGCTGGGTCCCCATCATCGCGAGACACTACCGCGTGATCCGCTTCGACATGCGCGGCATGGGTCAGTCCGACGTCCCCGAACCCGGCTTTCCCTTTTCAGTAGACAATTTCGCCAAAGACCTCGCCGAGTTTGTCGACAAGCTGGGCCTGGATAAGTTCCACCTCATCGGCGAAACCGTCGGCGGCAGCATTTCCATGCGTTACGCAACCATGCACCAGGAGCGGTTGCTCTCCCTCACCGCCTGCACCTCTCCCACCAGCTTCAACGACGCCCACCACGCCGAATCTGCCGTCCAGATCGAAAACGAGGGCATCGGCGCGTGGGTCGAAAGCAGCATCGGTCGCCGCCTTGACCCGCAGATCGTCGACCCCCACTACACCCGCTGGTACGCCGAGCAGATGAAGGCCACCACACCGCATGTCGTTGCCGGCTTCCAGGCTCAGGCGTCGGGCGATCTGCGCCCGCTTCTCAAGGATGTTCAGACCCCAACCTTGATCATCGCCGCCGCCGCCTTGCGTGAAGAAGTGTTGGGCGATTTCCGCGGCGCCTCCGACGTGTTCCCCAACGGACGCTCCGTCGTGTTTCCCGGCGTCTCAGGTTTCGTGCAACACGTCCTGCCGGTTCCCTGCGCCCGCGTCTGGCTGGACTTCGCCCGCAGTTTGGGATAACGGTCCAACCGCACAGTCTGATACCAGCCCCTCTCCGCAGTTTTATACCTGGGGGTAGCCCTTCGTCATGGTGGACTATTCTACCGACGAAAACCGCTCAGCGCCTACGGAATCCCGGCGTCTGCCTACAGACGCCGTTGACGACGATACCACGGTTCCACCGCCCGGCCTCCTGACGCGCCTGTTCCATCGCCACGTCCGCGATGAGCGGGGCCGCTACCAGTCCCGTTTGTTTGCCCGCGGCGAATTCCAGGTTTTGTCGCGCCGCACCAGCAAACGGCTCCGACTCCCTCCGTACATTTTGTTGTACGACGTTCGGTTCTTCCGGATGCAGAAGGGTTACCTGTGGCAATCCTCCCTCGCGGTCTTCGCCATCCTGGCCGTTCTGCTATTGGTCGATTCGGTGGCCGACGCTGCCCTGGCCGCCGGTTTGGGGTCCAGCACGGTCATCGTGTTCCTGCACCCCACGTCGCGCAGCGCCGGCCTGCGCAACCTGGTCGGAGGCCACATCTTGGGGTCGCTGGTTGGAGCGGCCGCATCGTTGCTCCTGTTTCAAACCGGATGGTTCCCCGCTAATGCCGAGCTATCCCATTGGTTTGCCGACGGTGTCGCCGCCGGTGTGCTCGGCCTGGTAATCCTGCTAATGGCCGCTACCGACACGGAGCACCCTCCGGCTGCTGCCACCGCACTGGGGTTCGCGCTGCAGAGTTTGGAGTGGCCCATCATTTTCCTGTTTGGAGGGGCCGTGATGGTGTTGGCCGTCGTGAAAGTCGTGCTTCGCAACCGCCTCCAGGACCTCATCGATTAAAAGCGCCCTCTCCCGCCCACCTGTTATTTCGAGAAGCATAGCGACGCGGCAATCCCGCTGCCCTCGGCCCCCCGTTCGTCCTGAGCCTGTCGAAGGACCTCCTGTCATTGCGACGAGCGCCAGGGACGTGGCAATCCCGCTGCCCTCGGCCCCCGTTCGTCCTGAGCCTGTCGAAGGACCCCAATCATTGCGAGGAGCGTCAGCGACGTGGCAATCCCGCTGCCCTCGGCCCCCGTTCGTCCTGAGCGCACCCCCCCGTTCATCCTGAGCCTGTCGAAGGACCCCAATCATTGCGAGGAGCGCCGCAACGTGGCAATCCCGCTGCCCTCGGCCCCCGTTCATCCTGAGCCTGTCGAAGGACCCCAATCATTGCGAGGAGCGTCAGCGACGTGGGCCGTCTCGCCCCTCGGCCCCACCAATGCACCGCGTGGCGGTGTGCTAACATGCTGAACGTTCATTGACCCTTCGATTCCCGATTGGAGATTGCCCTCATGCCCGATTCCATTTCCCGTCAGTTGGCCCGGTGGACTGTAAACCTCAGTCCCGCCGACCTGCCGCCCGCCGTCATCGACAAGATGCAAACCTCGCTGCTGCACGGTGTGGTCGTATCGATAATCGGCGCCGAAACCCACCACGGCAAAGCGGCGGTAAACCTCGCGCTGGCCGAGGAAAGCTCGTCCCACGGCGCCAGCATCGTCGGTCAGTCAGCTCGCGCCACCCGCTGCGGAGCCGCCTTCGCCAACAGCAAGCTCATGCACGCCACCAACCAGGCCGACTCGTACCGGATGCTCACCCATCCCGGCCCCTGCATCATCCCGTCGGCCCTGGCTACCGCCGAACTGAGCCGGGCGTCGGGTTCCGATCTGATCACCGCCATGGCCGCCGCCTACGAGGTCGAGTCCCGCATCGCCGGCGACTTCATCGCATCCACCCAGGCCCGCGGCTTCCGCTCCAGCCCGGTTTACGGCACCCTCGGCGCGGCTGTCGCCACCGGCAAACTGTTGGGCCTCACCGAAGACCAGATGGTAACTGCCATCGCCCTGGCCGCAACGTTCACTGCCGGCACCAACGAAGGCCCCCGTTCCGGCGGGCGCGAAATGATGTTCCATGAACCCCAGGCCACCCGCAGCGGAATCATGGCCGCCCTGCTGGCCCGCGAAGATGTACGCGGTTCCGAAGAATCCCTGGAGGGCCCGGCAGGTTTCTATAACGCCTTCACCGGCAACAACCGCGGCGAGTTGTCCTATGTTTTCAGCGGCCCACAGCAGGTTACCTTCGATCCCGTAACTGAAGGTTTGGGCGAACGCTGGGAACTGCTGCACACGGTACTCAAGATGTACCCCACGGCCGGCTATAATTGCCCGGTGATCGACCTGATGGCGGACATCCGGCGCGCTCATGATTTGTCCATCCAAGACATCGAACGCATCACCATCGACATGAACTGGCTGGAAACCCTGTACCCCTCGCCAGCCTTCCCCAACCCGGCCCGCGGACGCGCCATGGTAGGCAGCACCCACTACTTCGCCGCCTACGTTGCGGTCAACGGAGCCTACCCGCCCCTGCGCACTCGCATCGACCCCGGCGACGATTCCGATGCCGCCACCGCCGATAATCACGACGCCGTCGTCAGCCTGATGCACAAGGTGGAAACCGTCGGCCACAAAGACCGCACCGTCCCTTCGCCCCCCGCATCACCATCGAAATGGCCGGAGGCACCGTGTACCAGGGCGAATACAACGGCGCCGAACTCGAATGGGGATTCGACACAGAGGTGGAACGCCTGCGTCCTCTCTTCGACAACATCGCCTGGCCCAACGCCAAACTCGAAGCCGTTGTGTCGGCATCCCGGAGCATCCCCGACGCCTCCGACCTTGGCGCCCTGTTAGCCGCTGCAACGCCGTAACGCCAACGCCACCATCGTCGCGGGCAACGCAGCAACGCGGCTGTCTCGCTGGCGTACGATCTCAGTAATTAGACCCGACAGGAGGAAAATCATGTTGCCAGGTTTGGAAGGCAAAGCAGCACTTGTCACCGGTGGCAGCCGCGGCATCGGTAAGGCCATCGCCTACGCCCTCGCCGCCGAGGGTTGCGCCGTCGCCATCTGCGCCCGCGGGCCGGAAACGTTGCAAGCTTCTGCCGCCGAAATCAGCGATGCCACCGGCGCCAACGTCATCCCCATTCCCGCCGATATGACCGACCCCGATGCCATCGTAAACCTGGTGCGGCAGACCGTTGCCGGCCTCGGTCGGCTGGACATCCTGGTCAACAACGCCGTCAACAGCACCAGCGACCGCGCCAGCCGCATCCCCGACGACGTCATCCTCAACCACATCACCACCAAGATCATGGGATACATCCGTTGCGCCCGCGAATGTGTCCCCCACATGACAGCGGCCGGCGGCGGACGCATCATCAACATCGGCGGCATGGCGGCCCGCAATTCCAGCCCAACCAACCCCGGGTCCGGCGTTACCAACTCAGCCATGTCCAACTACTCCAAAGCGCTGGCCGACGACGTCGCATCGGATGGCATACTTGTCAACTGCATTCATCCCGGCAGCACCCGAACCGAGCGCTACATGGGACTCGTCGCCGAACGCGCCGCCCGCGCCAACACCACCCCGGAAGCCGAACTGGCCCAGTCGGTCGCCGAAATCCCCATTGGTCGCATGGTTGAACCCGAGGACATCGCCCATCTCGCCGCGTTCCTCTGCTCCGATCTGGCGTCGGCCATCACCGGCCAAACCATCGCCGTAGACGGCGGCGGCGGCAAGGGCGTGCATTTCTAGGCAACACCGGTCCGGCCCCTGCCCGCGGGTCGGCGTCGACCAGGAACCCGGCTAATCCACCTGCATGTGCTGCAGAGCCCCGGCGAAGTTGGAGTCCAGGACGTAAACGTCCGCCGCCTTGTCATACGTCATGGGGCGCGGTAAATCCACGCCTCCCCGGCGGCGCTTCAGCCGGTTCATACTGTGGCCCTGGCTTGACAGCGATCCAGACAACTCCCGCTGCGTCAGGTTCAGTTCATCCATCAACTGCGCCCGCTTCTCCGTGTAGTCCGGCGACTGCGAAACGCGCACCATCGCCTGCCTTGCCGTGGCGGACAGGTTGCGCCAAAAAGTCGTAGCGTAGCTGGCATTCCACTTCGGACGATCCGGTTCAGCGGTCGCGGCCAATTCCACCGGTGATGACGCCCCTTCCGCACCACCCGCGGCTGCATCCACCGCCTCTTCGCCCTCGATGACTTCGCCGCCGGCAAGCGGCTCGGTTCCCCGACCTGCCATCTGGCGAATCGCCGCCATTACTTCATCGATGTCCCCTTCGATAGTTACTGTTACCCGGACCAAAACGCTGCACCTCGTACTCCGCTATTGACTCTGCTGACACTCCGTCGCCTGTTCTCGTATGAACCGCAGTTTACCTCACCGGTTTTAGCATCCGCCACCACCAACGCCCTCTCATGCGTACCCACTGTCTCATTGCGAGCCTAGCGTGGCAATCTCGATGAGGCTGAACACGCGTCGACGAACCGCAGTTTACCTCACCGGTTTTAGCATCCGCCACCACCAACGCCCTACGGTGATATCGCCGCCTGCAACGCCGCCTCCAAAACCTGGGGCGGCACATACTGCTCGAATCGTGCGGCGATCCGTCCGTCCCTGCCGATCACAAACGTCCACGGTTCCGACACCAACCCCCATTCTTCCACGGCGGGAACCAGCTCTTTGCCCACCTGCGCCGGGTCCACCAGATGCGGGTCTTTGTAAACCTCCACGTGCACGAAGTTGGCCCGGCCTGCGTATCGATCCGCCAGTTCAGACAGCGTCTCGACCTGTGGCCCGCACGTCGCCGTTACGCAGAACGCCGGCGTTGAGAACGTTACGACCGCCGGCACACCCGACCTGACCGCATCGGCTAACGACAGTTGATACAGTGCCGGATCCGGCTCGACGCTGCTGCTGATGGTGCGCAGGTCGGCCACTCGTGCCGCCGTGGGCGTGTCTGACGGCGGCGCCGCGTCCCCGATGAACGGCGCCCGGTGTTGTGCCGACACGGTTATCGCGGCGGCGGCAGTTTGGTTCTCTCCGCTTTCGTCCTCAAACGTCGCGTGAACCTCCCAGATGCCAGGAGCCTCGGCCGTTGCCGTCCCGGCCTCGTCGAAAGTAACCTGAGCCACAAATATCCCGCGGCGTCCTTCCGGCGGCCATTCCTCGTATTGCGCCGTCGTGCGGTACCGAACCTGCCCGCTCTGGGCCCCGGCCTCGTAAAACACCGCCTGCAGCTCCACCAACTCCGGACGCACCGGCATGTAATCCCGGTCAACCAGCCCAAATGACAACCGGTTCTCGCCCACGGCCAGGTCGCTATTGGACACGATCATGCTCACCGCGGGTCCGCCCGGCGGCTGGCTCAAAACATCGTCCTGGGGCAGCTGACTCGCACAGCCCATCGCCAGCAACAACCAGACCCCAACCAGGCAACTCACCAAAATTCCACGCATCATGGCTTTGAGGTTGCCACGATGTCCCCATATTGGCAAGGCCCCACCCACCTCCGTTCGGCCTGAGCCCGTCGCCCCCGTTCATCCTGAGCCCGTCGAAGGACGCGTCAATCCCCTCTCCCATCAAGGGAGAGGGTTGGGGTGAGGGTGAGCCCCCACCCACCTCCGTTCGTCCTGAGCCTGTCGAAGGATCGGCCTGAGCCCGCCGTAGGACCGCCACTGCCGTCGTGGTCTATAATCAACCCACTTCTATTCACACCCATTCCAATGACGTTGCGAGGCTAGTATGCGGTTCGGTTCTTTCGTATTCCCAGTCAGCCATCACCCTGAAAACGACTCAGCGGTTATCGACAGCACTATGGACGAGGTCCTCCTCGCCGAGCAAATCGGCATGGACTCGGTGTGGCTCACCGAGCACCACTTCGATGGTGCCGCCGCCCACGCTGACCCGGTGGTGTTCGGCGCCGCCATCGCCGCCCGCACCAGCCGCATCAAAATCGGATTCGCCGTCGCCGAACTCGCGTTCCACCACCCGGTGCGCCTCGCCGTGCAAACCTCCCTTCTCGACAACCTCAGCCACGGCCGGCTCATCGTCGGAACCGGGCGCGGATCGGCCTACAACCACTATGAATACCTGGGCTTCGGCCTCACCATGGAGCAGGGCATCGCCCGGCTTGATGAAGCGGAACAGTTGCTGGTCGAGGCCTGGACCGGCGAGGACCTGTCGCACCGCGGCGAACACTGGAACCTCGAATTTCCCCTGCTGCGCCCCCGCCCGTATCAAAAGCCTCATCCGCCGCTCATTCGCGCCTGCATCAGCGAGGCATCTGCCGTCAATATGGCCAAAATCGGCCGCCCCATCATGATCGGCATCCAGACGCTGGAGACGTTGCAAGCCCGTCTGGAGCGATACCGCGAAACCATGCTGGACTCCGGATTCACCGAGGATGCAACCGAGGCTACGCTGGACCAGTGTTGGGCGTCCCGCGACCTGTTCATCGCCGACACCTACAGCGAAGCGTTGGAAATCGCCGAAGCTGGCTTCGAGCGCGAACGCACCCACTTCCGCCGCGCCCGCGAGCTCTACAACCCCGGCGGCTTCCCGCCTCCAGACCCCAACCGTCCGATCCCGGCCGGAGAAAGCCTGGGGCATTCCTTCATCCTGGGCACACCCTCTCAGGCCGCCGAGCAGGTCGCCGCCATGCGTGAAATCGGCGTGCGTAACCTCATGTTCAAACTCAACGTCGGCGAGATGGACACCCACCGTGTCCAAAAGTCCATGCGGATGCTCGGCGACCAGGTGATGCCAAAATTTATGGAGTAGAGGAGTCCGCCCGTAATCCCCGGCCCCCGTTCATCCTGAGCTTGTCGAAGGACCCCTCTCCCTTGATGGGAGAGGGCTAGGGTGAGGGTGAAAATCGCAACCTTCTGTCATTGCGAGCGCAGCGTGGCAATCCCGCTGCCCACCGCCCCCGCGCATCCTGAGCCTGTCGAAGGACCCCCGCGCATCCTGAGCCTGTCGAAGGACCCCCGCGCATCCTGAGCCTGTCGAAGGACCCCCGCGCATCCTGAGCCTGTCGAAGGACCCCCGTTCATCCTGAGCCTGTCGAAGGACCCTCCTGTTGTCGCCCCCTGGAGAGGCGTTCGAGGGGTGAGGCGAGAGCCTTATAAACCCCGCACCATGGCATCCAGACTCTCCAGCGCCCGGCTGATGTTCTCCTGGCTGTTGGCGTACGACAGCCGCACGTAGCCCTCGCCGAACTCACCGAACGCCGCCCCGGACAGCAGCGCCACGCCGGCCTCCTGCATCGCCCGCTCCTCGAAATCCGCGCTGCTGAGGCCCGTGTCCCTGATGCTGGGAAAGGCGTAGAACGCGCCCTCCGGCTCCGGGCAGTTGATCCCCGGTATGGATGCCAGCCCGTCCGCGATGAGACGGCGACGGCGGCCAAACTCGGCGGCCATCTCCTGCACCGCGTCCTGTGGACCGTCCAGCGCGGCCACCCCGGCAATCTGGCTAAACGATGCCGCGCACGACACACTGTTGGTCGCCAGTCGCGACACATGGGGCACCAGCTCCTCCGGCATGATGCCGTAGCCCAGCCGCCAGCCCGTCATCGCGTAACTCTTCGAGAACCCGTCCAGAATGATCGTGCGTTCCGCCATACCCGGCAGCGCGGCGATGCTGTGGTGCTCGCCCGAGTACAGAATATCCTTGTAAATCTCGTCTGACATCACGTACATGTCGGGATGGCTTCGCACCACGTTGGCGATGGTTTCCAGTTCGTCGGCGGTGAACGCAGAGCCGCACGGATTCTCCGGCGAGTTGACAATGAGGAGCCGCGTACGCTCGTTGACCATCCCCGGCAATTGCGTCAGGTCGGGATGATAGGCCCGATCCTCCAGCAGCCGCATCGGCACGGCCTTGGCCCCGCAGAATTCGATCATCGACTCGTAAATCGGGAAACCGGGATTGGGATATATGACCTCGACGCCCGCTTCCGCCAGCGCCATGATGACGTAGAACATGATTGGTTTGGCGCCCGGCGTAACCACCACCTGCTCCCAGTTGGTATCGATACCGCGCACCTCCCGGCTGTTGCGAGCCACCGCCTGCCGCAGCTCCGGCAGACCCGGCGTCGGCCCGTAGTGCGTGTAGCCGTCCTGTAGCGCCTTCACACCGGCCTCCACAATGTGCGCCGGTGTCTCGAAGTCCGGTTCCCCGATCTCCAAGTGGATGATCTCCCGGCCCTGGGCTTCCAGCGCCCGCGCCCTGGCCAGCACCTCAAACGCGCTTTCAGTCCCCAAACGGCTCATACGGGTGGCAATAGTCATACTCGGCATCTCCAAAATCAGCGTTCCCAACACCGCCCCACAACCCGCCGCCAAGATTACCACATCCCCCACGGTGTTGCCCTCACCCCCCGTTCATCCTGAGCCTGTCGAAGGACCCCGCGCATCCTGAGCCTGTCGAAGGCACCCTCTCCCTTGATGGGAGAGGGCTGGAGCCTGCCCCGTACTTGATACGGGGGTGAGGGTGAGCCCCCGCGCATCCCGTTCCCGCCGCCCCGTTCATACTGAGCCTGTCGAAGGACAAAGGACACGCTCAGGCCGAACCGGGATAGTTGCCTGCTATACTACCTCCACCCCTATCGGAGACGGTGAAAAATGCCCCGCAAGAAGATTGTCCTGGCCTACATCCGGTCATGGGGAATATTAAGTAGATTCGAGATCTAATCACACCGCTCGCGTGGCCGTGCCCTGGCTCAAGGAGAATTTACGACGCCGAGATCATCACCTGACAAAATAGACAATAAAACCTCGGCATGCGTGACCTGGAAACCTCCGCCAGCGGGCATATGGCCGTAGGAGCCATCCGAGGCCGTTACCGTAGACGGACGCGAGCACGCTGGTCAGGCGAGTCCTGTGTGCGCCCCGCGCTTAGGCCGGCGCAATATACGAGGGGGTCAGTATCCCTGGCCACCGCCCTGGGGGGGCGGCCGCCCCCACCTCTGCCCTACCTCGGCCGAGGGGTCGAGGTTGCCGAGGACACACCGGCCCGCCCAGGCAATCGCCCCACGGCTGCACCGGAGACGGGCAAAAACGACCGGTTCGATCGAAGTCGTGCGTTGGCCGCTCTCACCCCGGGCGTCGAGGTCATCGCGCCCATCCGCGAGTGGGGCCTGAACCGCGAGGACGAGGTGCGAGTACGCTCGCGAGCGCAACCTACCCATCGCCCGCGTTCCAAACAACAAGTACAGCACCGATTGAGAATCTGTGGGCCGCAGCGCGAGCCGGGAGCTGGAAGACCCCTGGCAACGAAAACCGCCGAGGACGCCTACGCGTGGACCCAAACCCCAACGCCGCCCCCCGACGAGCCGCCCTACGTGGACATTCACTTGACGAGGGGGATACCCACCGCCGTTGACGGCAGAAGGGAGAAACATGGCCGGCGTCGACCATGATTACCATCTGAACCACTGGCGGAGCCCCCACGGCCCGTCGGTCGCATCCGACCAGTGGAATGGAAAACCGGCTGTCGTGGGCAGCAAAATCGCGTGAGTGGTGTACGAAATCGCCGGCCGCCGTCGCCTGCACGCTGCCCACCGTGGACTGGAGACCATGACGCGGTCCCCGTGAGCAGCCCGCTTTCCCCCAAAAAAAAAGGATAGCGCGTTGCCCGGAGTACCGCCGAACCAGAACTGGTTGTACAACGGACTGTGGTTCACCGCCCCCACCACCGCCGCGACCTCGACGCCTACGTCGAAGAAAAACAGAGCCAGGAATAAGGAGAACGCGCGGGGCGATACGGTCTGCACAAGGGTACGTGCGTAGTCGCCGGCCGCCGCGCCGACCCCGCCCAGATGGTTACACTAAGGCCTCGCCACCTACGACGCGCGACAGAGTTCGACCAACCGACGCCAGGAGTTCTCGCATACGGCCTGCCCGTCCGCACCCAGAACCGCCAGCAGGGGTTTAGCGGGACTACCGATTGGTAACGGCGCGGATCCGAAAACCCGATTGTTCTTCCGGTAGCCACGATACCGCTGCTGATTTCGCTTTCCAACTGACGAGAACGGTTGGGAGAACTCGGTTTCACGTTGCCCACCGCGCGAATATGACAACACCCAGTGTACTTCAACGATGGCCCCTGCGCGTCCGGACCGGGCAAATGATGTTCGAGAAAGTCCAGGTCCTGAGTTAGCCACAACACGCGACCATCGTACGCAGCTCGATTCACAATCTCCCGGTCCGCTGCAATGACTACGCATAATCTCGACGACGCGCACCACATCGTGCCCCAAATTCATTCAAGTGCCGGAACGGTCATTGGGGAGCTGTGCACATCTGCAACCGCCTCATGTGAGCCACCTTAATGTGGATGCAGTGCAGACCGGCCACGGGGTCACGGCCGTACAACTTAAATATGTCCTTGCGAGGAGGCATAGCGACCCGTGGCAAACCCCGGGTCCTGAGCCCGTTCGAAGGGCCGGCCCCACCGGGCCGTTGTCATGAAGCTGTCGAAGGATAGCTACGTGTTGCAGCCTCATCGAGATGCCAACCCCGACCATCGAGTAGGGGCTCGCAATGACACAAACCGCGGGTACGCATGCGGCTCACAGTAGCCCCCCCGCTATTTAGGCTTTCGGACGCGCGCTGCGTCATGCCCAGGTTCAAATCCGTTCTGGTGCGGGCGCTGCCGTACGGGCTCACCCCACGCTGGGGGGAGGGTTCTTTCGCTGCGAGCCAGCTCAGTCTGCGGCGCATTGACGGACGTCGGCGTCATCGAGTTCCGGTCGCTGGACAATTGTCCACCGTTGTGTTACACGTTGCCCATTGAGCTTTAAGCACGAATTTTCAACCGTAATCCGCTTCCCGCGCACGGTGCTTTCCCATGCAAAACCTGGGTCGGTTGTATTCGGTTAGGTCGCAATCAGGTGCACCCGACTTACTGGCACACGTTCCCTAACGGCCGGATCCAGCGGCCAATGACCCTCGTCGTCTCCGCCTCGGGGGTATAATGTTCAGCGCGGGCATGATGCGCAAGCGTTGGGTTTGCACGCCTTTGAGAGAACCCGGCGGCTCGGCGGCGTACATTACCTGGGGCATGATGTCGCGTTGTCGAAGGCAAACGCCCGGGCGGCCAGCAGTTCCCTTGCACGCGATTTCGTTGACGAAGCGTACCGTGGACTGCAGGCCGTCCAGCCGGTCTCAGATACCACTTCATCTGCGTGACGTGGCCAGCGATGTCGTGTCCAGCAGTATAGCGCGTGCCGGCGGCGGCGGCGGCGGTGGTCAGATTTGCCTGCGAAGGTGTGACGTGCCGTTGATCGCCGTAGGTCAGCGCCCACATCGCGTCTTCCTTGGCGTTTAGAAACGCGCCGATGGGACACGCGCAGACCGCACGCATCCCTTGGCAAGAATCATCACGTCCGGCTCGACGTTGTATTACCGATCATAGGCGAAACAGGCTGCCCCAGCGCGACCCATGCCGGTCTGCACCTCGTCCCGGATAGAATCAGCAGGATGTTGTTCTGTCGCACCGGCCCGCAGCGCGTGGAGTAGTCAGCGTCGGGACTGTTCGCCGCCCTCGCCTGCACCGGCGCGATCATCACGGCCACGGTTGATCTCGTGCGGTTGGGGTGGCGTCATCACGCCTCAACGTCGTTGAAGTCGACGTAGGTGAAAACCCTCGGGGATGGCGCTCAAACAGCTCGTGGGTAGTGATCTGAGGCTGCCGGTGCGCACGCTGTTCATCGTGCGCCCGTGAACGAGTTCAGCGCGGGTAATGACCCCGTAGGCCCGTTCTGTGCACAGCTTCCGTAGCGTCGGGCGCTCTTCAGCGCGCGCTCCACGGCCTCGGCGCCGACGTTGCAGAGAACAAAACCGATCCATGCAGGGTTTTGTTTTCAAGCAGCATCTCGGCGATTTCCAGCTGCGGCAGCCGTGTAGAGACTGGGTTGGACGTCTGATGAGCGTGGCCGCCTGCTTCGCGATGGCTTCCAAGCATAATAAGGGAGGGTGACAGTCTTGTCATTTTACCAACCGCCTCCCTCTATCCGTCCCCTCTACACCTTTTGCCTCCTTTCTTACCGCTCCCCCCACCCTCCTCTTGTCCACGTCCTCACTCCCTTCTCACACCCAATTCCCTTCCTCTTTTGCTGACCCCCTTTTTGGCCCAAATTATCCACAGCCCAGCCGGCACAAGTCGACATAGGCCTGCCGTCGGCGTCCCCACATCGGAGACCTTCAACGCGCACGATGACCACGGCGTCGCCGACGGTCCGGGGCGTAGTTTTCTGCTCGATGGCGATTGTATTCAGCGTGGGCTGGGCATTGGACATCTGCTCCCTGCGGTTGGTACCGCCGTAGCGACAAACCAATTATACGACAACACGCCCCAATCGTCAGTATCCAGAGCGCGTCATTGCCGGGAAGCGCCGGAACATCGGCAATTCCCGTCCCGCATTCTGTCATTGCGATGTTGTTAGCATTTTGGCCATTGACACATTTGTTCGTTAACATTCAGACGACAAATCAGTCCTAATTTCATCACGGAGGAATTCGAATGGCGACAATGATGTGGCGAGTACTATCTGGGAAGGTTGATGTACGCCCACGAGCAAAAACGGCGCAGTTGACCCCCACCCCTTGTACCTCGGCCCCTGCGGTGCCCGCAAGGCCAAATTCGGCGGCCGACCTTCGGCGTCGACGGAAACGGCGTTCCGTTGA